GAATAGCTTTACAAGCAAGTTTAAGGTTAATTTTCCAAAGTTGATTACTTCTTTGTTGTTGACCTTATAAACTACTTTGGTTTTGATGGATGTCTGTGATGGATGGCTGGACAGGCGCCTAATTATATACATAGCAATCCCCCCTGGTAATTATCATGGTGATATAAACTTACCCTCAAGGCACTTTGATTGCGATTATTGGAGGTCAAGTCCAGCATTGAACTGGCTCGTAATTTCTGATTCTCGGATAGATTTTTGACAGCACAACGATCCAAATCATTGGGAGTTGGTAGATCCGAGAGGGTTTCCTCAATTTCTTGATCTATTTGAGAATCCGTTTCTCTACTTTGATCATCGCACTCCTGACAGGATATATTCTCCGCCGATGCCAACGAGGATGTTATCGAATCCGTAGTACATGTGGATATCGTGGGGGATGTCGAGGTCCATGTATTTGTGGGTGGTGTTATACTTGTGAGCGTGACTGTTAATCTCCCGATGCCCTCGTTGTTGTTGTCAATATTTAAGCTACTACCATTGAGGTTGTTGTTTTGGTTGTTGATATTATTATTATTTTGGGGATTGGAGTTTTTTGTATTCGTGTAGAATACTTGGGAAATACTGCGGAAAATGGTGCGATAACCCCTTTTATTCTCTGCATCGCCGGCCATGATCACTTGTTTGTTTGTTTTAATTCTTTAATTTTCACTCACTTTTTGTTTTATTTTGTTTGGATTTTTAATTTCATTAGGTTACGTGGGAGTGCTACACAGAAAAAAATTCTTGGGTTAATACACGGGGTGGCATTATTTTAAACATTAAAATAATTTGTATTTTTCTGTAGTTGAATTTCTTTATTTTCCACTTGTATGTATAATTTCATGCACATGAAAAAAATTGTTAGATTTGTATTAAATCACTTTTAGATTTCATATTTTTATTTAAAGTTTATTTCAATATTATTTCGTTTACGGTTTTGTTATTCATTTTATTACAAAATGTCTAAATTATCTTATAGTGTATTTAATTTTTTGTTTACATTGTATTTCTTGCAGTGTATCCAAACAAAGTGCCAGAAAAACGGAAAATGCAAAGACATGAGCAACACCTCCTGCCTTTTGGTCTCTTATCTAAGTTTTTTGTCAACACATATCTGATGTATTTTTTTTTTCCTACATTTTTTTATAACACAAATCAATCGTAAAATTGTAACACAGATATAAACATAATTACAAATACGTTTGGGTGTATTTGGTTTATATGATTCGGTTGGAATATTAAAATGTATATGTATGTAGTGTTTAGAAAATAGCACGGGAGACGCGTTCGGGCAGCGACGGCCAACTAAATCGCTTTGGAGCCCAAAGCGCTGCCAACCGTTTGGGGGCGCCAGCGCTGGCGCTGACGTTGGCAGCGACGTTGGCAGCGCCTGTTGCCGTAATCGCTTTTCTTGCCTCTTTGGTTTCTGTTGCTTCTTTTTTTTATTTTTTTATTTTTTGCGTACTTTGTTGTTTTTTTGATTTTATTTTTTTTTTTTTGTTTATGGGGGCTCCTCTTCTAGGCGCACAGTGGGTGGGGGAGGCTTTTTATTTTTCGATCGCTATTTAATTATTTTTTAGCCAACATATAAAAATTCATTTTTAAACCTGTTTTTTGATTAGCCTTCAATTATAAATACAAATTATTCATTTTTATGCAAATTTCAATTTATGATGATTTTATGAAGGCTAGAAGAACCAGTTTTTTTGACATTGTAATCAGAATTTTTATTTTAGAAAACCACTGTAGCTAAAAGTTCAAAACCCACTTGAAGAATAATTTTTTTTTTTTAATTTTTCTTATTTGGAAAGCTTTCTTCGCTATCTTCGGTCTTCGTATTTAAATCAACCCACAACAATGTATGCTATATGCAAATATATATATTGAGACAAAAAAAAAACAACAAAAACAAAAACCAGAAACCAGATGGCAGCGACAAAAAGCCAGATTGGGAGAACAATAGTGACACAAATTGGACAACACATGGAGTGATACTGGACGAGGGGTACATACGACGAGGGGGATGGCTTTATCAATCACGACTTTCACCCAAAAATAGCTTAAACCATAAACAACAACAACAAAAACAACATATATGTATAAAACAGCAAACAGATGATGCAATGTGCCCACTGTGCAGTTAAATGTTTTACACGCAAAGTATTTATCAATGCCCACCGTTGTGATATTGTTGTTGTTGTCACTTTTGTTGTTATCGCGAGTATGTGACACTATATAGATACCTCTATATACTGCACACTAAACACACATATCTATATAAATGAGTGCAGTTCAAATATACTATAATATATTCGTTTACAAAAATTCCAAAGCATTTGTTTACGTCGAGTCTAGATCTTTAAAGCGCGTTTGTTTATCAAGCAATTAAATATTGTTTTTAACTTTTTTTTAATGAAAATGAGTTTACATAAATTATAATTTAAAGCAATAAATAGAGCAGGAAATTTAGAACGTTTGCTGATTTTTTGAAGATGATATTTTGATTTTCAGAACATGAATTGTTTTAGAATTTTTTGAATTTATACTTTTATTAAAACATATTTAATGTTTATTTATCAAATTTTGCTCACAATTTAAAACCCCATTTTTAAGGTTTTCCTGTAGGGTTTGTGTTAAAAATGGTTCGATCGATGTTTGCTTTGATTTTGGTATCTCTTCGGGCCCAATTACGAAGTGAATTACTCACTGGGCCACTTGGCAAACTACAAACTGCAAACTGCAAATTGCAAATTGCAGAAATGCAACTGCAATTGCAATTCTCACTGATAGCACAGTGACTATTGATATTGCTGTTGTTTTTGTTGCTGTTGGTGTTGGTGTTGGTGTTGCAGATGCAACAGCAACTGCAGAAATTGCAACTGGCAGTGCAATCGTCACGTACGCGATTTAATTAAATGCCCCGCGGCGTTCGCACATCGCATCAAAAATCAACAAGAAATTAACAAAACCGAAACCGAAACCGAAAAACAGTTAAAATAGAGCTAAAATGCATCCTAAAATACAAAACAACAAAAAAAATTTAAAATAAAAGCCAAAAAGTTAAAATGTTAAAATGCTAAAAAGTTGAAAAAGCAAAACAAAAGCAAAGCGAACGGAATGGAACGGCGGTTGACAGGCGACTAAAAATCAAAAGCCCAGCAACTAACTGGCCAACTGGCACACAAAACACGCCAACAACCAAGCAACAACAATGCAACAGCAACAACAAAAAATAAACAAAAATAAACGAAAAAAAAAAACTATCAGATTCAAAAAAAACCTAAAACCAAAGCAAAACAATACCGAATCGGAATAGGAATAGCAATGGAAAATAGATGTAACCAAAACCAAAGCTGAAGAAACACCGGTCGCACCTCTGCTTCAGTCTCAGTCGCTGCTGCTGCCTCTGTCTCTGCCTCTGCCGCAGTCGACCGAAGCAGAGGCAACAACCCACAACCCACGCAAACGTCAAACGGAAAGGGAGAGACCCCAAAAGCCCATAAAAACTAAAGGGTAGCTCACTTCGAATATGAGATACCTCACACTACAAAAAAAATCCAGGTGCAAATCCAACAAACAAAATTAAATATTCCATATCCTGGCAACCACACTGGAAATAAGAAAAATATTTATTTAATAGAAAATAACATTTAGGATTTATTGATATTTTATTTGAATTTTAACTTTTGAAATTTATAAAATAAACAGGTATGTATTATGATCTTGTTTGGAATATATTTAAAAGCCGTTGGAAAACATTTCCATAATACCATCTTATACCATATAACCAATACTTTAATGAGGTAATAATGTTATTGTATTACCAAACTCAATAATTTTCTTATGATGTTTAAGGAAAAACGTTCAGAAATTTTTCAAAGTTTTAAATGAAGTGATAAATGTATTTTTTTAAAATGTATCTTGTTATTATGGAATCCCATATTTTTATACTTTTTAAAAGTATGAAAAATTTCAAAAAAACAGAAATAACTAAAAACCTTTGGAAAATGGTTAAAACCAAGCTATCAAACGTCACAATTAGCCCTGGTTGTTCCTTGATAGCCACGACATATAAACTAATCCCCACTTTTCTGGCGAATTGCGTTTATCGGCCGGCAAGTGAGTCACTCGATGGACTGATATCCCCCACGTGAGTACTGAGCATGTATTAAATGAGTCTTCTGTTTTTTTTTTTTGAATAATATTTACATTTATTCACATTTGGGTGAGTGTGTGCGATTCAAGAGACTTGGCAAGAGGCTCAGAAGGCGGCCCAAAACGCGAGCGAGTTGCGTCGTTAATGTTCGCAAAACAATGCCGAAAAACCCGTCAAAAGGGGGATCGTCTCACAAAAATATAAATGACGAAATTACAGCAGCAACTACACACATGGCCATAAACAATGCACACTTATGGCTTAAACCGAAGCCAAAATGTAAGCCCAAAAAAGCAAATGCCAAGCAAATATTTCGCAAAATGAATTATTACTATTATTTCTTATGATTTCTTAAAACGTTATATTTTTTTGTTGTGTAAAAAACAATAGATAAAGAAAATGTTGTAGACATGTGAGCAAAAATCATATGTCAGAGAAATTTGATTGTTATCAAGGGGAATTCTTTTTTAACAGCAGTCATTATAAAATAATATAACATAACGTCTTAACCTAGAACCAGTTAAGATTTTAAGGATATCCCCCAATGCAATGTTTCCTGTTTTTAGTATTTTTGCCTTTTTGTAAAAAATTTGATTAATTCAAAAATAAACAATAAACAACTTAAAAAGCCTTTAAAGCACCTCTTTACCTTTCAAGTGGGTTTTACAAGCATGAGTCATTCAACTTTCCAAGAGATACAACACACCTTTGTTGAATGAAAGTCCTCACAATCACAATCAGTCTATCAGACACTATCTCTTGGCTTTTGTTTTTGGGAATAATCACAAAGTTAAAGCACACTCTATTTTGATTTCAGAATAATTTAATTTTTATGCTATAAATACAATAGATTTTACAGACTTTTGTAATTATTTTAAGTTAGGCACTGGGATATATAAAATTAAAATGAGATCTTCACAATTAATTAAGTCTCTCTTACTACCAAACTGAATATTTCACAAATATCATTTGTAATCTCACAGCATAAGAATTTTTGATATAATCCTTTTTTTGTTCGAGCTTACTGGAGAAACAAATAAAATCGTTTGGGGAAAAAAGTAGAGAGAGAAATATATATATGTATATATCCACAGGTACATGAATCAAAAAAAGAAAGTGAAGAAACGACGGCGACGTCAGCTAAGAGTTTGATCCCTCCTAGTGGAGGTGCGACTCCTGATTCCGGCGATACTACAACTCTCCTTTTACTTATCCTGTTCATGCTTCAAGTCCTTTTTCCCAAAGGATATACAAATTCTAGACTTGGCTCTCGACAATACTGCTCGACGAGGAGGTTCGCAACTCGCACAACTCCTGCATCAGGTCCTGGAACAGCATCGGATTCACATTCACACTGACCTTCATCAGCAGGAACCAGTCCCCAATCGTCAGATCCCTCAGCGCCCTCTGCACATGCCGCTTCTTCATGAACCTCAACTGGCTTCGGATCATCTGTTCCCGTAAGGTCTTACTGATAATCATCACCAGGCGACACACCAAGTTCAGACCGGACATCAGGGCCATGAGCAGAAACCAGGCCCACAGGAACACGAAGATCTTCTCATTCAAAATGTTCAACGGCAGGATGCAGAGGTTGTCCATGATATTGGCCGTTCCGCTGGCCCCGAACTTCAGGACCTCGCACTTGGCAATCTTGGGAAAAACACTGGAGGAGACACGGTTCCAACGATCCCAGTCGTAGAACGGAATCGTGGCCAAGGCGTACAGGTACTTGGTCCAGAATCCGTTCAGAAACACATCCAGTACGAAAATGTTGAGTATCTGTGGTTGGGGAAGTTGGTGAACAATTTATTGATAATGTTGGTTTGAAAATAGCCTTATTAAACGCATTATTTTAGGGGTATCCTGTTTGGGATGTATTGGTATAAAGATGTGCAAATATGTGTTGTTGAAGAATATAAGCAAAATGCAGTCTTGATATTTTAAAAGAGTGATTTCCTTTGAATTTCCTTTATTGCTGGTGAACTTTTGTAATTAATAGTGTTGTTGAATGATGTAATATTGTAGAATATTCGTGAAAAATGTTTCATTAAACTACTGAAAATAAATATTATTTACTATACAAATATTAATACTAACTGTTATTTATATATGTTAATTCAAAAATGCTTTTTAATTCTCTTTAATAAAGGAGAGTTTGTTGTTGAAAGGTGTCGTGGAATCTTATATGTAAGTAATGCCTTTTTAAAAGCTAAATATAAATTAATTGATTGGTAATATTTGAGTTAACTAATCTCTATCCTATTTGGCTTCCAATCCTGTTGGAATCTGTTGTGGCAAGTGTTGTTGAAACCAACAGTTAAGCTGTTCTTGAAATTTCTAAACTGCAACTATGAACTGAATCATAATGTATCTGTATTATCCTAGTCTCTTAAATAATTGATGAACTGTGTTGTCAAAACTTATTTTTGGCACTAGTTTCTTCAAACTTATGCTGGGTCCTACTCACACTGATGAAGCAGTTGAGGACCTCGCAGAACACGTACTTGGCCATGTAACAAAAGTGCATGTCCTCATAGTCGGTGGTGAAGTACTTGACCAGGAGCCGCAGCCGGGTGTTGTAGGTCTCCTCCGAGAGCAGGGCCTCCCCGACCTCCGAGCAGAGCTGCTTCAGGCGCTGACCCTCCCACACCTTCCACAGGCATGAGGGGAAGTAGAAGACGAACGACTGGAAGAGCAGCAGGATGATGACCCACTGGTAGTAGCGCAGGTATTCTCGCTGTGTCTGACCCCGGATCTCGGGACCTACGCCCTCGGCAATGGACATGGCCCGGGCATAGGCCTCGTTGTAGTCCGACAAGCGCCGCAGATTGTATATCGCCCGCGACCTGAATCTCGTCCTAGACCGGGCAGGGGTCTGGGCGGCAGAGCCGGAGGAGGAGGAGGAGGAAGTCACGGCTTCAGACTCTGGACTTTCTGGCGGCTTCGGCAACTGCAGCTGCTTTTCACTGTAGTTGTCCAGCTTGAGGATGTAGGTGCCCATGGTCCAGCAGTACGACTGGATATACTCAATATTCTTCTCCTCGCTGATGCACTGAATGGGATCGCCGAAATACTGGCGAGCGGATAGGAGCAGGGAGCAGGTCAACAGGATGACCACGGTGCACTTGGAGTGAATGGTGAAGACGGGGTCATAGATTCGGATCGACTTGAATTGCAAATATTTGGACAACGGCTTCACCGCCGAATACATTTCTTCTGCCTCCGGGAAGAGTTCCTCGAGGACAGCTTCCAATTCTTCCCGGTTGCAACTGGTCTATGGATTTTTTGTCTCCTCTGGATAATAATATGAATGCCCTCCTTCCTGTTTTCTTTTCTATTACTGTAGAAGTTCCTATTCCTGATCAACTTGTGAGCACTCGACTGACTGGAATGCAAAAACAGGCTTGGATACGGGTATGGTGAGGATTGCCGCCGGCCTAGGATGGTAGTAGCCAGTTCACAGTTCAGATCGTCGCTCGGCTTTACATATTTTTTTGTCCGTGCCGTCATTATTACCTACTTTGCTTTTTTCCCCATTTCTCTCCGAAAATCCGTAATTTTTTTGACGAAATCGAAATGAAGTGTCACTCCTGTCATTCAAAACACAAATAACATTTAAATACTAAAGACACTCAATAAAAGCTTTGAGAAATTAACGCAAAGTTAGTGGCAACAGTGGAAAAAATATCATTAAAGTTCTATCTATTTTGTATTAATAGGTACTATATAGTTACTATAATAAATCATGAAAAAATTAAAACAAAAAGCATGCATATTGATCTTAAAACTTCAAGAGAGGTATGCTTATTAAAAAAAAATGTATTTTTATTTATATTATTATAAATAAATATCGGAAACTATTAAAAAAGTTCTAACATAAATGATAAAGTGTAAATTACCTATGTATGTATATCGTGTAAGCATACAAAAATATATCAAAGCCCAGTAAGTCTTTTGAAAAAGTAGAGCCTATTTTTAGGCTTTTCTTAAAAACACCAAAAGTTCTTTTTACATTTTTCGTTTATTGATAGATTTATGCTTCATTTCTTATAGTTTTTATTTATTACAAAGATCGTTAGTTTTTTTTAGCTATAATTCTCATGATTCATGGCTTCAGCCTTGGCTCTCTGAATTCTTCATTCTTCAATGATATTTTTGTAGTTTTTTGGGGCCAAAGCTCCATTTGTTCGCCGTTTGCCGTTCATCGTTAGTCCAAGTTCAGGAATCCAATTATCGAGGGTATCTGCAATTAGACAAGGTGTAGACACAGGTGTAATTACCATAAATCAGATTTATATACCATCCGGCGACCTTCAAGGTTCAAATAACTTGGTGTCACCTTTTTTTTAAATTACAAAAAATTAATGACAAATAAAGAGGCGACAAAAAAACAAACACAATAGGTCGTTCAGCAAAAATTGGACTATAAAATAGAGCTTTGTAAAATATGGTAGCTTTAGATGATGAAAAAATAATATGGGTCATGTTCTTAATTTACGTTAAGATATTGTAGGTTTCTCATAGTTGGGATCTCATAGGATATAAGGGTTTCTAATTCACCAGAATAACTTATTCATTAAAATCTTTATTATTCATTAAAAAGCTAAGTTTCTGTCTTAACGCTCTTATTACTATAAAATCAAACCCTAATTTAAAATCAACTAACCACTTAGGCAAACTCTGACACCTTCAATATCCGAAAAAAAAGATCATAACATCAAAAAACAAACTGAAGATGAAAAATAAATAAAAACCAGGTGCTCCCTGAACTTGACCTCCAAGTTAGTGCTGTTTTTTTTCGGTACAACAACCTACAATAACAATTTAATGCCAACAATAAAAAATACAAATCACGTCACGATCTGTGGTTTGTATTTTTTTTTATTGTTTGTTATTATTATTATTTTGTTTATTTTTGTGTTTGTCTTTTTTTTTTTTTGGTAAGACACCAAATTGAGCGTTAAAAGCTTCTCGTTTGGGTTTCTTATTGTAATTTCAATAATTAATAATTTATTTCGTTTTTTTTCCCAATGAGTTGGCAGAAATATATATATTTTTTTCTTTGCTTTTGAAATATGCGGAAGTGTTGAGATACTCAAGTACCTTTAAAATACTTTTGAGGAAGATCACCAAGGCTTGAGTTGGATTTGTGTTTTGGTTTTTAAAGTTTAAAGAAAAAGTCTCTTTTTAGATAAAAAAAATAGATCTATATTTTAGTATTAAAATGAATATTTTGAGTCTATTTCTAGATCCATAATCTTTTTTACTAACTTGTTGCTTATTTTTTAACCTAGCCCCTTAAAAACTTTTACGTAAGATAGTAGAGCGCAAAGGCACAAAGATACTTAGATATATAGATACAAAGATATTCAGATACTAAGTACTTTTTGGCAGGCAAAAGAGGCAATGTCCCACAAAGGCAGTCACAGATACAGTTCCCCTAAGCATATGAAGTATCTTGTGGATACAGAAACATTAGAGACAATTGTTTATTATTTAGCGAGAATGGCAGGAGGCGGTCGACCTAACTAAGCCCATATTTCAATGTTTTTGGCCAACAGCTACTGGTTTCGAAATCTCCCCCAAAAAAACTTGACCAGGTGTTTGCCATTATTTTTGGCCAAGAAAGTGAAAGATTTTTGGATAAATTAAAGGCTGGACATATCAGAGATCAGTGGACCTTAATTAAAGCCAAAGTTATAAAGCCAATTAGTGGGCTACAAAAAATTGGATGCATACGCTAATAAATAATAAATAATAAGTGATAAGCTAATTGGTAACACACTTTTGTTAAAAACTAGAAATCATAGAAATATAATAAAGTCTAAGACACAAAATATACCCTCTAAATCCAATTTCAAATATTGTTAAAAATTTAATCAATGCAAAACCAACATTTTTGTTTTAAATTCAAGGTGCAGTTTTATAGTTTTTGCGGAGAGAGAGGTCGAAATCACCTTGACTAACATTTTATCCACAAACAGCAGTATATTTGTAACCTTTTTCAGTTCAGTTACACCAGTTTATATTTGTTTTTATAATTATATGGAGAGCAGATCAATTAGCAAACCCATTTAAAAATGTGGTAAACCAAAAAGTAATACATATAAACGTGTTTGAAGCCCTTTTTGTTGCCAACAACTGGTTTTTCTTTGGCCTGAAACTTAACTTCCGTGCCAACAATTTGATTTATAGATTTTTATTTCCCCATTTTTGTTGCTGTTTTTAGTGTTAAGACTTAAACAAAAAGTCTCAACCACAAAACCTTGACCATGCCCTAGAAGCTCAGTTTTTTCTTTGAAGATTTAACTTTTCAAATTGAATAATTAGCAATCCGACAGATCAATGCTAAATTTGAAACTTTGTTTGGTTTTTCTGCCTTATATTGGATGCTCTGGCTGGGTTTATTAGCGAAATTCCGCTAAAATCTATCTATATTATAGATTCTATAATATAGAAGGCTTCAATGACAACAAAAATGGGACAAAGAATTTCCTGGAAATAATGGAGATTATTTTAAAAATGATCACAACAGGCAGAAATTTCTTGATTATAGAAACAAGAATTTCATTTTGTTTTTATATTTATCAAACAACAAATAAACAACTTCCATTAAGCAGCTTTCTGAATATTTTTTTTTCGATAACTAGTAACTTGATTTTAGGGTTAAAACAAACAATTAAAACAATAAATGTTATGCATAACAAAAATTCAAAAAAATATACAGAATTTTTAATATCTCCTTTCTACAATCGAAATATAAAGGATAAACAGCCAAATAATTCTTATAAATAGTCACAAGACAACCCATCATATTTTATATCCTAAAAACTCTTTAAAATTGCTTACAAAAATTTTGGGAAAATATTTCATAGCATTAGAATTTTTACATTTGTACATATCACTATTTAAATTTAAAACAATTAAAGAATTTGTATTCTTGAAACAAACTTTAAAAGTACAAATAATTCATATTATCCTACCCATGTCGCTAAAAATCATTTATTTTTCATCTAAAAGTCTTAAAACCAAAAAGAGACTCAAAAACTTAATTTCAAAAATGTTCTAACAAACTTTATGATTTCTTATAATACTTATACATAATTAAAAATATTTTTTTTTGGTTTTAAAGCCGTCTAAAAATATACTTTGTCTACCCACTCACCTTGGTGATAAAATCATCCTCCTGTTGTTCTTGGGGTGGAGCCATGTTGTTTTTGGTTTTGTGTGTTTGGGATGTTGGGACTCTTTAGCTTTTAATTACAAATAATTATGATCTGCACTAACAGTCCATAAATTGTCATTTCTTATGGTTTTGGTGAAAAACTCGCAAACTCGAAAAAAAAAGAATAATTTAAAAAAAAGGGTGGGAGTTCGCGCTTGATCGGGCCAATATTAGCGATAGAGTCGAGAGAGAGGTTTAAGCCAAGTTGACCGCCTCGTTTGGCGCTCCGGTTGCTACTGAATCAGACTTTATAAATATCGGATATAGACGCCAAGAGTCGCGGCCAAGACGCGAGCAAAACGCGCGCAAACGAGGAGGGGAGGGAAAAGCGGTGGTTTTGGCCATAAAACTGGTTCTGGGGGTTCTCGGGGAGTTCTCAGCTCTAAACCAAGAGTCACAGCCAAGAATCAGATGGCGTATACATTGACTCGGGTCTTGGATCTGACAATATGACTAAAAAAAAAACCACCTGTGGCTCCTCTGACGTCACATGAACTTGCGGCTTGAACTTTAAGTTGAAGGTTGCGACTAAAACAGCGTTTGAAAAGCGAAATTAAATGGAAATTGAAAGGAAATCAAATGACAAATCAAGCATCTATATAATGGTTAATTTTTAATACACATGCAAGCACATAAATACATATACATATGTATTTGTTGTTATTTATAGCCTTATGTGTAACTGCAACTGGCGCGCGTCTAAAGTCGCCCTTGAAACGCCAGCAAACGGCCCAGTCGCGACTTTAGCCGCTCGAAATTGTTTTTTCACTTTTATTGCTATTAATTTTGTACTTTTCACTGCACACACGGTCTTAATTATTAGTTTGGTCTTAAGTTTTTTAGTTTCTTTTAATTTGTGCGGCTTAGACTGGTCTGGCTGGTTGGCTTATAATGTTTGGTTTTTACGACTTTAATCAGAGTCTCTTTAATCATAAAAAGATACGCATTTTCATAAAGTTTCTGGTTCTAAGCAATTAACAAAAAAAAGCTTTTAAGATGGTTTCATTTATTTATCTTTGATTAATTAAAATTCTTTAACTCTATGGATTTTTAGACATCAAGCTCATCAAGATTTTTATACATCTTGGGAATTATTATTATTGGTATTGTTTGGTAATTTTTTTTAATTTGCAATTATTTGCTTATTATTATTTTGTTTTTGTAACTTAAAATAATTCATAATTATTAAAAACCATATGTAATTATTTATATCTGATGATACATTTTCCTATGTTATTCATTACATTTTTCATTTAGAAAAAAAAAAAACAGAAATAAGCTAACTTCTGATTTGAAACCACAACCATACAAATAATTAAAACAGTTGATATATTTTCTTACGTTTATTTATGATTCTATGATTTAATTAATACCAGAATTTCATAACCAAATTAGACGTATGACTGCAAATTTTTCTATAACAAGTAATCCAGATTTAGCAGCGCCTTGGAAATTGAGAATTTAGTTGACTAAAACTGAACATCGAAATCCGACATTCGACTATATATGTAGAGTCTTGTGCTAAGTCTTGAAAAACTAAGCAAGTCTTGAGATTTCTAGTTCAAATCGAGTTTTAAGTTCATTGCAAACCCGGTTGTGACCAAAAGTATGGACTTTGATGAAAAAATAGAATCAAAACCGTCATTGAGAGTAGCAGTCACAATCCAATAACTCTCATATGTAAGACAGCTGTAATTAAAGGCGCAAATCGATCCAAGGTTGTCCAGGCCGGGGTCCGTCTCAGAAAAGTGCGATTTAAATCCGACGGAATCCGCAGTTCAATCAGCCATCAAAATAAACAATTTTTTTTTAAGATTTTCACCATCGAGCTGTCACATAAACATAACATCAGAAGCACACAATTTTGAATTCCTCGCGACAACTTCAACTTGGGAGGAAGGTATTCTCTATAATTGTTAAAAAATTGGAAAGCCAATTAGTAAAAAATTGTTTCAGTATTACATTTTGCATTTGACCTAAGATAACTTAAGACTATCTCATAATTACAGTCAAGTAACTAATAACTGTTCAGATGTGCTAGAACTCTAATTGAAGTGCTTGTTTTTTATAGATTCAATTAGAAACTTATTATCTAGTTTGGCCTTTAACTTTAATTAATTACGTATTATCAAAACTAAAGACGCTTCAAGATAACAAACCATAGTAGTGTCTTCTTGAATTCAGTGCGAATCCATTGAAATTTTTTATTTTTTGAAATGTCTGCTAAATCTTGTATTTCCCAAAATTGGCTTTGCAAAGATAACATTGTCCCTATAGAGAATGTCCCTATGGATATATTACATCTTATTTTAACAATTTTTTAACGTCCATGAACGTTTTTTTGGAAATATTTTGAACTAATTTATATATTATATAAGATTATATTAGCTTTCAAATATTGTTCAGCTTTTAATTAGAATAAAGAAAATAATTATTTTATATTACGCAAAATCAGTACTCACCTATTAAATACACTTTTTTTAAGCTATGTTCTCTTTGGCGAAAAATATATTTCTATAGATCACTGGGCGCCTTGAATGTCTCGCTTCTAAATCCAAACGCCACGGTTTGTTCGCCCACCGACATTTCTTGGATTAGCTTGGCTCGAAGATTAACCTTTGCCCGCTGTTCCTTCAAGTCGACGAGTTGCTGATCGTGATGCTTCTGGTGAGCTTCCTTCTCCATCTTCAGTTCAGGCAGCTCCTCGTCAATGGTGCGGTTCTGGTTGAAAATTTTTGAGCGATTATTCGCCCGATTAATCGCAACCGTCTTGCGAACTTTATCCCTTAGGGTATTGGATTCCATTCTAGTAATTTTTCAAATGTGATGTTTTCAGCTGGATAGTATTTTGTTGAATGAGGTTTCTGTCAAACTTCATATGCAATGTCCATATTTCATTTTGATTCGAATGTTATGGCCAATGTGATCCCTAATTTTATAAAACACTGAAACAAAAAAGAGGTTCTTGAACTTTAATACATACGAATTAAGTAGAATTTTGTCCCTGAAAACTACGTTAAAGCTTTCTGAGTATTTAATTAAATTAAAATATATTTAAATTTAACTATGTATTTCAAGATACAATATTTTATATTTATAAATAATATTTCTAAATATAAAGAATATTATTCAACACAATAGTTTTATACAACAATATTTTACAAATTTAATAAATATTGTGATAAAAGATTAATATGGGAATTTTAAAAAATATATATAGAAATCGTTTGAGGTATGCCGCTCAAGGACCGGAAGAAAATTTTCAAAGATAAAGACATCGGTGCGGAAGCCATACACACCATACACCACACCAAGCTCACTTTTCAAAGGTATACAATAAAAAAAAATTTACAAACATTCCATAAAAAATTCGGACTTGAGATTTCTATGCAGAATTGCAGGAAATTAATATAGAAATCTTTTAAGGGGCTCTACTTACGGATCGCATGAAAATTGTTACACTGCCGCTCAACTGAATAGGCTCACATCCGCTTGCACTTTCAAGATTTGTTCATCACATATTGATCGTAGGCATGTTTTTTTAAATACATTTAAACTTAAAATTTTTATTAATCAGTGTGTGCTAGTAAAGAACCCTTTGCTAATTACCATTTCTTTACATATTCTGCTTTGCTATTGCTTCTGCTAATTTCTGTGAAATTTTTTGGTTCATCTGACGAGGTTCAGCTAAAAGATTTTTTGTTTGCAATTATACTTGGCGGCTTAGTGACACATTTTTTATGCAAATTTTAAAATTCATATATTTTTTTTAAATTCATTGAAAAATGGGACCCGGAAAACAATTATCCGATTTTGAAAGCGGCCAAATTGAAACCTATCGTGAAAGTGGTCTTAGCCATCGCAAAATCATCTAAAACGACTGCTCTTTGCGGGCAAGAACATGAGCTGGACGAGCAATGGCAGAAAGTAGTTTTTTCCGACGAAAAAAAAATTAATTTGGACGCCCCCGATGGATACAAATATAACTATCACGATCTTCGAGAGGAAAAGCATTTCCTGAGCCATCGCCATAGCTGTGAAGGAGGCGTAATGGCTTGGAGGTCGGTATCAGTCTTTGGCACTTGCGACCTGCAATTTGTTACTTCCAACATCAGCGCAGAAACTTAAAAATCTATAATTCAGAATGCGTTTCCTTATTACTCCATCATTTTTCACGTTATTAAATGGAATTACTAGCAAGATAACGCTCCCATTAATACAGCTAGGGTGGTAAAATAATGGATTAAGGCTCAAAATGTAGACTTGCTCGAATGGCCCCCGTATTCACCTGACCTTAATATAATGAAAAACGTATGGGGTATGGTATATGAAGGAGGCAGGCAGTTTTATAGCAAAACAACATGAGTTGCGGCAATTAAAATGGCCTGGACAACAATTTCGCTGCAAATACTACAAAATTATTAAACTTATTAAAATTTATATTAGAAATGTACTTAAGTATAAGCCAAGAGCCAAAAATTTTTTAAGTTACTTAAATAATTTGCGTTTTTTAGGTTGAACCTATTCAGATGAACGAAAAAAATCATTAATATTGTTAAGGTTTCAAAAGTAAACATAAATAAGGAACAAATAAAATGTTTTTGAAAAAACTTCTTCAGATTTTAATTTTAATATGATTTAAGAATTAAAGAAAAAAAAAATTATGTAAATCGAAAAACTGGATTAGAAATTAAAGATAAATTTCTACCTATAAGATCATGAACTTATTCAGTGAGCGGCAGTGTATGTATATCGCAAACATCGGATATAGTTGGTCGATCTTTATGGGAATATAATAATGAGACTGCCCAGTGCTAAGACGATTTTCATAGATTTTTTTAGCGAAAATGTTTAGAAAGCTCTTTTGTTACTTAATTAAAATTTAAATATTTATGATTTACTATCTCTTCCGTCGTTGTTTCTCTCAAATGGGCGACATGTGGTTTAAAATGACTTCAATTAGTGCTGTGACTTACTCAACAATGACAAACTCAGCTCTCGACCGATAAGATATATATATTTGCTATCTTACAGCTTTAATTATTTATTTACTAATGGTGATAACTTTTTTATATAAAAGGCTTTAGAACCTGACCATGGATCACAGTTAACAGTTAACACTTCACCATGCGAGTATCCGTAGTAACCGCCCTCATCCTTTCCACCTGCATCCTGGCCTGGATCGACAGCTCTGAGGCAGTCTGCTGCAGAATCAAAGGCCATCTGAAGTATAGGATCGATGGTGGCCAATGCGGAGCAGTCGGTGGCCGAAACGTCAAAGGCGGATGCTCCGTCACCATTTGCAACAACGGGCAAGCTCTGGTGGGCAAATGGTGCGGCCGTGGATCTTGCAACATCTTCGGCTGTGCCTGCAAAGGCGGCTGCCTCGATGGGAACTTCGCTATTGACTTTGTCAAGAACAATCCCGAATACAAGATCGAAGTCACTTCCGCTGTTTATAAATAATACACTATTAAGTCTACACACTTGTTCTTTAAAAAAATTAATAAAATTAAATACAATAGTATGGTGATAAAAGATTTACATGGGTATTTTTAAAGAAATTATATAGAAATCGTTTCAGGTATTCGTTTCTGCTCAAAGATCGGCTGAGGGAGCGACATCTGTTGAAAAGGATACCATAAGAAAAAGCTAACGTTTTGCCCAGATTTGATAGGAAATCGATAATATATTTCGGAAAAGAATCGGACGAAAATTGCTATAGATATACATAGTTATCGGGCCATCGGTACCTAACAGGTGATTAGATAACTTTTTAAGGGGTAACCATAAAAGATAATTGACAAAAATTCTTAAAATTATGCTGTAATTAAATTTAAATGCAAATTTGTAGAAAATCAATGTGGAAATCGTTTAAAGTATTCTACTTAACCATCGGGTACAAATTGACAATTATATAGACAACGCCGTGGGCCATAATGGGCTCTACCTCATTTATCAAAAGGATCCCATGAGAAATGTTGACAAAAAAACAGAAGTCAGCTACCTTCTTATTTCAAACCACAACCATAAAAATAATTAAAACTATGGATATATTTTCTTACGTTTATTTATAATTTTGTTTATCCTTTTTTAATTAATACCTGAATTTCATAAAATAATTTTATAACCAAATAAGACGTATGTCGCCAACTTTTCCGATAAAAGTAATCCAGATTTGGCAGCGCCTTGCAAATTAAGAATTTAGTTGAATAAAACTGAACATCGAAATCCGACATTCGAGTATGTAGAGTCTTGTGCTAAGTCTTGAACAAAGTCTTGAAAAATTAAGCAAGTCTTGAGATTTCTAGTTCAACTCGAGTCTGAAGTTCATTGCAAACCCGGTTGTGACCAAAAGTATGGACTTTGATGAAAAAATAGAATCAAAACCGTCATTGAGAGTAGCAGTCACAGTCCAATAACTCTCATATGTAAGACAGCTGTAATTAAAGGCGCAAATCGATCCAAGGTTGTCCAGACCGGGGTCCGTCTCAGAAAAGTGCGATTTAAATCCTACGGAATCCGCAGTTCAATCAGCCATCAAAATAAACAATTTTTTTTAAGATTTTTACCATCACATAAACATAACATCAGAAGCGCACAATTTTGAATTCCTCGCGACAACTTCAACTTGGGAGGAAGGTATTCTCTATAATTGTTAAAAAAAAAATCAGTTTCAAAATATTTAATAGATTAGATTGGAAAGCCAATTAGTAAAAAATTGTTTCAGTATTACATTTTACATTTAACCTAAGATAACTTAAGACTATCTCATAACTACAGTCAAGTAACTAATAACTGTTCAGATGTGTTAGAACTCTAATTGAAGTGCTTGTTTTTTATAGATTCAATTAGAAACTTATTATCTAGTTTGGCCTTTAACTTTAATTAATTACGTATTATCAAAACTAAGGACGCTTCAAGATAACAAACCATAGTAGTGTCTTCTTGAATTCAGTGCGAATCCATTGAATTTTTTTATTTTTTGAAATGATTGCTAAATTTTGTATTTCCCAAAATTTGCTTTGCAAAGAAAACATTGTCTCTATAGAGAATGTCTCTATGGAGATATTCACATCTTATTTTAACAATTTTTTAACGTCCATGAACGTTTTTTTGGAAATATTTTGAACTTATTTATATATTATATAAGATTATATTAGCTTTCAAATATTGTTCAGCTTTTAATATGTATAAAGAAAATAATTATTTTATATTACGCAAAATCAGTACTCACCTATTAAATACACTTATTTTAAGTTATGTTCTCTTTGGCAAAAAATATATTTCTATAGAGAAGGTGAATCATGCATTTCTAGATCACTGGGCGCCTTGAATGTCTCGCTTCTAAATCCAAACGCCACGGTTTGTTCGCTCACCGGTATTGCTTGGATTAGCTTGGCTCGAAGATTAACCTTTGCCCGCTGTTCCTTCAAATCGAGGAGTCGCTGATCGTGATGCTTCTGGTGAGCGTCCTCCTCCATCTTCAGTTCAGGCAGCTCCTCGTCAATGGTGCGGTTCTGGTTGAAAATTTTTGAGCGATTATTCGCCCGATTAATCGCAACCGTCTTGCGAACTTTATCCCTTAGGGTATTGGATTCCATTCTAGTAATTTTTCAAATGTGATGTTTTCAGCTGGATAGTATTTTGTTGAATGAGGTTTCTGTCAAACTTCATATGCAATGTCCATATTTCATTTTGATTCGAATGTTATGGCCAATGTGATCCCTAATTTTATAAAACACTGAAACAAAAAAGAGGTTCTTGAACTTTAATACATACGAATTAAGTAGAATTTTGTCCCTGAAAACTACGTTAAAGCTTTCTGAGTATTTAATTAAATTAAAATATATTTAAATTTAACTATGTATTTCAAGATACAATATTTTATATTTATAAATAATATTTCTAAATATAAAGAATATTATTCAACACAATAGTTTTATACAACAATATTTTACAAATTTAATAAATATTGTGATAAAAGATTAATATGGGAATTTTAAAAATATATATAGAAATCGTTTGAGGTATGCCGCTCAAGGACCGGAAGAAAATTTTCAAAGATAAAGACATCGGTGCGGAAGCCATACACACCATACACCACACCAAGCTCACTTTTCAAAGGTATACAATAAAAAAAAATTTACAAACATTCCATAAAAAATTCGGACTTGAGATTTCTATGCAGAATTGCAGGAAATTAATATAGAAATCTTTTAAGGGGCTCTACTTACGGATCGCATGAAAATTGTTACACTGCCGCTCAACTGAATAGGCTCACATCCGCTTGCACTTTCAAGATTTGTTCATCACATATTGATCGTAGGCATGTTTTTTTAAATACATTTAAACTTAAAATTTTTATTAATCAGTGTGTGCTAGTAAAGAACCCTTTGCTAATTACCATTTCTTTACATATTCTGCTTTGCTATTGCTTCTGCTAATTTCTGTGAAATTTTTTGGTTCATCTGACGAGGTTCAGCTAAAAGATTTTTTGTTTGCAATTATACTTGCATGGCTTAGTGACACATTTTTTATGCAAATTTTAAAATTCATATATTTTTTTTAAATTCATTGAAAAATGGGACCCGGAAAACAATTATCCGATTTTGAAAGCGGCCAAATTGAAACCTATCGTGAAAGTGGTCTTAGCCATCGCAAAATCATCTAAAACGACTGCTCTTTGCGGGCAAGAACATGAGCTGGACGAGCAATGGCAGAAAGTAGTTTTTTCCGACGAAAAAAATTAATTTGGACGCCCCCGATGGATACAAATATAACTATCACGATCTTCGAGAGGAAAAGCATTTCCTGAGCCATCGCCATAGCTGTGAAGGAGGCGTAATGGCTTGGAGGTCGGTATCAGTCTTTGGCACTTGCGACCTGCAATTTGTTACTTCCAACATCAGCGCAGAAACTTAAAAATCTATAATTCAGAATGCGTTTCCTTATTACTCCATCATTTTTCACGTTATTAAATGGAATTACTAGCAAGATAACGCTCCCATTAATACAGCTAGGGTGGTAAAATAATGGATTAAGGCTCAAAATGTAGACTTGCTCGAATGGCCCCCGTATTCACCTGACCTTAATATAATGAAAAACGTATGGGGTATGGTATATGAAGGAGGCAGGCAGTTTTATAGCAAAACAACATGAGTTGCGGCAATTAAAATGGCCTGGACAACAATTTCGCTGCAAATACTACAAAATTATTAAACTTATTAAAATTTATATTAGAAATGTACTTAAGTATAAGCCAAGAGCCAAAAATTTTTTAAGTTACTTAAATAATTTGCGTTTTTTTAGGTTGAACCTATTCAGATGAACGAAAAAAATCATTAATATTGTTAAGGTTTCAAAAGTAAACATAAATAAGGAACAAATAAAATGTTTTTGAAAAAACTTCTTCAGATTTTAATTTTAATATGATTTAAGAATTAAAGAAAAAAAAAATTATGTAAATCGAAAAACTGGATTAGAAATTAAAGATAAATTTCTACCTATAAGATCATGAACTTATTCAGTGAGCGGCAGTGTATGTATATCGCAAACATCGGATATAGTTGGTCGATCTTTATGGGAATATAATAATGAGACTGCCCAGTGCTAAGACGATTTTCATAGATTTTTTTAGCGAAAATGTTTAGAAAGCTCTTTTGTTACTTAATTAAAATTTAAATATTTATGATTTACTATCTCTTCCGTCGTTGTTTCTCTCAAATGGGCGACATGTGGTTTAAAATGACTTCAATTAGTGCTGTGACTTACTCAACAATGACAAACTCAGCTCTCGACCGATAAGATATATATATTTGCTATCTTACAGCTTTAATTATTTATTTACTAATGGTGATAACTTTTTTATATAAAAAGGCTTTAGAACCTGACCATGGATCACAGTTAACAGTTAACACTTCACCATGCGAGTATCCGTAGTAACCGCCCTCATCCTTTCCACCTGCATCCTGGCCTGGATCGACAGCTCTGAGGCAGTCTGCTGCAGAATCAAAGGCCATCTGAAGTATAGGATCGATGGTGGCCAATGCGGAGCAGTCGGTGGCCGAAACGTCAAAGGCGGATGCTCCGTCACCATTTGCAACAACGGGCAAGCTCTGGTGGGCAAATGGTGCGGCCGTGGATCTTGCAACATCTTCGGCTGTGCCTGCAAAGGCGGCTGCCTCGATGGGAACTTCGCTATTGACTTTGTCAAGAACAATCCCGAATACAAGATCGAAGTCACTTCCGCTGTTTATAAATAATACACTATTAAGTCTACACACTTGTTCTTTAAAAAAATTAATAAAATTAAATACAATAGTATGGTGATAAAAGATTTACATGGGTATTTTTAAAGAAATTATATAGAAATCGTTTCAGGTATTCGTTTCTGCTCAAAGATCGGCTGAGGGAGCGACATCTGTTGAAAAGGATACCATAAGAAAAAGCTAACGTTTTGCCCAGATTTGATAGGAAATCGATAATATATTTCGGAAAAGAATCGGACGAAAATTGCTATAGATATACATAGTTATCGGGCCATCGGTACCTAACAGGTGATTAGATAACTTTTTAAGGGGTAACCATAAAAGATAATTGACAAAAATTCTTAAAATTATGCTGTAATTAAATTTAAATGCAAATTTGTAGAAAATCAATGTGGAAATCGTTTAAAGTATTCTACTTAACCATCGGGTACAAATTGACAATTATATAGACAACGCCGTGGGCCATAATGGGCTCTACCTCATTTATCAAAAGGATCCCATGAGAAATGTTGACAAAAAAACAGAAGTCAGCTACCTTCTTATTTCAAACCACAACCATAAAAATAATTAAAACTATGGATATATTTTCTTACGTTTATTTATAATTTTGTTTATCCTTTTTTAATTAATACCTGAATTTCATAAAATAATTTTATAACCAAATAAGACGTATGTCGCCAACTTTTCCGATAAAAGTAATCCAGATTTGGCAGCGCCTTGCAAATTAAGAATTTAGTTGAATAAAACTGAACATCGAAATCCGACATTCGAGTATGTAGAGTCTTGTGCTAAGTCTTGAACAAAGTCTTGAAAAATTAAGCAAGTCTTGAGATTTCTAGTTCAACTCGAGTCTGAAGTTCATTGCAAACCCGGTTGTGACCAAAAGTATGGACTTTGATGAAAAAATAGAATCAAAACCGTCATTGAGAGTAGCAGTCACAGTCCAATAACTCTCATATGTAAGACAGCTGTAATTAAAGGCGCAAATCGATCCAAGGTTGTCCAGACCGGGGTCCGTCTCAGAAAAGTGCGATTTAAATCCTACGGAATCCGCAGTTCAATCAGCCATCAAAATAAACAATTTTTTTAAGATTTTTACCATCACATAAACATAACATCAGAAGCGCACAATTTTGAATTCCTCGCGACAACTTCAACTTGGGAGGAAGGTATTCTCTATAATTGTTAAAAAAAATCAGTTTCAAAATATTTAATAGATTAGATTGGAAAGCCAATTAGTAAAAATTGTTTCAGTATTACATTTTACATTTAACCTAAGATAACTTAAGACTATCTCATAACTACAGTCAAGTAACTAATAACTGTTCAGATGTGTTAGAACTCTAATTGAAGTGCTTGTTTTTTATAGATTCAATTAGAAACTTATTATCTAGTTTGGCCTTTAACTTTAATTAATTACGTATTATCAAAACTAAGGACGCTTCAAGATAACAAACCATAGTAGTGTCTTCTTGAATTCAGTGCGAATCCATTGAATTTTTTTATTTTTTGAAATGATTGCTAAATTTTGTATTTCCCAAAATTTGCTTTGCAAAGAAAACATTGTCTTTATAGAGAATGTCTCTATGGAGATATTCACATCTTATTTTAACAATTTTTAACGTCCATGAACGTTTTTTTGGAAATATTTTGAACTTATTTATATATTATATAAGATTATATTAGCTTTCAAATATTGTTCAGCTTTTAATATGTATAAAGAAAATAATTATTTTATATTACGCAAAATCAGTACTCACCTATTAAATACACTTATTTTAAGTTATGTTCTCTTTGGCAAAAAATATATTTCTATAGAGAAGGTGAATCATGCATTTCTAGATCACTGGGCGCCTTGAATGTCTCGCTTCTAAATCCAAACGCCACGGTTTGTTCGCTCACCGGTATTGCTTGGATTAGCTTGGCTCGAAGATTAACCTTTGCCCGCTGTTCCTTCAAATCGAGGAGTCGCTGATCGTGATGCTTCTGGTGAGCGTCCTCCTCCATCTTCAGTTCAGGCAGCTCCTCGTCAATGGTGCGGTTCTGGTTGAAAATTTTTGAGCGATTATTCGCCCGATTAATCGCAACCGTCTTGCGAACTTTATCCCTTAGGGTATTGGATTCCATTCTAGTAATTTTTCAAATGTGATGTTTTCAGCTGGATAGTATTTTGTTGAATGAGGTTTCTGTCAAACTTCATATGCAATGTCCATATTTCATTTTGATTCGAATGTTATGGCCAATGTGATCCCTAATTTTATAAAACATATATCCCTTATTTTTAAAAAACAGGTTCTTGAACTACGAATATGAATTACGTAGTTTCTTCCTGAAAACTGCTTTAAAGATGAGTATTAATTTAAATTCAAATATATATATTTTACTATTTCAAGATACAATATTATACACTTTTAAATAGTATTTATATTTATAAATAATATAAGTCTACATACTAGTTCTATACAACAATATTTTAAAAATTCAATAAATTTTGAAGAATTTTAAAGAAATAGGTAATAGATAGCACTATAATATAAAAATAATTTATTGCATATTCATAAATATACATATATGTATGTATAGCCTTAATATATTCCAAAAAGAAGAAGCTAAGAACATAAGCCAGGTCTTGTTGCTAATCAACTCTCTCTAATCTCTAATAACCTTTGACATCCCTTCCGTACGAATTCTGTCTGTGGAATATTTTAGATTCTCTACATGTGTGGGAATTTCCAAATTCATTATCTGAAACTGTAAAGCGCAAGCTCATGGCCCAGGATGGCTTTAAAAAGCCGGAGCTCTAAGACTCGCAGCATCAGTTGAAATATTACCAGAGACTCTTTCAGTAGAAAGTTCATTTAAAAAAAAAAATACAAGATGATCCTTCCGTGACCCTCATTTCTCCTTCAAAGGCGGAAGAAGTAAGTAATAGACTCTTTGAGTATTTTATTTTGAAAAGTAATTTAAATTAAATTTCCACAGTCATGCTATCTCTTCGAAGACCAGGAAGATGAGTGAAGGATGCCCAGCTCTTAAAGTGCAAGACAGACATCTCGGAACTTTAGAAACTATTTTCAGACTTACAGAGCGAGGATCTCAAACAATATGCCCATATATCAAAGTGCCAACAGGATAATTCAGAATTAGTGAAATCGAATTTGGAAGTGCAAAATAAATATAAGTAAGTGCTGAATCAACTTATGGATGAAAAAATTAAATATGCACAGTTGCAATCAAAGCATCTGGACGTTGGCAATCTAAAAATTCTCATAAATCAAAAAAATATGGAAATCGAGCTACTTAAAGATCTACTTAAAGAGCTACTTAAAGAAAATTCAGTTCCGCGAAAACATCGATATGTTGGGAAAAATAGTAAAGATTGAAGGAATGGATCAAAATAATCAAACAAAATCGAGTAATAAAACATAGGTGTTCTTTATTATTCGATTTTGTTTGATTATTTTCATCCATTCCTCCAATCTTTACTATTTTTCCCAACTTATCGATGTTTTCGGACGAAAACCAATCAGACGACGTTGAAAACAGGAACCATAGGTAAGTCTGCAGAACACAACAATTTGCAAAATAAAACTAAAAATTTTTCTGTTTTTCCAGATACTTGTCCAGAAAGCTAAGATGATACCGACGTCCTCCGCGAAATCCAGCTTCCAGGCTCAGACCCGTTTAAAGTATCTTGGATCTGGATGGTTGAATTTATATAGAAAACAAATCGGAGGATTCGGAGATTTAAAAACTGATGGTACAAAGGACTAATGGATTATTGGACTCGATTGCACCGTCTGACCAGTGAAGGAACACTGCATGAGGCCTAAGCAGGGCTCCAATTTTTCCACCTTCGATCGAGATGAGGATGGAGTTCCTGATCGTAATTCGGCGAAGGAAGGGGGCTTTGGCTGGTGGTTCCTAGTACTAGATGTTTATTTTATTTTGGGTTTTCCTTTTGTTTCATCTTCAACTGGACATTTCTAAAATAACTAACTAATACTCGAAATAATTTTTAAATTCTATTTTTTCATTGCTGGATCTATTAGCTTCAAAAAGACTGCCATTATTTTGCTTTATTTTTATTTATTTTGCACTTCCAAATTCGATTCCACCAATTCCGAATAATCCTGTTGGCATTTTGATATATCGGCATATTTTTTGAGATCCACGCTCTGTAAGTCTGAAAATCGTTTCTGAAGTTCCGAGAAGTCTGTCTTGCACTTTAGGAGCTGGGCATCCTTCATGTACATCCGAAGAGTAGATTGAAAAAAGCAAACAACATTTTAAAACCTACTTGGAAAATGAAACATTTTTAGAAAATATAAATATTATAAATATGTAATTATAGTAAATGTAATTATTTTAATTTTAAAATTATAAAGACGATCATAAACTGTAAACTGTATATTTTTTAAATTTTGAATAAATTTTTCAATTTACTATAAAACGTTTGTGGTCGGAAACTAAAATTTTAAATTTCAGACATTTCAGGATCAGCCCCAACGGACCCTTTGAAAAATAAACAATCGACTCCGGTTTATTTGTGGGAAGTGACTTAAGGGGGGGTACACGATAACTGGTCATTGGAATCATCTGAAGTGAAAAAGTCAAATTGCATTATCTAAAGGATAAGATTTTTCATGTAACGCTGTTGAGTTTTTAAGGCACTTGGAAGTCAAAAACCCCGATTTTCTCCTAAAACCTCGAGACATTTGCGTTCAGTTAAAACATATTTACATATATCGAAAAAATCGGATATAGTTTTCAAATCCTTAAGAGAATATCATGGTAAAATAAATTTATTACAATAAAAAATCTACAAAAAAAAGATTCCTATCTTCAAAAACACCAAAGTTATTATTTTTATTTTTAATAAATACCATTTCCGATCGTTAAGTTATACGGCAGCTATAGGATATAGTAAGCCGATCCCTATGAAATTTGGTATGCCGTATTATTTCGACAGACAGATAGACGGACACTCTCATATCATCTCAGGAGGTGATCCTGATCAAGAATAGGGGTCGGAGATGTCTCCTTCACTGCGTTGCACATCTTTGACCAAAATTATAATACCCTCTGCAAGGGTATAAAAATATAATTATGCAGTCTGTTATACAATTTAAAAATTAAGCCAAACCCGAAAAGCCATTTGGACCATTTACTTTCACAATTCACGTTTACTTAGACCTGAAATCAGAAGACATTTAGAGGTATACAAAATACAAGTATGTACAAAATATATAGTAGTAGCGCTACGGGAAGGGATCAAGAGGATCAATCGTCAACAGGATCGTGGTAAGAGAGTTTTTAATGTTAAATATTAATTTAAAAAAAATTCAATTACACCTAAGTTTGAGCCACGCGAGGAGAAGACCGAGATCATCGGGTTTCCAGTTGAATTGACTAACTGATCTCGTACTGATATGCATCGTCAGAGTCCTCGCCACTGGACAGATCTCGTTTCCTTCGTCGCTGCTCGCGCTTGCTCAGCTTCTTGGACGCTGGCGCTGGTGCTGATGCCGCAGCGGGATCTTCTGCAGGAGCCACCTGCTCCTCGGTCTCCAACTCGGCCTCTTCGACTTCGGCCGGGTCTGGCGACTCCTGAGCCTCCTCCGGCTCTTGGGCCTCCTCCTCGGCCCGCTTCTGAGTCTTGACAAGCTCGCAGAGATACTTGTAGCGCACCAGGCACTCCTCCTTGGTCTTCTCCGGCACACTATTAGCTATTTTCTGCCAGCGATCTCCGCCGGCTGTCTTTCGGTATTTAACGATTGCTGCTTCCAAAGCCCGTTGCTGCTCCTGGGTCCAATTGGTCTCCGGAATGAGCATGCTCTTCTCCCCACCGGCAGCCATGACAGTGGTTGCTGCTGCCGCAGTCTTCTTGACCTTCTCCTTGCGCTGCGCCTGCTGCGATTCCTGAACAAGAGTCTCGGCCACACTGTCCGACTGTCCGGGTATGCGATAGCCGTTCTCCTTCATTTTGGCAGCCATGAAGGTTACCTCCTGGATGCTGCGGTTCATTGACTCGGCAATGGTGTTCCAACGACTGCCGGCACCACCGGGATACTTCTTCACCAAACGGATTAGCTCGGTCAGATCCTCATCGGTCCAGAAACCGCCGCTCACAGTGCTCTGCATGATTAAAAATTGTTGTGGTTAGTTGGTTGTGGGATTTTGTGCGGTAGACCTTAGTGGTTACCTTCTGAGAGGCAGGACGCACTGCATCGTCGTCGGTTAGTTCGCGCGCCTGGATCTGTGAGTAGCCACGCAACTCCTCCTCAGTCTTTTCTGGGGCCTTGGAGTTCTGTTTACGCTTACGAAGGTTTTCCTTGTGCTCTTTCCGAAGACGAACCTGCTCCTCGGCCTCGCGTTCCAGCTCTTCCTGGCGGCGAGCAGCTTCCAGTTCCCTAAAAAACAAACCAAATTTTAAAGAAAACATTTTTTTGGAAAAAACACATCAGCACTTACTGTCTACGCTTCTCGAGAGCTAGATCCTTAAGCTCATTGGCCTTGCTGAAGCCATTCTTGATGGTGCGGGGCAGGTTCCACAAAGCCAACGGAATCTGGACCGGCAGAGTATTTAGCAGCGAGGGCATTGGAATCTCACTAAGTATAACGTCCATGTCAATGTTCTTGTTCTTCTTCTGTAGCTTCTTCAGCTTGGTGCCAAACACCTGCTCGGCGGTGTACTTCTTCTCCAGATAGGCGGCCCAGGCGAACAGGTACTGGCCCACGGTGGTGATCAGGAATAGGATGAAAGCGCCCTCGTACAGGCCGATCTTCCTCATCCGACGGTAGTAGTATAGGGCGGACTTCCAGTTGGGCATGCCCTCCTTCAGCACCCGGTCGTATTTCTCGCGCTTGGACGGATCCTTGAGGACTTCGTAGATAGAGACTAGGTTTCGGAACTGGATGTTGGCATCCTCGGCAGAGTTCTTATCCGGATGCAGGACAATTGAGAGGGTACGGAAGGCGCGCTTGACCTCCGCTCCCGTGGCCGTTTGATTAATACCCATGAACTCGTAGAAGTTGCGATTCACCTCCTCCACCAGGTCGAAGATCTCCAGCTCCTCCGAGTGCCAGGCGGAGGCTGGACCGCCCTGGAGCAGCAGGACGGCCAGGAGAATGCTCCATGCAGTTAGTCGCATAGCTGTCCGGCCAAGATACCAATCAAAATCCGATCCAAGTCCAAAAGAAATTAATGCGGCTGACCCACGCACGCACACACGCACACACTCACAGACGCTGGACACGGGGGCGCACACGGACGGGCAACGTCAGCAGTCACAATGTGACCGTATTTTGCAAGTGGCGCCCAGTCTGCAGCCCTGAATTTTTAAAATTATCTTTAAATTAGACTTTCAGTTCTTGTTCTTAATAATATTTGTGTATTAACATAAATAGACTTTTGACAACGGGAAGGGTATATTCAAATAAAGTGTTTTAAGCTTCATGAGGTGTATATTTTGTTTACTATTTTCCGATTATTGTTGTCTACAAATTTAATGAAAAAAAAGTTTTTAAATAAAAAAAAACTTGTTTGTCTTTAAAGAAATTTTAGAACTGTAACAGGATTTGTTTCTTTTAAATGCTACAAACCTTTTTTATGGTTTTAAAACAAAAATATCGATATACATCGATAGTATGAAAGACATCCAGTGCTGCCATCCCAGTTCCATTTTCGAAAAAATGTTAATACCTTCCATTAATTACACTTATTTAGTTTATAGTGGCAACCTATATAACATAAGACAAAATATTTTTGTAATTTTTGGCTATTTTAATAATAATCTTTTTGCAAAATATATTTAAAATCATATGCATGCAATGCATTTCATTGCAGTCATAGGTTTGCTGCTATAGCCTAGTACTGAGTTGACGAAAATCCGCTCTTGAAATTCCGCTTGCGAAATTGCACTTTATTCGGCTGCCGAGGTAGTGTGACCAAAACAATGAAGAAATAAGGTAATACTGAACAGCTGTTGTTTGTAAACAAAAAACAAATAAGCAAAAATGAATTCAAAACGATTGGATGTTGGTGTTTTGTTTATGTATTTCGCCGCTCAGGAGCTGATTAAGAAATAGAAAACTGGGTCAAAATCAAAATCCAAATCAATCACAAATCATTTCAATGCCATTTTATGGCATTAAAATGCCCCTTCGGGACGGCCAAATAAATCTTCCCCAATTTCCTGGATGAAAGTAACTTAATACAAAAAAAAAAAAAAATGCCCCTTGTGGGTCAAATCTCATATTATGGGCTTCGTCTTGACCGCAGAAATTCATTTTAATTTGTCCTGGCGCGTCGAAAATGTTTCGGGCCGACTATTTTTTTGTTTGGTCAATTGACCCTCCATGTCACACCTATAAAAATAAATTGAAATATTTATTTTAACACCCCGAGAGCAGCTGTTTATTTTTTTTGATCCGGCAACACTGTTAAAATCGATAACAAAAATTTTCGTCAACTCAGTACCCGCAAAAACTAGCAGGCAAAAATTTCTTCTTCTTTCCTTTTTTACACCGTTTTTTTTATATGGAGTTTGACAGCTGTCACTCGTTGGACAGCGGATTTTCGTCAACTCAGTACTATGCTTATCGGTACAATAATAAAAATTTTAATTATTGGTAAATTATAGGAAGTAAAGCTAAATGGTATAACAACTAACTTAATTTGAATTTTCCGTTAGGAATTGACTGCTATTAAAATTTCTTTTAAAATTATTAGCCATTTTTGGCTTATTTTGGCTTGCCCTGCTGTGCCCGGCCGATAGTTGGCAACACTGTCAACAACCCTGGTCGCCACACGAGAAGAACTCAAAGCACAAAACTGCATTGGCTTTTAATTGCAAACAGTTTGCCAACGGCAGTTAACTTCCTCACATATTCCCGGAACGATGAAGCTGCTTCCTTTACTCTGGATACTGATCAGTTCCAGTAGCCTGCTCCTGGTTTCAGGCGAGGAGAAATCGGCAAACACTGTCACCGATTCCAAGGTGATCGCTGGGAACTTGTCGACTGCACCGCTTGGAAATGCCACCCAAGGGGGTACTTCACCGGCAGTGGTCGTTCCTGGAACACCGGCTACCCCACCAGCTGTCCAGCAAGGCAACCAGAACTCAGCGAAGGCAGAAGTACCAGTCGAAAAGGCAAAGGATGTGACTACCACTACGGACAATGGAGCCAAGACCAGAAAGCGTCCATTACCAACATCCTCCTCGATTCCGAGTGCATCTACAGCTGCCAAGCCTGCCACCCAGGCCAAGGGGGATGCAACTGCTGCTGCCAGTCCATCTTCCAACAGCACTTCATCGGCTACATCAACCACGACAACGACTGCAAAGCCGCAGGCTGCAGGATCAGCCATAGTAGCCGAGGGTCAGTCCTTGAGCGATGTGACCAAGGCGTCCAGCAGCTCCAAACCCAACAATTCCACTGCGGCCACAACAAAATCAGCTATTTCTAGCACCTCAACGACCACCACTACCACCACAACCACCACCACTACGACCACTACCACTCCCAAGCCCACTAAACCGCCTGTTGCCTTTGGCATGAACACGCACAAGGAGTGGGAGGAAGAGCAGAAGCAGGAGTCAGGTCCACCGAAGGGCAATGATAAGAAGAATAAGGATAAACCGGCAGCGGCCGGCGGTGCTTCGTCTCAGCCTTTGCCAGTGCCATCTTCTACGCTCGCCGAACCGGTGACTCCTGTGGTGCAAGAGCTGACCAGCAATCTGGCCGATCGTGGCGGCAACGTGTATGTGGTGCCAATTGTCACTGTGCTGCTCACCGTGCCGCTGGCCATCGGTGTGGTGATCGTTATGTATCGTCGCTTCCGTGACATGTGGAGCACCCGCCACTATCGCCGCATGGACTTCCTGGTAGACGGCATGTATAACGACTGACGAAGGCGGAATCAATCCGAACTAGCCCTGTCCACATACTCCTCAGACCATACTTCCTACTCTTTGACTGGAATTCGTTAGCCTCTGAAGCTCTCTGAAGCTGGAGAATAATTATTAGTTGTAAAGCTGCAAGCGCTTGCATCAAATGCAAGATCTCTCGAGTGAGAAAGGATACAACACACATACACACACACAAACTAGGATATTGCTCAGTCAATTAAAACAAATTAGGGAGAAGTACGAGTAGAGAAATCGCTTTAAATTTTACTTCCAAGCGGCCAAATTGAATTTAAAAAAACCAAACTGATTTTTTTTTTTAATCGATGCAAAATTGAGACGATGACTTTTAGGCATTTTGGATTTTATGTCAAGCATTTGTTAGAAATCAGCAAGGACGAACCACACACACACTTACACTCATAAACACTTACATAGTCTATATGTGTTTGTGCATATTATATATCTAATTAGAAAGTATATAAGTATATTGGGAAGCTGCGACCAAATTGTATCGACTTTACCTAATCATCCATCAAGCGCAATTAGCAATCACACTCTCATTCGATCTAGTATCTAACCGTAATGTGCCTTACGAATCAGCTCTATATAGATACATTTATATATACATATGTATATGAAAATACCTGTACACTTTGATATTCTGATAATCTCAAACTTTCTAGATTGAGATGTATTTTCCGCATTTACTTTACGCAACTCACTCAAAAACACAATACAAGCTACAAACAAAAAAAAGCAGCAGAAACCAAAAAAAAAAAAAATTATATAAAAATCACAAGCAATCGGCCTGAAACAAGCAAATTTATTGCATAACTTTGTGTAGATATATATACTCTATATATACAAATAATTTTTGTTGTTGTCAATGTAACAATTACAATAAAGCGAAAGGCATTCAAATCAAATTTGTGCGAAATGTGTATTTTTTTTTGTGAAAAACAATACCTTTCCTGGGACTAGGCATCTGTTTATAGAAGTCTGGGTCTACAGTTACTGACCGGGAAGGGTTCCGATTCCCAGAAATCGAAGAAACTAAACTTTTTTAAACAAAAGCTCTTACCCAGAATAACTATGCATTTATTTATTTATTAATTTTCCATAAAAGCAATAAATTGTTAAGAGCTTTATATAGATTTAAAATCATGATTTATTAGAGTATTTCTAAGATTTAAAGCGTTTGCTGTAAATCTTTTGGTTAACCCATTAATGTCAGCATTTATGCTTTATGTACCCATCTCCCCATAGGATTCCCTCCCCCTATACATCCCTTGATGATTTGTTTTCCGCCAAAGTTTTGTGTGTCAAATTGGTTTTTGTAATGCCTTCGACCTGACCTGGTCGATAACAGATCACCAGCGCCTGGGCTCGTCTCGTCTCGTCTCGTCTCGGGTCTGGATTTAGACAAATGTTCTATATATGTAGAACTCTCTTTGTTTTTGTGTTACCCAAGATCTCCCAAGATCCCAAAAAAAGAAAATGCTAAAGAACTCAATGAAATGGTTTATAAATGACCGCTAGCTCTATGGATGAAGTTGTTCGTAGCTCGTTTCAATAATTTAAACAAAAAGAACTAAATTATCAACAAAACGATCCTATCCGAACCGAATGGAATGTGTGAAATGAGCCGAGAAACTGTTTCAGATTTTGTTTTTTGGTCAGGATGATTTTTTACCCATTAATACAAGTTTTTTTAAAAACACTATTATAAGTATGAAATTATATATTTTTGATGAAACAATTTACAAGTAAGAGTAATAGCAGAGTAGGTTGCAATTAATAATAAAATATGGAAATATAATACATTAGTTTCTGGTATAGAATTCTTTTCAATACGTATTATTATTCATCAAACCTACATACTTACTAATATTAAAAAAGCAAAACTAAATTACCCAGAAACTAGAAAAACTAGTATGGGTTATACTTCATCAGAAAAATTGTGTAATCTATTTGTTTATACCATCATAAACACAACAGAACTTAAAATAATTCTAAAAAGTATTAATACAATTTAAAATCATTATTAAAGGAAAACACAAAGGTATCAGATATAACACTAATTTTTGGCTTTTTTTTTAAATTAAAAAGCAGGGCAGGGAAAATATAAAAATGAATAAAATAAAAAAATCTGCCTTCGTCTTCGATCTAGGAAGGTTTCATTCTTTATTTTAAAAAATATGTTTGCGGTGGTAATGGACGTAGATAGATCTCTTCTTTTTTTTCCAACTTTCTTTTTTATTTTTTAATTTAAAGTGGGTTTTGGCCACTTTGGTCTCTTATTTCCTCCTTTACTTTAGCTGATTTTATTAAACAAGCAGTTGGTATTTATCAAGCTATGTGTCATTGTCTTTTAGTTTGTACATACATTTTTAATAATAATTATAATAATATACAACACAATAACACATTTAATATAAAGCAGTATCCTCTAGTCTAGAGGATCTGCTTCGCTTTGTATCTTTGCTTTTTCGTTTGGCTTCTGCTTTTGATTTTGGTGATGCTGGGCTGGAAGCCACCTCCGCACGCTCATTCGAAAACGTGCGCTGGACGCGTGCAGTTCTCCAAAGATCCCTTCTGGACCAAAAATCGACACCACTGATCTCGATTCTAATCGTAGTACGTAATAGTAAATCCAAAAATGCATCCTGCCTCGCCGCATCAGCACCGCGCGCGCCTTCATATCGGTTCCCCCGGCGGATCCGGTTCGGGGTCGGGCAACGTGCAAGCCTCCTCCTCGACGGAGACCTTTCCGTTGACTCCGCAGATCCACCAGTCGGGTCAGCAGCATACAGTTCATATTCCGCCCTCCACATCGCTGCCGTACCAAGGACTCAAGACGTGTAAGATGTTTTCCGTGGGGGAGTGTCCTTAAAAGGGAATATAAAAAATTATTATTAATAATTATTATATTTGTACATAAGATATAGATATTTTTTATAAAGAACCTATGAAGATATTTTTGTCCAGTGGTTGCTAAAATAATTAAAACTTTCATTAAAATATCAATTAAACGAAAAAGTACTTCTTTAATAAAGTAACTCTCCTTAAACTTCCTGTCTACACATTCTCTTTAAGCCTTAATATTTATTCTATCATCCTAAGAATAATGAAAAATACAGTTTGAACTAATATTTAACTAACTTTTGAAAACTAAAATTCTCTTTTATAAAATAAAACAACATGATTTTATTATCTATTTCATATTTTCATCTTTTTAATCTTATGTCTTATGCCTTTATTCTGTTTATTAATTATAATTTTATGCATAATTCCCTAAATATTAAAGGTATCTTCCTTTAAAAACCAAAAATCTATAACATTTTAAACATTCCCTGCAAGAGGATATATAATAACCTTAGCATTATGTCAAAGAAAAACATTCCTGATTTCTGGACCGGATTTCCAGACGCATATAGTATAACCGAAAGAATATATTCGCTCTACGTTTTGTTTAGCTCATAAAAATATACGCACATTGACTGCTAGATACAAATAGTTTTTCACATTATATGACCTCACAGAGCTCTAGAGATCCAGAGATCCCCAGACCAAGAATAATTCATAAATGCGATATTAATGCCCCACAAAATGATAATCAAGGCACGTTGAGGTGAGACCATGAATCATTTTCATTGAAAAAAAATCTGAAATCCAAAGCTCCAGCTCTATAAATGTATATGTATCTGTAAGGCATATTGAATTGTATCGATCACGACCACCTATGAAGTATGCAATATAAACTGTGCGCCGACATAAAAAAATAAATAGAAATTTTACCAAATCGGCTCGGACATGTCCATGGAACATGGGCAGCTGGTACGAATATGTTTTCTACCCGGATCCAATGGCATCATATGAACCGAATCGTATCCGTGATATAAATCGTATTGTCGAAACTCGTAAGATAAACAAGAGGAAAGAAATACTCAACACCCGACGCTGGGACGTAAACATTATCCATGGGAATAAATAGTTCCAGCGTTAGGTGAAAAGAGCAAAACAAACAAAAAATCAGAAAATAGAAGATCATATTCAAGAACGAGGTCTACACACACAGTAAAAAATAATCAAAAAAGAAAAGATCATTAAAAAATAATCTGTATTGCTTATACACTATTTTAGATACTGTCCTTAGGTCAACAATATTATTTAATAATTAATCATTCAATTATTTATTTCTCCTTGTGTATCCACTGCACATACAAAACAATATTAGCCATAAACAAAAGGCTCGTGCTTATGTAGTTAGTCAAGCATAAAAAATGCTCCGAAACATTATGTGGATATTTATGGAATTTACAGCATTTTGTACTACATCAAAAGCAATTTGTACAAATTAATTGCCCAAAAACAGAACCATGGCATAATCATATTGCTGGACCAATTGAAATAATGCATGCAATTGCCTAAAAACTGTTTCTCATAAGGCCGGCTAATTAGAAATAATTTTTCAACACACATTTAATTGGGTAATAAAATTTAAAAATCAATATGCAATTAACTAATATATGGCACAAGTTTTTCCAAGTTTCCCAATATCGATAGAGCAAAAAGTAAAATAAAATAAGAATACCCACTTAGAACCACTTGCCAAAAACTGTATCTTTCGCCCAAATATGTTGAAGGACTTTCCTTCACTTCTCGATCAATAATAAAAAATTCATTTTTTTCCCAATCTTAGTGTGTTAATCCATGAATCTCCTGTATCCGGAATCGCCAATGTTTTCCACCATTTGTCCTTGGAGTTGTCGCATCTTCTTCAGTGAATCCCCATGTATATTTTCTTACAATCTCCTCATTAGATTCTAGAACTCTTGAACTCCTTACAGAGGTCCGAAGTCCAGTCCAGTCTTTTTTCACTATCTTCGAATTCGTTTACATATTCCTCAAACGAGAGTTTAAAGTTATTTAAATTTTTCCCCTATCCTAAAGCTGCTTTCTTACATTAAACTATCATCTTATGTGCTTATTTATATCGTAGCCATGTATAGCTACATATATGTAGCTGCTATTGAAATGTCTTCATGAGACTCTAGATCTCATAAGGTCCAATTTTTCCAGGTTGATGAAGAGTCCAGTCTTTCTAACAGCTTTCAGGCATATCGAATTTTTTCAATATCTGATAGCCTGTTCCCTATAATAAACTATCACATATAGCTGCTATAGCAATATCTTTATGAGACTCTTGATTGGTCATAAGGTGCCATTATTTCTGTCCGATGAAGAGCCCAGTGCTTCTTTCTCTTTCAGGCATATCCGAATCCTTTAATATATTCGTCAAACGAGTTATCATAGCCATAGCTATACATGACATATGAAAGTATTGCAATCTCCTTAAGAGACTCTAGAGTTCATAAGGTCCAATTTTTCCAGTCCGATGAAGAAGATATCTTCTAAAGCCTTTGGGCATATCCGAATCCTTTTTCATATTCCTCAAAAAAAACCGTTTTTCCCGTATCTGAAAGCTTATTACCTATTATCCCAAGTACTTTTATAGAATATCCTATCATGATCATCCGAGTAACAAGCCACTTCCCAGGAATCTGATGTTGTGATTTGGATGGGTAACTCTTGGATGATTGTAGATTTGTTTTCGGTTGGTCAACAAAGATGTGGAAAAGCTGGGATGCTCATTCAGCAAGTGGAAGTATATATATTTGGATTGTAATCTCTGGGTAACTCTTGCCTCTTCATTTTGGAATATATTAAAGTAAAGACATCAATATTTTGCAGCATATTCGTCCTAATTTTATTTCATGGAAAGGCCACCTGGTATTTTAACATTTAAACAATTATATTTTAAATCCCTTAAATCTTCATAATAAATTTTTGAAAATTCTTAGTTCGGCTCTTAGACGGCAATATATTTTTTAAAGAATCAAAGATGTCCCCTTCATTATTTCACACCTTGGACCAAATAATAATATCTTCAAAGTCTATGCAAGAATATTAAGAACACAAACAAAAATAAATCATGCAATTGTTTAAAAAATTTATATCTAAAAAAAAAACAATTTTTCTGAAAGTTCTGATTATAAAATTACAATTAATTTTGGTTATAGTTATAGACGTATTTGAAACACAATCAAAGCACCAATTTGGCGCAACAAACGGAAGTGAAAATCATTGAAAATCACATTTTTGTATTGGCAACAAGTGCTCCAATTTCCCCCGATTGGGAATCCGAATATTTGAAAATTTTTGAAAGGGAAGTGGAACGTGCCAGACGCCGGAGATTCGCGTTCACCAGATGTTCCCTCGATTGCCTTTCAATTGCTTGTGAAATTTGCGATAAACAATAGACGCCTCTTTGGCTAGACTGAGGGAAAATGATATGGTTTATTTGGAAATTAATCAACCTAAACCTAAACAATTGGAAGTTATTTATTTTATAAACCTTACCATTTTGAGTATTTATTGTCTTCACCACTTCATTTCTCACTGTATACTTACTCCTGTCTCTTCCAGCCGAGAACGATGACATGGGCTGTGTGGAGATACTGGCCACCGTGGTCTCCGTGCTCATCATGGTCCTGACCTTTCCCATCTCCGTCTTCATCTGCTTCAAGGTGGTCTCCGAATACGAGCGGGCGGTGATCTTCCGGATGGGACGACTGCGCAGCGGAGGAGCTCGCGGTCCTGGCGTATTCTTTGTGCTGCCCTGCGTGGATGACTACTATCCGGTGGATCTGCGTACCGTCTCCTTCGATGTGCCGCCGCAAGAGGTTCTCTCGAAGGACTCGGTAACGGTGACCGTGGATGCGGTGGTCTATTATCGCATCAGTGATCCCCTCAAGGCCGTCATCCAGGTGTACAATTATAGTCATTCGACCAGTCTCCTGGCAGCCACTACGCTGAGGAACGTTCTGGGAACCAGGAATCTCTCTGAGCTGCTGACGGAACGGGAAACGATATCGCACACCATGCAGATGTCCTTGGACGAGGCCACCGATCCCTGGGGCGTTAAAGTGGAACGTGTGGAAATGTGAGTTGTTGTTGTTGGACTTTGATGAGCCTTTGAGTTTAATTTGTGATCCTTCGATTTTACAGCAAGGACGTGTCCCTGCCCACGGCTCTGCAAAGGGCTATGGCTGCAGAGGCGGAGGCCGCCAGAGAGGCCAGAGCCAAGGTTATAGCCGCCGAGGGTGAAATGAAATCCTCACGAGCTTTGAGAGAAGCCTCCGAAATTATATCAGCCAGCCCGTCCGCCTTGCAGGTGAGTCTGAAAGTCTAGATTAGGAGGTGTGTATCAAAAAGGAAAAAGTTCTTTTTTTCTTACTATGTGATACCCGATACTCGTACTTTTAATATTTCAATACCCAATGTTTCTATAGTTTCCTATAAAAATGAAAACATTTATTAATTAAAATAAAAACCCATTTTTTAGCTCCGTTACCTGCAAACCCTGAGCAGCATTTCCACTGAGAAAAACTCAACCATTATCTTCCCACTGCCTATGGAGCTGTTGACACCCTTCCTGAATTCTCAGGCTCATGTACAACAATTGCAGTTGCAACATCAACAGCAGCAACATCAACAACAACAACAGCAACAGCAACAACAGCAGCAACAGCAACATGCAACAGGTCCTGGAACGCCAATACATCGGCATCAACATCATCAGGCACATCACCAGTGACGCTCGATGTCGGTGCTGCAGCCGTATCTGGAGGCACTGCATCGCTGCGAGCTCCAGAGGCAGCAGCGGAATGTGGCGGATCCGGATGACGATATCGTTGGGTATTTGTTGTAAATTGTAATGCGATGGCCGCAGCAGCGACAAAGCTCTCTGGGGGAAAACCCTAAAGAAAATTAATCATTTGCGGGGTTAACATTTTTTACCAGACTTTTCACTGAAAAAAAAACGAAAATTCTTTAGGAAAATAAATAACAAATTACACTTTTTTTTGTGCTCTGTATATACTAAAACCATTTTTTTTTAACAATTAAATTAAGAGTTTAAATTAATGAGAAGGTAGATATTTAGAAACCTATCTTAATTTTAAAATTTAATATCATTTATTTAATACAAATTTTATAAATTTTTTAAATTTAAAATTAAACAAACCGGTTGAAAATGCTTGAATACGTAGTTAAAAAATTAAATAAATGACACGAAAACTTAAAAATAAACTAAATTGATATAAATGTTTTTAAAAACTATTGAATAAAATAGAAAATATAATATAAATAATGAATCGTTTTTTCAAGTGCCTTTCATGATAATTTAAACGCAAAATAGGGTATGTTTTGAAAAAAGAAGATTATCTCTATGAATCACACTTTTTTCCCATGACCTAAGCTCTCTTGGTCCAAGAATCGGACAGATTTTTAATCTGAGGTTCTGAAATCGATAAACTGATGGAGTAATATTTTTAAATACTGATAGCGAAAGCTTTCGTTGATCGATTGGGGGATTAATCTGTTGCACGAGTGCTTTCTGAGCTTGTACTTTTTATATTTTTTCTTTTTAAGATTCCACAGATGAATCATTCTGCGAATGTGGCTCGACCGGCAAGGCCATAATTTTTTAGAGGGGAGATTAAAAAGGTTACAGAACTAAAATAAAATATATAATATAAATTAATTACAATATTAATTTAAAGTTTTAACAGCAAAACCTATCCTTAGATATAAAATTAAAAACTTTTCACAGTTTTCTATTCTCAGTTTGAAACCTATCACTTATAGTTTACTTATATCTCTATAGATTATCAAACTTCCATATTTTTAATAATTTATAATTGTATTTTTTTAAATATTGACCTCACCCTTAATCCATAATCATATTACTCGATGCACCCTCGTAACCCGAGCAGAAAGTGGAACGATAAAGCAGTATCGTTTGGAGAACCACCCGGGGCTCCCGGCTCGTATTCTTATCTCGTCGAGTGCTTCAGTGCTTGGTGGGATTGGACAAATCGAACATTTTCCGATGCTCTGGCAGTAGTTGCTCCGGCAGTTTCGAGAGTGTTTCGCTGACCGGACCGGACTGGAACAGAAGCCATGGCATCGCAACTGGACGATTCACCCGTGTATGCCAACTATGAGGATATGCGCAACTCCGGCCCGACCAGCTCCACGGATTATATGGTCCAAATGGGTCCCACTGGAGATACTGTTCGAGTGCCGGTTGTTCAAATACCGCCAAAACAAACGCAACAATATCGGGGGTTTAAGACCTGTGAGTATATACTATATATATGGATTTTTTAGAAATAGTGTGGAATAGGTAATCGATTTTATTAAACTTTGGATTATATTTTAAAATATATCAATTACATCCTAAAGTACTTGACAAGCTGTCTTCTTTGCGATGAAAATAAATATTATTTGCTTTTATGATTCACGATAAAAATGTTAAATATTATAAATATATTTTTTTAGAAGCTTTTTTCAACTTGCTTTAGTAAAGAGTTTATAAGACCTATAGGCTATCTTAGGAATCCTACCACTTATAGATTACTTATATAGATTATCATATCCCTTACTTATGTCATTTCCATGTATTACCTAAAAATTGATATTTCAATCAGCCGGAACTATATATTTACCTTTGAAATTGTTTATCAAACTGTAATCGATCGATGCGACTATTAAAATGCTAGCGAATTTCTTAAGAATCGATTTCTTGAGATTAGATTACGGACAAACAATGAGCCAAATGCGATTGAATACTCCCGGGTTTTGGTTAAAGTTTGTATATGTAAGAGTTGGATACTCGTAGAGTAATAAACCTGAACGGAAACCTTATCGGTTGTTACTGGAAGCGTCATTAAGTCAATATCTATAGAAACAAAAATAAATAATACACCCTACACAGCTACAACCGATTTCCTTTGAAAATTATATCTAAATAAAAAATGATTCTGACGTACAAATAATAATTCTGTTATCGATTTAGATATTTATAATTCTAAATACTCATATATGTACATAGGTGTTTGATTGATAAGCTTATAGTTTCATCAGCTACTGGGTGGCAGTATCACACCTTTGTTTTATTAAATAACTTTAATTATTAGCCGTAAACATTAACATATCCCTATAAATTTAAAAAATCACTACAAGATTGTGTCTAAAAAAGCCTTAAATTGGCATAAAAATGAAAATGTAGCTCCGAAAATATTTATCATATTGAGTTAAAAATTACATATATATATGTAGATAAAAATAAAATAAAAATTTTAGATATTTTGAAAATAATAACTGAGTTTAAACCCTTAAAGGAAGTGCTGAAGAACATCCGGACTGATAACTTTTGATCTAATCATGGGCTCTTCAACATTTTATATATAGTAGTAGTACTTATATAACTTAATTAAAGTACTTAATGGAAAATACAATAACATTTTGTAATTCCAGCGGAAAACGAACCCCGAGGATGCATGGAGTGGATGGTTACCATCCTATCCGTCCTTGTCTTCATCATCACCTCGCCCATTTCCATCTTTGTCTGCTTCAAGGTGGTGGCCGAGTACGAGCGTGCCATCATCTTCCGGCTGGGCAGACTGTCCGGCGGAGCCCGTGGACCGGGTATGTTCTTCATCCTGCCGTGCATCGATGAGTACCGCAAGGTGGACCTGCGAACGGTCACCTTCAATGTGCCGCAGCAGGAGATGTTGACCAAGGATTCGGTGACAGTGACTGTGGATGCCGTGGTCTACTATCGTATCAACGATCCCCTCTACGCCGTTGTCCAGGTGGAGGATTATAGCACCTCTACGCGCCTACTGGCTGCCACCACACTGCGCAACATCGTGGGAACTCGGAATCTCTCCGAGCTGTTGACCGAGCGCGAAATTCTTGCCCACCTCATGCAGTCCACCCTGGACGAGGCCACCGAGCCCTGGGGCGTTATGGTGGAACGTGTGGAGATGTAAGTGGGTGCCTTACACCTTTAGAACTGTCGGCTAATGAGTATCCCTTGCAGCAAGGACGTCTCTCTGCCCGTTTCCATGCAGCGAGCCATGGCCGCCGAAGCGGAGGCTGCACGGGATGCTCGCGCCAAGGTGATAGCCGCCGAGGGTGAAAAGAAAGCCGCCACTGCCCTAAAGGAGGCCTCCGATGTGATCTCGGCCAGTCCTTCGGCTCTGCAGGTGAGTGTTCTATCCATCTCCTTGAAATATTTACTCAAACATGGGATTTTGTGATTTTTCAGCTCCGTTACCTGCAAACCCTGAGCAGCATCTCGGCGGAAAAGAACTCCACCATTATCTTCCCGCTGCCTATGGAACTGCTAACTCCGTATTTGGCCAAATACGCTGCGCTGATGCCACAGGGTCCTCCTCCTGCTCAGCCGCCGGAGAAGTACGATGTCTCGTTCATAAATGCCCAGGCGGCGTGGCCCAAAACAAACCTATAGGATATTCCACAATGTATTTCAATGATGGCGCTTTTAAAGCCCTTGCTGGGTATTTTATTGTCAGTTTTTAAAATCTATCAGTGTATGAATGTGCAATGAAATCGGACAACTAGAACTACTAAGGAACAAACCTTGCCAACAAGACAAACTGCAAGGATACATCTTTAAACTTCGTCCTAGACCGAAGTTACGATTCCTTACAACCATTTTTTTTTTTTAATAAACAAACCTCTTGTTATTTACAACAAATATACATTGGCTGGCTCCAGATCCAAAGCTTTGGTGGCCATCTCTTTCATATTCTCTTGAAATCTGGAATCTCCCGCTATGATGGCCACGCGAGTTCCTGGAATGTTTTGGTTTGCAAAGCTGGAGAGCTCCGAGATGTCCAATCGCGATATCTTGGCTGCCTCCTTGTATCGCAGGCTCTTGGCCAGCTCCAGGCACTCTGGTAGGCAATGATCCGCCGCCTGGCAAGCGGAAGATCCACATTGTTGGTGTGGTAGATACAAGCAGCTCTTGTAGTTCCAGTTGCGAGCGAATTCTAGGAGCTCCTCTCTGAAATATACATGCTGGAGATCCCTGGAGCAAACCAAATGCCAGATGCGACTCATGTCGTCCTCGTTCTCGAGCACCTGCCGCACCAGAGGCAACGTGGGGGCAATGGCCACTCCCTGGCAGATGATAAAGAGGCATTTGGTAACGCTGGCATCGTACTGGTAGTTTCCTATCGGCCCTCGGAACTCCAAGATATCGTTGACCTGGACAGAAGCCAGTTTCTGGGACATACCACCGCCGGATTGGAGCTTCACCAGGATGCGGAACTCTTTGGCGAGAAAGTCGCTCCAATAGGGCGAGTAGGGACGCAGCAGGGAGCCATCGCGGAGCATCACATGATGGCCGGGAGGAATGTCTAGCACTGATTCATCGTCCTCCTCATTCACCGCATGACGGAGGTGTAAAAAAAGCACAGTATCATTCGCTGGATGGCTTTCCCGCCAAATCAAACGAAACTTTGTGTAGGGTAGGATCACATTCCGCTTGCCGGCCAGCAGCAGGCGCCGACTTGGTTTCGGTTTGTTATCGAGGATGCAGTTAGTACAGCCATTGCCACAGCAATCCGATTCCTGAATGACAAACGGATCCTGCTCCTCGGAAGCCAAAGATTCCCTTTTTAAATCCTGCTCCTCGGTCACCATAACCGCACAATGTTGGAAAACGTCAAACTTAGTTCAACTTGGACAGTGTCTCCACGCTAAAAAAAATAATTAATAAAATTAAAAAAAAAAAATAAAATTAAATTAAAAAAACAAATATTTATTATTTTCATAAATATACATACATATTCCCTTAAAATAGCTACAAACGACTTAACTGTCAACACTGATAGCTGTCAGGCGACGATATACAACACTGTTTGTATTCAGGCAACGCTTCTCAGCACTAGGACAGTAAAATTTGTTAAACATCACGCTAAAATCAAAAATAAATAAATACGAACGTCATATCGGCCGATCGTAGCTATATCTCTGGCCCCGTTACTCCCCCCCCGCCTGAGATCGCGTGCAATAGAGAGCGCCCAAGTGAGAGAGTGAGAGGGAAAGCCAGGAGAGCGACGATGAGCAACTAGTGTCCACCAGTGCATCCTTTGTCCAGCTTGGAGCCGCTCTCTCCGAACATGAACCTGGAATCGCTCTTCCGCGACTTCAATCCCTGGTAAATAGCGTGCATAGATGCCTCTAATTGGTCACTCATGTCTCCCGATTTTTTGCAGCAAATTCATCGTCCACTGCAGCCTGTTTACATTTGTGACGCTATTTGCACTGCGTCTGGATAATTTTATTGGTGAGTACCTGAGCAGCCACACCTGGATGTGTTACCTAATTGAATCACCCTCCAATCCCATCCACAGATTGGCCCTATTGGGCTATTTTTACGCCACTCTGGATATGGAAGTGCACAGCCATACTGGGTGCCATTGTGGGGGCGATTGTGTGGTGTCGCTACCCGCACTACCGCCTTGAGGGCGATGCCTACACTCAGTTCAAGGCCATGCTCATCTCCCTGGCGCTGCATCTTATATTACTGATGTTCGAGCTACTGGCCTGCGATAAACTGACCTCGGATAGGCACCTCTGGGTGCTGGTCTTCATACCGCTGATCTTTGGGTCGGTGGTCAGTGTCGGTGCCTGTGTGTGGGCCGTGAAGCATGATCGTTCCTTTGAGCTGGAGCTATTCCTGGCTGTGAATGCCCTGCAGTTCGTATCACTGCCGCTGAAACTGGACAAGTTTGTGTACTGGCACTGGGACGTGGTGTTTGTGCCCATGTGGATTGTGATTTGCCTGAGTCTGGTCAGTGTTCTCTACAATATTATATTCTGTGGCATTATGATGCGCACCCCAGAGGTGTCGTTGCAACAGAAGAAGGCGGCTCTCAATGCGGCCGTTGGAAATATATGCACGGTGCTGCCCCTGCTGTGCTTTCAGGTAAGCTGTGGATTAACTTTTTATTGGAAATTATATAAACATGTGCTTTTTTTTCCAACGAAACCAGGTGGTGATATGTGACAAGCTCGACGGCGAGCTGAAATTCCCATATATAGTGGTCTTCTCGCCGCTACTCGTCTCCATTCTGGCCCTAATCATTCTCAGCTTTACGGCCAAGGGCGGAAATATGTGGTGGTTCGGTATTCGGAAGTCATTTAGCCAGTTCCTGTTATCGGCCATGCCCTTCCTGCAGGAATACGGCAACATTAGCTATCACGCAGAGACGCACAGCGGCAATGCCGGGCAATCGGTGCCATTGGATGCCACCTCATCGTCGACGAGCACGGGCGGCGGTAGCGGCAGCGAGCAGTTGCACGAATTCGGGAAGCACGACAAGAAAAGTAAGAAGGCTGCCAAGAACGATATCCTCAAGCCGGTGGTGCCATTCGTGAGCATTGATTTGCCGGACTAGATTAATCTGTAATGGACTATGATTGATTTTGAGAAGGAGCAAGAGGAGGAGGAGAAGGAGCAGCAGCACGTAGACCTAAGGACAGACTCTCACCCACATACACACAACTGCACCTTAGTTCAGGTGTTTAAATTAAGCAAACAAACACACACACAGAAACACATCGGCCGTAGCTTTTAGACTCGTACTGAATTATAATTGTAAGCCAAAACGCTAACACCATTCCCCCATCCACCCATTTACCCTCCACGCCATTCGCCTGCATATAATGGCTGTACATATATACATATATATTCTCGTATGTATACCGATCCTGAGTAAGCCCAATTATTCGCTGGGTTATTACATCGTAAAATTGGTTTCTACCGTGATGACGAATCAGAAAATACCTTCAAACGATGACAACAACAACAAAAATTGCCAACCTTGACCTTTAACTACCTTTGACCCTACCTATGAACGGTATATATGTGCAAGTATTATATGTATGTCCTCCCACACTAATGTTTTCCTTCAAAACAAGGCAAAAAAAAAAAAAAAGAAAAACCATAAACACCAATCCTCCCACTTATGTGTAATGCGCTACAAAAAATTGTAAATAATTTAAAAATAATATGATTAAACAGAAAATATCTAATTAAGTGCTTCCAAAATTAAATCTAATTTTTTGCTCCAAGGAACTGACTATAAGACATTTTAGTTCGTATTAATCTTTATTCAAATTAGGAAGCTACAAAGTTTACATATTTGGTTTTTTCATAGTTAAGTTTTTTTTTTTTTTGTTAATTTTTTGCATTAATTCTCTTACGTTGTGTCGCCTAAAAAGTTATGCAAAAAGGTAAAAAGTTGCATTTTAAAAAGTGACTGACCATTTTACATACGAGTATATATCCCAGAAGCCGCTGCCATATAAAACTAATTCGAAAATAGCCGGGTGAGTGTGATGAGATATCGTAGTATATGGTTATATATGGTGGAGTGTATATAGAGCATTATTCTGGAAGTACATACATATCTTCAAGGAGCGAAAGAGAGAGGCACATTTTGTAATTTTGGTTTTTTTTTTTTTTTTGGAAAGAAATCGAAAAAGTATTAAAATGAGTGAGACAAACGATACGGAATTAGAGCGAGATGGGTGTAATGGAAGCAGGGTAGTAATATTATATATATATTTGCTCGATCGCAGGTGCAAGCTGGCAACTCAACTATTGCATAACATATGTCTCTATACAATATATATATAACGCTTCAAGTAAGTAATACAATTTCGTGTGAAATTTAACAATTGTTTCATTGGTTTAGCTACGAAGTTTTTTTTTTCCTTAAAAGGGGGTATCCTCCTCATCCGATCTCTCGTAATTAATAATAATAATGATAGTAATAGTAGGTATTACTTATGGAATAAATCTTGTCGACTTCCGCTGTGTATAGTACAAAGTTTTCTAATTCATTTTTGAACTTTTTCTTCGATTTCAGCTAAATACTCTCCGTTTACGAAACAAAACATATCTATACCCGATACTGTTTACTGTAAAATATTTGTGTATATTGATCCTAATCTGGTATTACAATTCGGTTAACTATAAATATATATTTAATATATTTATTTAGTGAACCTACTTACAACGGAAAGCCTAAAAAATGGAAAAGTGTTTGCTTCGCACCCGCATACTGTTATTTCTTATATTTTTCAGTTTTTCATCCTTATATTGTTTTGTTTTTTTAATTTTACTATTCAAGTTGGCTAAGAACAATTTTTTTATTTACTACTTTTTATTTTTTGGTATAGTCTGTGTTTCATCTTGATTTGCCGATTTTAAGGATAAAGTGATGGGATTTACAAATAAAAATTAATTATAATTTTCAAAAACATATTTTTGAAAAAAAAATAATATATATGTATAATTGTTGTATACCCATCACTAAACCTCCAATCCGTGTGCCACTACTATTGGTTATTTCGTTGCCCTCGATTTCGCAGCTTAATGTCTATTGTCTGGATTTTGTTTACAGTGTATTTGGGATTGGGAATCGGGCCAATAGGACCCGACACCCCGACATAATCCCCGCAAACATGTTACTCTTTCCTTTTGTATAAACGATATGTACTAAGTGGTAAGTAATACGATTTCTAATTGCCTAAGAAATGAAACGCTTTTCGTTTCAATTTTTTCGTTTTTTTCGATATTTTCTGTTTTTTCTTTTTTAAGTTTACTTTTTTCGGATTTTCGAAATTTCAAAATTGACTTGAGATCTTTGGCGAGCTGCGATCCATTAGGCATTCATAATTATTTTATTTCTTGGATTTTCTGGGTGCACTTAGATTGTAGGTAACTTATTTCATTTATTTAGAATGTGTACATAGAACCGTATGTCTCCTACATTGACATATCCATTGCATATAGTACATGCCTGTATACATATGTTTTTTTTTTTTAATAATTAATATAATTTTTGGAACTATGGAACATTTTGGTTTCTAGCTTTCGTTTTTGGTTTTTTATTTAATTTTTTTTTTGTAGTGTATCCGGGTGGTTGGGAGCATCGAAGAAAATGTATAAAGATTTGTTTCGATTTCTGTTCTTTTTTTATGGGGTGTGGAAGCGCTTAGTTTTAAATTTGAAGAAGTTCGTTAGTTGTACGTTTCGTATGGAAATTTTACGTTAAAAAAAAAATATATATAAATATAACACAAACACACTGTACACTGGGAAAAAAAATTACGTCCAGGTGGGTGGTTGACGTGTGACACTCTAGTCCACCTTCGGCCTGTTGCTCAAGTACTGGGAGAGATTATCGCGAGGTCCTTGAACAATCAGCATGAACTGCGAGGGGAAGTCCCAGATAATGGTGAAGTGGAACAGCATATTGGCAATGGCGATCAAGTACTCGAAGAATGCGAACCAACTGAAGGCTGAAAAGGGTAACAGAAGTAGGTATTTAATAGAGGTTAAGTTATAAATAGGTTTAGATTTGATTTTGATTGTGGAATATAATATAATTCATTTAGAATTCAATATCATTTTCCTCTCATTCTCAATTGTTTGCAAATTTGATTGGACTTTTTTCAAGGTATTTATTTTGAAAAATGCTTTAAACATAAGTGAGAACCCTATATTATGCTATACTACATTTTGCAAATTTCTATATATATCTTTTTTGATTCAGATCCGATTCACAAGCAAAATATTTTAAACACTTACTATATCTATTTTCTATCTATCTATATCTACCTGCACCTTTAATGCAACTTCACATTTTATTTATATGTATATTTTTATACCCTTGCAGAGGGTATTATAATTTTGTCCAAAAGTGTGCAACGCAGTGAAGGAGACATCTCCGACCCTATAAAGTATATATATTCTTGATCAGGATCACCTCCTGAGTTGATATGAGCATGTCCGTCTGTCCGTCTGTCTGTCTGTCTGTTTCTACGCGAACTAGTCTCTCAGTTTTAAAGCTATCGACTTGAAACTTTGCACACACCCTTCTTTCCTTTGCACGCAGTATATAAGTCGGAACGGCCCGGATCGGCCGACTATATCCAATAGCTGCCATATAACTGATTGATCGGAAATGGTATAACTTTGGTGTTTTTAGAGTTAGAGAGTTCAAATTTGACACGAGAGCTATTTTTGGCAACACATTACGACATGCCAAATTTCATAAGGATCGGCCGACTATATTTTATAGCTGCCATATAACTGAACGATCGGAAATGACCCAACTTTCGTGTTTTTGAAGATAGAAAGCTGGAACTTGGTACAGATTATATTTTTGGCCAGTTGATCCAATCTACGAAATTTCATTAGGATCGGCCGACTATATCCTATAGCTTCCATATAACTGAACGATCGGAAATGGTACTTGGTAGAAATATCAACTTTCTTATTTTTGAAGATAGAAGCTTGGGACTTTTTTTAGATTTATTATTTTAGTTAATTGGTTTTATTATGATGTATTCATAAGGATCGGCCAACTATATCCGATGTTTGCGATATATATCCGGTTTTAACTGCAAGGGTATATCAACTTCGGCTCCGCCCGAAGTTTGCTTTCCTTTCTTGTTTTTTAAAGATCTCTTGGCAAAATGAGGTTGAAACCTACATATATGATGACAACATCTTTCGCTATCCACCACCGATCTCAAAGCGGAATATCATAATAAATTTCTAAATCAATACCCCATTCCACAATATTAAAATCTTTTAAAATATGTTCCCCTAACTATCCAAAATATATTACCCAAATCGTGACAGTAGAAACGGTGTTTGGCAAAGAACACCAACAGCCCAATGGTGCTCAGAATGGAGACAGCGAAGAGAATCTTCTTCCACTTGATGGACAGGCGTTGCTGCTCACTCAGTTCCTGTCCAGAGTTGAGGATACCGTTCAGCTTGATGGTGGCCAGCATATAGCACAGAGAGCACACCATGAACGTAATGAAAATGCGCTCATGAACGGCTGCAAAATAAATATGTTATGCATAATATTTTTAATATTTTATAAATATTTACGGTAATTCTCTCGATTCGATATATAGGTAACACCGCCCAAAGAAGCTATCTCGATGCAGTTGAGCACCAGGATCAGCGTGATCAGCAGGTTCGTCTGCGAGACCTGGGCTGGAGCCAGACGACGCAGCTGGGAGCGATAGTAGTTCTTGTAGACGAAGGCAATGGGGATGCGCGGCCCGATGTGGAGCGCAATGCTGAAGCGCCAGAAGTAGCGCTGCGGACTGACGCCAGTAATTGCACTTATCGAAGGTATTATGTTGTAGACCTAAGGGGTAAAGAAAGTAGATAATTATTTTTAAGGAAAAAATTGTCGAAAAATGTTGAGATGACTATGTGATACCCGGTACTTAGGTGGCCTTCGTTCCCTATTGTTTTTACTTAAAAAGGTAAAGGACTTATATACAAAAATCAATGAAAATCCCCTATTGCTTATATGTATAACTCCATAATAGGTATAAAAATCTTCTCCCTATATGAGACCCAGTCCTTGTAAAAGCTCCCACCAACTTATTTAAATTTAATGGATAATGGACAGAAGTAAAAGATATCTAAAATTATGATATCTAATCTCTAAAAGTATATATATATATAAAAGATATATAGGTATGATAAGGAAGAGGAATTCAATGATTTTGTATTACTATATAAACTCTATATTGTAGTACCCGGTACTTTGGGTAACTCCCCAATCCATTTTGATTTTAAACAACAGTGTTTAAATTTTGAATATACATATAAATAAAACCTCTTCTATATATATCTTTAGAATAGGTATAAATAGTTGAAAAAAATTGTTATATAACTATGCTCAGTATATAATACACAATACTTGGCGAAATCTGATCTTTTCGGACATTAGAAGGTACAACAAATTTTGAAAACAAATCTATAGCCTATATATCGTTTAAATAGATATGATTAGGAAGAGGAATTCTATAATTTTGGTTTATTATATAATACCCGATACTCTTCCAAACTCTTTCAACCAGTTTATTTTAAAGATGTACAAAATATTACTTAAAACCTCAGTTGCTTCTGTAGCTTTACAATAAACATGAAGAGAAAAAGGGAAACTATTTTTGTTTACTAAATAATACCCGATACTTCTGCCAACTTTTTCTTAATTTAAAGAATATGTTATACAATAAATGTTTAATATTAATTTATTGTAAATCTATAACTAAATATATAACTAATCTATAGCTTTAAAATAAGGAAACCCCTCGATGCTCTGATTCTGCTAAATTATTTTAAACGATTTAAAAATACCTCAACAAATGATTACCTTAATTTAGAACATTAATATACAGTCTCTTAATTATACCGACTTTTATTTATTATTAATCTGTCAGATTTCTTTGTAAAGCCACTTGCAAGTAAAATAAAAAAAAAAACCAAATACCGCTGTGGGTGAAAAAGTCGTTTAAAAAAATGAATTTGCGTGTTTCCTATCTGGCTGGAAGGACCCCCCGGGGGGATGACAGTGATTTGTTGGCCCTGGGATTAACTGGGATTGGAGCAGTTAGTCGTGGATGGACACTCCCTGTCGGGGATTTCGAGGTCCCCGGACCCTGAACCAGACCCAGACCCAGACCCAGACCCATCGAGGGCAATTTAACTCACGCGGCAATGTGTCTCGTGTACATCGTCGTACTGGAAGGCGTAGGCGGTCACGAAGCACGTGAAGAGCGTCACCAGTGGCAGCAGAGCGGTGACCACACAGATCTGATGGAAGCTGGCCAGATAATGGATGGCCACCGCCTGCTCCTTGGGCTGTAGAGGCTGATCCTTGGGATCATTTAGATCCTTTGGTTGCTGTTTGCAGCTAATCGTTGTGCTGGTCTGTAAGGATTATTAAATATTAGAATATGTTCTAAATTAAGTTAATTAAATTAATTAATAAAAAGTTAAAAAAAAAAACTCAACTTTAAATGAATTTAAAATGAAGAAGTCGGCCATCTTTGAGTTTTATTCGTTTAGAGCTTTTCCGCTTCCGTTTCCGGTTTCGATATTAATCCCCCAACGGTATGGGAATAAATGATGATGGCTTAATGGACCTTACCTCAGAGTTTGGATGATATTGGGTTATAGTTCTGAATGCACAACAACAACAACAACAGCAAGGCCAAAAACAACGAAAAGCTCTAAAAATAAAGGTAAGAAAACAGAAGAGAAGGAAGAGGTGTGAATAAATCAATAAACAAAAGGCAAACAATGAGGCATAATGGCGGAAACTATGCGGATATCTATATATAAGATATTATATACTCTTATATATATATCAGCTCTTATATATATCGACTAACTGAATAATGGATAAGGTGCCGCATGGCATCCCGAATTGGATGAAGCCGGAGTTATAAATAAACAAGTCCTTGAGTCCTCCTGGGCGGAATGTGGGGGTGGCAAGGCCATGCTTTACCCTCCCAGCCCCCTTTCTCTCACTCTCTTTTGGCCACTCTCTCTCACTTGCTCTCAGCCAGTGTTATCCTAGCAAAGGATTAAGGCCCAAAAATAGATGAGCTGCTCCTGACGTCACCTAGATGATGATGAGGAAGATGACGACGACGAAGACAATGATGATGATGATGATGAGCCAGCCAGCTGGCCAAAAAAAAAAATTAATTAGCACCGAAAATGAATGGTTAGTTTGTTGGCCAGGCGTTGGAAATGAAATGGAATGCCTTGCGATTAAATCAGGAAGCAGGACACGCACGGTAAACAATGAAAGAGACAGGAACAAGCACAGAGACAGAGACAGAGGAGGGACAGAGAAGATGAAACCCCGGCAGGGACATTTTTTGGCCAAAAAACCAATGAATGATTAAAACAAGCACCAAACAAACAAAGGCCACCAAGTATACCGTAAATTAGAGAAACTAACCGAGGGGCACGTGAAAAGTTGCAGGGGGGTAGCGACTTATTCGGGTCAGGAAATCGATTTTTATTTTTGGCACATTATTTGCACCTATTTGTTTTTCCAATAAAAATGATTTTAAAATCAATAAATATAATACAAATACAAGATTTATAAAAATTATGCTTAGAAAAAGTTTCTTAGTTTTTAAAAATAACCCTAAAAAAAATAATTATATATTTTAACTTCATAAACTAAATTTTAATAATTAAAATATATTCTATATAATTATATATTAACAAAAATATGTAAAAAAAATCCTCTACAAAACAAAATATTTTTAGCCTATTTTTAAGATGATTTCCCCCCCTTATTTGGGTATGTGATGGGGGGATGGGATGGATGGAGGAGGTCCTGGGTCTTCTGAGCAGGAGGGGTGGCATGCGCGGTGGCTGCGGAAAATTACAACAAAATGAAACGAGCCGAGGAGCCACCCACGCACACACCCACCCACCCACACACACACATTTTTATGACGATTGTATGGAAGGTTGCGAGACATGGCGGGGGGAAAAGGTGCTCCAGCCAAGGGGTGCTCCAGCGGGGGTGAACCTGCCATTCGCTTAATGTTATATAATTTTTTTTTTTTTTTGGCCAGGCCAAACAAACCATAAATACACAAGCACATACTCGTACATAATGGAAGTGAAACGAAAATACATAAAACAAACGAAACGTTAAATAAATAAATATTAGTTTCCAGGGGTAACAATACCGTTAATGGATCAGCAGATCCACTCTCGATGATGGTCCCGCTCTCGCTCCCTCTGCCTGCTGGGGTGCCTCCGCCTCCGGCGATGCACTCTCCGCCTCCGGCATCAATGGTGGCGGTGCTCCCGCTGGACGCCGTTGCCGCTCCTGATGCTGATGCTGATGCTACCGCTGTCGTTGCAGTCGCCGCACCCTTCCCGCTATCTAGCGTCCCTGTTCCGGTGCTCCGTTGCATTTTGTGGTCTCTGGTCGGCGCTGCTCGTTTGCGTTTGCCTTTCGATTTGGCTATTTGGCATAATTTGCATGCCCCACGCTGCCGTCGCCGAGTTCTGACCGCGCGCGCGCCTCTCTTGCAACTGTTTCACGGTTCTGCTCCGTTCTGGTTCCTTGGCTGGCCGATTTTCCGCATTCCGCGTCTTTGCTGCCCTCTTTTTTGCGCTCTTCCTTCCTTACATTTTCTCCATTCCGGCCCACGCACACGGCCAGGCGTTGGGCACACTGGCGGTTTGGGGTCACACTGTTGGCCATGTACCGTTAGTTCTGACAAAATGGCCACCCGTATGAGAAAAAGCGGGATGTTCGAAAGTTTTTGGAGGAAATATTTTTATTTTATTTAAGAAATTGCAAATGAAAAAATAGAATTTGAATTATTTTTGTTGTTTATAGGTTTCTTAAGGGGTTATATACAGTTGTGATATATGAAAAAATCGATTTTTTTTTTATTGCATATTCTTTAAGTATATTCTATTGGGTGTACTCCCACAAAAATTGATAACGATCGGAGCATTAGATCCGAAGCTGTAGCTATTTATAGCACACTATCTGCATATAAAACTTGAACAAACTTGAAACTTTAAACACGATTATCTCAGAATCTTTTTTTTGGGAAATTACCTTTGCGGTGGACACGATTACTAAAAAACTACTAATCCGATCAACACCAAATTTTGACCACTTATTTATTATGATATTAACTAGTCCGTGAACGAGGGATTTTCAATTTTTTTGAAAACTCCTTTTTTAAAGCACAAAAAACGAAAATCTTATACCTTGAAAAAGTAAATTTTTTGTTAAAAAAGTCGCCATTTTTTTTTTAATCAAAATTTTTAAAAATCCCTCGTTCACGGACTAGGCAATACAATATACTAACTATACTTTTTTGAATTTTGGATTTCGGATGAACCGTTTTCGAGAAATCATGTCCACCGCAAGACACCATCGAAAAAAGACGATCCGGGAATTCGGCTATAACATTTTTGTTATGTAATATTTTTTTTATGAACAAATTTAATTAGGTACCCAGAAACATGTACTAAACAACGTCGGTAAAACATTTTTCATAAATATTTTCTATGGTGTCAAAAAAAAATCGATAAAAATCCATATTTTTGCGCGGTACAACTGTATATAACCCCTTAATACGTTTCTTACCTTAACAATATTACTTAATAAGGACTCTATATTATACTACCTTATAATAAATAATAATTATATACTATAAATACAAAAAAATTGGTAGGTTTTCCTCAAGTTTCTGCTTTTCAAAAGACTTTCCCCTTGAAATAAAAACTAAAACTTACAAAAAGAAATATTTTAAAAGAATATTCACTTAATTTATCTACTCCTACCTATTTTTATTTAAAAAAGTCTTTTTTTTTTACAACAAAAAACAAATAAATAATCTTTTAAAAATATTTTCTAGAAAATAAACTGTTAATAATAAATGAAAGCTCTCCAAGATCTTGAAAATTGATTAAAAACTTCCATTAAAATAAAAATTAAAACTGAATAATGTTTTTGTAGATTGTGTTTATTTTAAGTAATATATACTTTTAAAAATAATCTAACTAAATTACTATTATACATATATAAATAAAAACTATCCCAAGTTATAATTTTCTTCCAAAAACCTTTTCTTAAATAAAAACTAATACGTTGTAACTAAACTATTAATATTAATTTTAATGTAAAAACAGGTTTATTTTTAGTAAAATTACCTATTAAAAGTATTGTTTAAATAATTAAGAGATAATCTTGAAATAAAAACTATAAAAATATTTGACTATTAATTTTAACCAAAATTTCACAAATTTCTTGTTTTCACCCCAAAAAAAGTATTTTTTAAATGATTTTCGCTAAATTTTTATTCGATAAAGTAAATATTAGAAATATTTTGTAGAAAACGCTAAGCACCGATTGCAGATGAAACTACAATGTTTCAAAATTGCAAACTGTGAAATAAATGTACAAACTAAACAGATTTCTCAAAAAATACATGTGTATATCCTAGAGTCTTAAACCAAAAATGTACAGGTCTATATTTTAATTAAAGTTTATTAGACGAACCGACAAAAGATTCAAACAATCCAGAAAACTACAAAAGTTGCAATTGAAAAACAATAGTTTTGTATATGGACCTGAATTTACACGTTTGTTTGCTCAGATTGTGAACCGAAAAGTTATTTTTAGACATGTTTGTGCGTGCACGCTGAGGAGTGCATCGCCGATCGATGTCCGAATAATCGAAATTACATCTAGTGGGGGTTTTATGGACAGCGCTTTATTCAAAAACTAGTTACTCTGTTACATAAGATATAGATTTCCTTTTCGTTTCGCTTTTTTTTTATTCGCAATTGTTCACATCAATGTTTTTTGTTAACAGCATCGTTTTTTGTTTTTTTGTTTGAAATTACCTGATGCTGATGCTGTGGCTTTTTGTGTGTCTCTACGTGCCCTGATTTGTACAAAAAAAAACGTGCAGAATTTGTTAAAATAAGTAGCCTACTAGTAGCTATCCAGGCTCTGATCTGAAGGGGTTTGTCGGTTAAAATTGTGTGTAGTACAATTGCGTAGTCTTAGTTTTTGAATTGTCGAATACAAGGAGCTCCGTCGATCGAGGAGGATGGATTCGAGGAGTACACGAGTATTTTTCAATCTCATAGCGCTCGCCTGGAAAGATTATGGTTACGTTTCTAAACTATCGAAAAATAAATAATGATGTCTGGCCGAATCGTGCCGGTGGCCTAGACATATATCTATATAAGTATCTTTACAACCACAGTTCGCCGCCGCAGATCTCCAGGACCATTTTCTTGCGGAAATAATCCATGTCTTCTTGGCTAAAATTGAAGGGGCGATCGCGCGTTATATACTCGGCGAACGTGCAGCTGAAGACGCCGCAATCGCTGCCGTTGGTCTGCTGGGGGACATCGGGCATGCTCTCGATACGGAAGCAACTGGTGTCGAATGGCTTCTTGCGCTTGTCCAGCGACTCGGACCGCAGATACGCCTCCAATGCGTCCAGCACCGGCTGGTTGGGCTTGCCCATCGAGTCGTAGTAGCGAATGGTGCGATCGCGCATATGTATAATCGCCATGCACCAGTGGACACCGTTGCAGTGCACCGGCACCGGTATTATGTCCTTGGAGAACAGATCGACTTTGCGAGTCCAGCGCTTGACGCCGTCATGTCCGTTCTGGAGCAGGCGTGGCACGAAGAACGTGTTCATGGCATAAACGCTGGGCAATTGGCCAGCCCGGCGCTCGGATCGATCGGTTATCATGTTCATGTAGAAGTTAATCACCTCGTCGTTCAACCACTTGCCTCCGAGCAGGGTGCGGATATCGCTGCGGTGGATGTTCATGTTGAATTTCGATATCAGAACCTGGTCGGGGAGCAGAGATTAGTAATTATAATGGTATAATGAGGTACTTTCTAGCCCACCTGCTGTGCCGCCCCCTGCATCAGGTCGGTGAACCGACGCAGCAGCTCATCGGTGAGAGGCTGCCGGGTCGATTCCTTAGGTTCCGGTTTTCTTTCTATAGATCCAATGACAAATATGGGCTTGTGAGGCAGCCTATAGTTTAACATAGTCTCGCGCAATCCTACCTCGTAGGCGCAGCGCTCTTGTCGCAACTTCTCGTATCTGAACATTATAAAATATAAGATTAATTATTATGATATTTAAAAAAATATATATAAATATAGCTACGCATATAGTAGTGGATATTGGATGCTTCAATACTGAACACTATATGTGATGTTTGGATTGTCGAGCAAGGCTTACTGCTTGCAGGACAAAATCCCGGATGATACTCACTCTTCGATAGCCTGTTCACGCTTGAGTTCCATCTCCTTGCGCTGGCGCAGCGCCTTCTCGCGGTACTGTTCGGTATAGTCGTCTTGAAAGAAGAGCGACTTCGCGAAACGAGCCACCAGCGAGTTATTGAGCGAGGTGTTCAATCCGCCAGATGTCTTGGCAGTCGCACTGGTGTTCGGCTCCCCCTGATCGCTAATATCTTCGCTACTGTCATCGATTCCGGTGATGACGACGGACTGAGCATCCGAGCTGGTGGAGGCGTCGCTATGGGAAATGGTCGAGGCATGGCTGGTGGCGCTATTGACGCTGTTGTAGGGCTGGATAGGAGCCGGAGCCGGCTTTGCCTCATCGGCTTGGGCCAGGAGCTTGGCATAGTTGGTGTAGGCGCAATTCTCGGGCGGTTGCTGTTGGCGCTCTGAGGCCAGGGGTAAGCGCTCCTGCTGCTTGTTGTTGTTGCCCAGAATAGAGCTCCATGAGATGCCGGTGGTTTTCGCCGGTGTGGCTGGACGAACGGTGGACTTGTCGTAGCAAAGATTACGGATCAGGCTAAGGTATTGTTCGCGCTCCGAGCGCTGCTCCTCTTGAGCAATAACCGAATCCTCGCCATGGCCATTGATGCGCGAATCGTTGAAGCCATTCTGACCCAGACGCACGGCGTCAGAGTAGAGCATTGAGGTGCGGAGTGATCCCGAGCCGTGATTCAGTGATGAGGCCGCTTGTAGCGGACGCGAAGAGGAACTAGAAGCCGTCAGGGCTGCGACTGTGTTATTGGTGCCGCCGCTATTGTTGGCGAAGCGCGGGATTTGTTGCAGTTCATCGTCATCTTCATCGGAAAAATCGAGGGGACTGTTACCCCCAAAACGTACGCGATACTGTACCATCTTCGGCGAATCAAAGATCGACATCCGCTTGGTATTGTTTCGCTGAGCCATCATCGGCTCTCGTTCGCGCTCTGACATTAACCTGGCTGGTGGATAGTCCTCCGCAGCTTCATTAGCAACGAAACGCGGAAACGAATTATCCACCTTACGGTACTTGATTAGTCGAGGATCGTTATCCTGGTACCTAAAAGATAAGGAGTTTGAATCGCAAATCAAATATGAAATATTGGAATTTCTGAAAAAAAAAAACCCACCTTCTCTTCCGTGCAGAGTTACCAAGTAAGTCCTGTGGTGGATCCTCTCTGGCCGGCAAGTCACCGCCTGTTCCACCGCCCGCTTCTTCCGGACTGGTGCCAGGCAATGCCTCCTTCGGCTTGTGCCAGCCGGTTAAGATTTGACGAAATCGGGTTAATAAATCCAATCCCATTGGATCGTTGTTCAAATTATTCCCTGCGCAAGTTGCGCCGAGATGGGTCAGCTCGAATGCGGCCTGCAAGCCCAGAAACACTTCAATGATCAGGGTCCGGAGCGGCGGGTTACTGCGGGTTTCCGTGTGGCACTGCACCAGATAGCGCCAAACATCGATCAATTTCTCGCGCAAAAGGAGAGATACTTTGTGCAGGGATATGGCGTTTTTACTAATTGGTACGGCCACCAATCGCTCCGTGATATCCCGAATAAACTTAAGAGTCTGCTTAACACACTCTACCAGTTTCTCCAGCTGCGGAGGACTGACTTTTGGATTTTCACTCGGTTCGAACTTTATCTTCGACAGTATTTGATCGACATTAATGGTTTTGCGCTCAAGGCCCAGGAATATCAATTGATTTTTAGTTTTGTTTCCCGGTTCGGTTTGCGATTTGTCTCCAGCAGCCTCGTGCTGTTCTATTGGCTGAAAATTGTTTTCGCTGGATTGTACTGATCCTGTTTGATCCTGCACAGACTCATGCTCTTCCTCCTTTGTGGACACGGACACTGCCGGATGTTGAACACTCACCTGGGATGTCGACGGATCGGCTACAGGAGGAGAAGGTGGCGGTACATGACCCGATCCACTGGTGGCGCCATTGAGGTCTAATTGCCAGTGTAACCCATTGTGATGAGTTAGCGACATGCGTGTTGAATATTCGTATGTCGCGAAATACTCTGCAATGCCAAAGAGCGATATTGTAAGCCGCGAGTACGATATCATTACTAATACTATTCCAAACACCTCGAAATGCAAAAATTTCTGCACGAAATGCCGGCCGAAAAAAAAAAATGTTCAGGCTTCCCGCTTCTCGCGGCGGGCCGTAGAAAAATTTGGCCCGAAATTATATTGATTGCAAGCGGCTATTTAAAATGCGAGCTTACCGGTCGTTGATATTTTCTGAAAGTTATAATAAGACGATTCGGTTTCAGTAACACTAACAGATTGAGAACGTCGACTTAAATGAAATAATTTTCATTTCATTTTTTTTGGCGTGCTATGATGCCAGTGTTACCGTTCGCTAGTGAAGTTAAAAGGGACGCCTGCGTTGCCACTGTTTTGTAGCGTTGGCATTTTTCGATTTATTTTTTCTTTATTTACTATTATAGTAATTTATTATTAATAAACGTATGCAGTTTATAAGGATATAAATATTAATACGTTGTATACAACTTGTTATTATTTTTAATTTATTTTTATCGGAACTAGTTATCGCTGTTCCTTAAATATTCATGTGTTTAATTTAAATATTAAATTTTTAGGTAAATAATACTGAACATGTATTTTAAAACGACTCAGCTTAATATAAAAACTATGTTAAAAAAGAATTTAAAAGACCTTTTAAGTGTTTTAATATTAATAAATGTACGAAAGGTGGCTCTACTATTTCCCTTTTAGAGGTTTCTCTTGGGAATTTAAAAATGTTTTAAAAAAATATATACGGGATTTGTTAAATTATTTATTTAACTCACAATTTTATTAAATTTTTTTAAAATTTCTTTCCCAATACCCGTAAAATCACAAAAAAGTTTTATAGGAAACTATCAACCGTAGGTGGCGCCACTGGTAGCTGTAACACATTTTGGTAAAATTTTAATAAACAAAAAAAAGTCATGCCGATGAAAAGGTATTAAAATATTAAGAAGCTATTAAAAAATCGAGATGTTTATATAATTAGAAATCTTTCAACCTTAAATTTATTAAAATAATTTGTTTCACAATAAATATAAAGTTCCATAGGAAATCGTACCCGATAGATGGCGACACGGGTTTTATTTAGGAAAGTTTTAAAAATAAAAAAACATTAAAAAGGCGGGTTTTGATTAAAAAATAAATGTATTTAAATTCCCTATATTAAAAAAAAATTATTATTGGTTAGATATATTTTTGACACCTATAGTTTATGTTTTATTTATTAATATCACTGCACAAAAATACATCCACACATCAACTAGAACAGCAACTGCAACAGCAACAACAGCAATTTTGAAATCGTCCTTGTAGAATCCCTAGTCCTTGCTTTGGCAGCAGAAGAAGAGAAAGTTCCAGAGCAGCATACTTAGTCCATAGATGCCGCCGGCCAGTCCCACAGTGGCCTGAAAGGAGTACCTCACTACAACCCAGTGGGCCATGGCGCCCCACAGGAGCACCAGGAGTCCGTTGGTGAAGTGCACGGGTCGCCTGATGGCGGTCCAGTTGGCCCTGGTCATGCCCATTTGGAAGACGAGCTCCTGGAGAAAGGCGGTCACCACTTGGCCGAAACCCAACAGAACAGCCGAGACACTGAGCAGTAACTTGGAGGTGCTGAAGCTGATGACTGTGGAAGCGTGAGATGTTTTAGTAAAATAATTAAAGTTATGGTAGTATTTTGTATATAGAAGGGTCTTTTAAAACGGGATATAATCAGGGGAATCTTTTAATGAATTCTAGATCTTAATAGTCTTTAGAATCTGGCTACATAAAAATATTCAATTAGTCTTACCATTCGGTTCGATTTTATTCATGTTGGGTTATATATTGAGGAACACTATATTATAAGTTAGTGCCAAGTTCTAGTTCTATAGCTCTAGAAATAGAGCAACAGTTCCCTTAGAGTTCCCTCAAAAAACCTACGGACAGACGGACGAAATAGACATGCCTAATATGACTGTACTTCCTCTAATTCAAGGCTGATCCTAATTTCCCTTAAACTATACTCACAAATCAGAGCCAGACACTTGCATATGCTGCCCAAAGTGTGCCACTGGAGCTTCCTCTTGTAGAGACTCGTTCCGAATCGCGGGGTCATCAGGGAGAAGCACATCCAGGGAAATGCCAGAAGTGAGAACAGAAAAGGTATCTCGGCATTTTTCAGGGCATGATGACTAACCGCCAATCCTGGCAAGACGGTCAGGCACATCACATAGCTGAAGATGTCCGCCGAGAGGAGTAGAGTGGTGGCATACAATTGAGGCACCAATAAGGCCTGTTGCAGCGGCATGGCGATCTTGTCGAGCAGATTCCACCACAGGTGAGAGGTCACGGCACGGGACATGCGTCGAATGCGACGCTTTTGGAGAAAGAGTTTATTTAAATCTATTTTAACAAGATTTTATCTTTTCCTTACCAGATTCACATAGTCCGGAGGCAAGGGGGAAGAGTTCCCGGTGCCTGTTCCAGTTCCAGTGACGAACGCAGCTCCTGGAGAACTAATTGAAGGCAACGGATATAGCCTGCCATTGGATAATGACTTGTGCGAGGTCTGAGAGGCGGACATGGCATAGTTATCAATGGTGGCATTACTAGAACGCATCATGGAAATGGTTTCATCTTCCTCCGGAATGATCTCCATGATCTCCACCCCATTGGGATTCACGTAGGTGACATAGGCCTCGTCCGTGGCCAGGAGGTAGGTGCTGTGTGTGTCCACAACGGCGGCAGCCACAGCTGCTCCTGGCGGCGCTGTCGAGGTGGTGGTCATCTCTGTGGCCGGATTTCGCCAGGAATGAGTCTCAAGACCATCCAGCTGATCCGCCAGAGCAGCTCTCAAAGGCAGAGCAGCGAATCCTGTTTCCGCCTTGATCACCGATATCCTCTTTGTGGTGAAGGCATCTTCCCGATGCTTGGTGATGATCAAACTCAGGGGTATCAGGTTCACCAGCAGGGCCGACATCAGCACTATGGATTGGGCTGTTCCATAAAGAGTTCTCAAGCTGGTAAACACAAACGAGAGGAAAAGCTGGCAAAAGGCCTCGCCACACAGGTGTATTGTTTTCCGCACGTATTTATCCTCTCGCGGACGTACTGCCTCTAGGATCACATGGGTCTTCCATAGAAAGAGACTGGAACCGATGCCTGGTTGAGAGATGGAGGGAAATAGTTAAAAAGTGGCAATGAAAAACATTGTACTTGGATATTGGAGGAGATACTCCTTTGTGTATTTTCGGGGTCACCAAATTAGAGTTCACCAAAGACGGACTAACAGCCAAGGGTTTGCCATCTAGTCAGTCATCTACATTGATTTTGTAGATGTCTCCTTTTTTTTAAGTTATTTTACTTAAAATGGTTTACAAATATGATAATATAGTACTATTTAAGAGAAAAAACTGGATAATAGATCGGGGTCACCACTAAGAGTTGAGATTCACCAAAAAACTAACCAATGCCGCCTATATTTTACAATTTACCACTAAGAGTTCTAGGTCGGGGTCACCACTTAGGTGTTCGACGGAAACAGAATAATAATGGAAAAGTCTTCAAGATATCTATCATCCGCATCATCAACCCTTTTGAAAAATACCCACTTAATACAAAAATATATATCATACCTGCAAAAAAACCATAGAAAACTATGGCCACCACCTGAGTGGTAGTGGTCACCACAATCCAGGCGGAGGAGAACAGTATCCCGCTGGCCATCAAAGAAACACAAGCGATTAGGGTGGCCAGGAGAAAGACCCTTCGGTACTGGGTGGTCTCCCTAGATCGGCCACTGTACTCTGTGTCCAGGTGCTCCATGATCGAGCGACATATCTCCCCAGTGGCCTGGTAGACAATGGCGGGCCATATTCTCAAAACCAGATCCTTGTCCGACTCCACAACATTGCCATACAAATAGGCTGGAGTGGCTAGAAAGGCCTGTTGGAAAAGTTATATACTTTCTATATTATATAGTATTAGATATAGATCTTTAATATTTACATGAATGGCGAATCCGCAGAGCATATACTTTTGTTGGATGTGTTTTTTGACCACCCGGCGTCTTTGAATTCCGGCCGTGGCACGGGCTGTGGGTCTTCTAACTGTTGGAGAAGTTCCACCTCCACTTGCCACACCCACTCCTCCTCCTGTGGCTGCCATGGCTGCCTGGTTAATCTTGTGATTGCCTTTCTTCAGATATCAATAGGTATGTTGTGATAGTTTGCCGTAGATCCGTTGCCGTGGATTTATTTTAGTGTTATGTCTAGCCTTTGGCATTCATCATCGCCAAAAGCCAAAAGCAAAAAGCCAAAGCCAAACCCAAAAGCGACACAACAACACACGACGAGGGATACTGATAAAAATCAGGCTCTTATCAAACAGATATAGTAGATATAGCAGATACCCCGACATCCACCAGATACAGTCCACCCTTCATACATATGTACGGTTCGTTCTCTGGCAGAGTATCTGTGAGATAGCCAGGCGGCGAGATATCCGACAGATTAACGTCAGATATGTAAAGCAGAGTTTGTCTTTGCTTTTTGGCTTTTTACTGGGTGCTGGGTGCTTTCTGCTTTTTTGTGTCTTTGCCTGGAAATGTAGATTAAAGAGTCATAAAATTTTAAAAAATATAACTAGAAAAACTAGACGCTATCAGAACTAAGGAATTTGTTATAATAAAAAATTAGAGTCTACTAAAGTCTTATTTTAAAGAAAAAAACTGACAACATTTTTGATAAGATTTTATAGAGGACATAGAACATGGTCTATTTTGAATAATATTATGAGTCATTTGAGTATCATAATCATCTTTTTAGCTGAGAATATAATTTTATTTGTTAGGAAATTTTTAGAAAAATGAAGTGACTAACTTTAACTTCAATATAATACATATATTTAGTGGTTCTTGAATTTATATTCCTTAAATTGTCTGTCAATTATATATATAAGGTATAAGGTAGAGCTAAAATATAATTATGAGGCTTTCAGATGTTATATAGGTTTTTTGAAGATAGTATACTCTGTACAGATATATGTAGGTAGGCATAGCCAGATATAATTTATACTTTTAAATTATTATACATATATATTTAAAAACCATTGATATAATTTATACCTGTATACCTCCATATTTATAAATCATGAATAATATGGATAAGTAGGCCTGTAAAACGATTATTTTGTTGATATAACAATAAACTCACGGCTGTATTATCGATATGGTTATCGACCCCAATTATATATGATCCAGACCAAGTAGGCTATGTACCTTGACCTTTTTGAGACCTGTCGCAGGAATTGGTATTTCGATGTCAGTCCGAGGCAGAAAGCCCAACTGCTCGGACGGCTTGTCAATAATATTTTTATTTGATTTTTATTATTTTTTATTTTCAATTATTTATTTACTTTTTGCTTTACTATGGGCTCCATTTTTATAATAATAAATATATCTTATTATTAAAACTTGCTCTTCTCGGTTAAAATAATATTAATCATTGTGAGCTCCATTATTTTATTTTAATTTTTTTTTAATAATAATTCAATCGTTGGGTTTCTTATTTTTATTTTTTCAATTATTTATTTACCTTTTTGTTTACTTATAAATAAGCTTTTTACTTTATTGCGGGTGAGTTTCTCTCGGTTTCTTAGCTTCATATATATGGGCTCCATTATTAGTTCTTAATTTCGCATTGAAAAATATATATATAATTTTTAAAATTTGCTCTTCTTGGTTAAAATAATATTAATCATTGTGAGCTCCATTATTTTATTTTAATTTTTTTTAAATAATAATTCAGTCGTTGGGTTTCTTATTTTTATTTTTTCAATTATTTATTTACCTTTTTGTTTACTTATAAATAAGCTTTTTACTTTATTGCGGGTGAGTTTCTCTCGGTTTCTTAGCTTCATATATACTATGGGCTCCATTATTAGTTCTTAATTTCGCATTGAAAAATATATATATAATTTTTAAAATTTGCTCTTTTCGGTTAAAATAATATTAATCATTGTGAGCTCCATTATTTTATTTTAATTTTTTTTTTTAAATAATAATTCAGTCGTTGGGTTTCTTATTTTTATTTTTTCAATTATTTATTTACTTTTTTGTTTACTTATAAATAAGCTTTTTACTTCGTTGCGGATGAGTTTCTCGCGGTTTCCTAATTTCATGTAAATGGCTCCATTTTTGGCTTTTAATTTCGCATTGAAAAATATATATATTATAAATTAATAGGATTATTATATTTAATCTATATCAAATTACTATCTATATTAAATAAATTAAATTTAATTTTTAATCAATCGATCTGAAAACCAGAGATGCAAGAAATATTGGATGTCTTTTTTATTTTATGAATTATTTTTTTTTTTTTGTTTGGAACCTTGATTTGGCAAGTCACGTTGTCCGATGCGTCACTTATTTTTGTTTTTGGTAAAGATTGAAATAAAAAGTACAAAGAGAAGAGCATATTGGCCAAGTAAACATTTAATCTGGAACTCCTAACGTCCCTTTGGCCGGGGAATGTGATTTATCTGGTCGTGAAGATGGATTTTATCTTTACACACTTCCGTTTCACATCCGCGGGAGTCCGAGGGTGCTACTGATGGCCTTTCCTCCTTTATGGGTTTACAACTGTATTTTGAAACCGAAACACCGAAGAAAAAAACCCGCCTAGAAAGACGTCAGAAGGCGATGAGGGGGACATATAGAGTCTCACCCATACACTCCGAGCCCGATAAGAGATCGGGCTATATAACCGCTGGAGGTGTGGATAGTCAGCTCATACAACGATCGACCTAGACGACGTTAGCCACTGGCTAGACGATGACGAGAAACCACAACACAACCGAAATCACAGAAGAAATCATTACAACCTTTACAGTTCGCAAAATGACGAGCTCCAGAATCTCCAAGTTCTCCGCCATCCTGGTGCTGTGCGCCGCCCTGGTAAGTCGCTCAAGGATTGCCGTTTTGGCCGACATCTGACCCTGGCTAACTTTCAGTTGCTGACCAAGTCCTGCGGCATTCTGGCCCTCAGCGGCGATGGCTCCGGTCAGGCTCTGGGCCAGGCGGAACCCCTGCTAGACACCACCACGGTCGGCAGTGTGGATGGTTCGGGAAGTGGCTTGGGAGACGACACCACACTTCAGCCCGAAGAGGAAACAACAGAAGGTAGCCTAACCACTATTCCTGAGGAAGCTGGCTCTGGAGATCAAGATAACACCACGGAGAGCTCAGGAGATGATGAGACCACCAGTGCCCCTGAGGAAAGCTCTTCCGCTGCTCCAGAGACCACCTCTGCCGCCCCAGAGACCTCTTCCGCTGCTCCAGAGACCTCCTCTGCCGCCCCAGAGACCTCTTCTGATGCTCCAGAGACGTCCACTTCGGAGGCTGAGACTACCGCCGCTCCTGAGACTTCTTCCCAAGAGCCTGAAACAACCACGTCTGCTCCTGAAGAAACCACCACCTCGGAACCAGAAACCTCACCCTCCAGCGAAGTGACCCCGACCCTGGCACCTACCCCAGCTCCTTTCGTTTGTCAATCGGCAGGACTCTTCCCGGTCAGCGGGGACTGCAAGCGCTATCACAACTGCCTCTACAATCCGTTCCTTCGCCGGTTCCTGGACATCGAGGTCACCTGCCCGCCACAGACCGCCTTTTCGTCCATCCTGAAGCGTTGTACCCGCGACGTATCCGAGTGCCAGGACGACAGCTTCCAATGTCCGTCCGTGGGACGTTTTGCAGGACACGATGACACCTACTACTACTACTGCGTGGCCAGCCTACAGGGTGGATTCCACGAGTTCGTGGTGAGGTGCTCGGTCGGCCAAAAATTCGAGGCGACCATTGGCGGATGCTGGCGCTATGACTGGACCCAGATTGTGCCCGGCCAGGAGGCCACAGAGATCAGCGACTTGTCGGCCATCAAGCGGGAACTGAAGCAGTACAAGGCCGAGGAGAAGCTCCGCCAGAAGTCCCAGAAGCAGCAGGAGAAGTTGGCCAAGAAGCAGCAGAAGCTGGAGGCGAAGGCGGCCCAGAAAGCAGCCAAGGAGCAGGCCAAGCAGCAGGCCAAGGCCGAGAAGAATAAGGCCAAGGGCGAGTCCATCGAGAGTCCCGAATCTGAGGAGTAATACCAGTAACCCTCTTTGTTGGTCGTAGCGCTAGTCTAGTAAATTATCCTATTTTTTTTTGCTTACTTGTAATCCTCTTTTTTTCTGCATTGTGGTATAAATAAATGTTAAAACTAAATATTTAATGAACTATAAATTTATTAACTATTAAATTTTTTTAACAAAACGAAAGCTTAGGAAATAGTCTGTAGATGTACGTGTTGGATGTGAGGTGTGCGGCTCTCTCCTTTCAACGATGGACGCTGCCAATGCGGTCGAGTTTCAGGAAATGGTAGGAACGTTGTAGTTATCTTGTTCATCGACGCGTAGGATCACACGTTGATCTTCTCCCAGGATATACCAGGAGTTCTTAAAACTATCTTGTAGTGTAAATTTTTAGCCTTTTGCGGTATCAGTTCTTTAATAAGACTTTTCAAGTTCAGCTCTGGACTCTTTTCTTCTCTAACTTCATTGAATATATCCGTGTAGGATGGTGTAGGATAGTTTAGAATAATTTAGGATAATGTAGAATAGTTAAGGATGACATAGGATAGTGTACGATAATGTATGATATTGTAAGATAGTGTATAATAGTCTGTAGATGTACGAGTTAGGTGTTAGGTGTGCTGCTCCTGGGCGCTATCTTCTTCCCAAGAGGGACGCTGGCATGCCGTGGTAAGTATTCAATGAAATAGTCCAGTGAAATGTATTCAGCTATTAGAAGTCGACGGTTGAACCACCATCCGTGTAGCTGGGTGTACAGTGCTCCAGCATCCACCTTAGTGGAGCACCTTATCAGTACATCAAAGGTCTCCCAGTCGATTAGAATGTTATACTTCTGCGAGGTTTCGGCCATTTTTGCGTGAATCAATCCGACGATGTAGGACTTGGAGTTGACGGTTGGCTTTTCGGTGCCATTCATGAGATTCGATACCTTCAGGCAAGTGGTGGACAGTTCAGTCAAGTTCAAAAGCTGGACAACGGGTCTCTGCCACATGGTCTTCAATGTGTTCGGGTTCCAGGAAATGGTACGAATGTAGTCGTTTTCATGTTCATCGTCGCGTAGGACCACACGTAGATCTTCTTTCAGGATATCGAGAGTCCGTAAAACTATCTTGTCGTACAACTTATTAGCCTGTTGCGGCATCAGATCTTCAATAAGACGATCCAAGTCCAGCTCTGGAGACTTTTCCTCCTTAACGACTTCGTGAAATATATCCGTGGCTAGTTTTTCGGCAAAGTCCTTAACGACCTTTGACTTTTTTTTCTCAAAGAACTCCCAAAAGACGTATGTTATGGACCCGATGCTGATAGCCAGGCCTAGAAACCCTACCGCCATAAGGAATCTTTTTTTTTGAATTTGAAACACGCACAGAAGAGGCAAATCAATATCCTCCAAAAAAAAAAAAGCCCCCCAAGGTCCTCATCGTCGAGCAGTCGGATATTCCAATGGCAATTCAAGCTTATCAGATACTTGGCATCTTGGAAAGAGGTCTTGAAATTGTCCTCAAGGGAATACTTGGAAGTTTTTATATAGTCGTTGGCTTTCAACATGGCGGTGTTTGCATCATAACAGTGATGATTTATGGCTTGTGCTTCCAGTATTTCATATATATCCCTAGCGATTTTCAGAGCATTCTTAATAGAGTCCTTATAAATACAATCGTCCCGCAAGGTAGTCTGACAAAGGACATACTTGGTCGGAAGTCTGTCGACGAGGTTGTTTTTTGTATAATAGACGCGCGAAATGTAGGTGCCAGTTATTAAAGCCAAAAAGATCAAAAGAAAAAATTCCATCCAATGGGTCCTAACCCAGTTTATGTTCTTAACAATACTTTGAATGAGTGACGATTTTTCTACTATAGTCTTATCTTCTTCGGGTAATGCCTCGCGAATATTCTCTAGCAAATATTTTGCATCCTTGGCCTTTCGTATTTGTTCTTTAATTATTTCTCTCTGCTCATCACTCCAAGTCATTATTAACATATTAATTATTGCGTTCCGCGAGTCATCGGTCACCGGATAATCCGATAATCCATTCTGGAGCAGCAATAAATGCAGTTGAGTGTCCGTCAAATTAGCTATATCCTCCAACTGTAAGTAAAGAACAAAATTGCGTTTATTATCTTTCGGTTATCGGTCGAGATTAGGCGGAAAAGCTTAAACAGGTGTGAAATATTTTCAGCGAAAAAGAGGTTAGTCGTAGGTCTAGATAATGCTTTTATTTCTGCTGCGACACTTTAAATTAGTACTGAGAATTATTTATCTTTGCGAGACTGCATTACATTTAAATATTTATTATAATTGCCTTGATAAGAGATTTTGTTTTGAGATTAAAGGGTTAGACTCTTGGTAAAGATATAGTTTGAGCATGGGGGGTAATCAGCTCATTCACTTTTGGGTAAATAGTTTTATATAAACTAGTTTCTTGGGAATAACTTGTCGAAGGTCTTTACTGGATAGTCCCGATTCATTAAGCGGTGATCCTGAAAATATAAAATCTCTTTCTAAATAAAAAACTATACACTGGGGAGCAGATCAGATCAGACAAATTTTGTGTAAATGGTTCCAGAAAGATTCCAGGATCCAGAAAGGTAGTGGGAGACCACGATTAATGAAGTGGTGACCCCGAAAATATATCTAATAGAAAAGGGCTGGTCAGCTCGGTAAGTCGCTTCTGAGAACACAGTTTCATGTCAAAAAGTCTCTTGGGGCTAGTTTCGAAAAGTTTATACTACTTGGTGATACCAAAAGATGCTGACGTGACCGCGATAAGTAAAGTGGTGACCCCGATTAGCACTCTGGCAACACCGACCACTGACGTATACATAGGTGACCGTAACCTCTATTGATCTGCTATTTGAACGATTAGTCACAATTCTAGACACTTTTTTGACCACTTCTATTATTTTTTTTCGATAATGGCGAAGACCACTTCACGCACTAGCTGTTTATTGGCATTCTGTCTTTATCAGCTAATCGCACGCAATCGGGAAGATTGGTTTTTTTCGGGGTCCGGTCCGTCCCTGTGACTATAAAAGAGCCGTTTCGATTGTCCAACCAGTTACTCCGTCGAACCTAGAACCGAATATAACAAAAAAGAGACCGAGAAAAGGAGAAATCATGTTCAAATCGGGCCCAAAAGCATTCGCCCTGATCCTCGTGTTGGCCGTTTTGGCTCCGGTGATTCAGACCAAGACCGTGTACGTCCGCGTCGAGGGAATTGTTCCGGTCGAGGATAGCAATATCGAGAATCCGACTATTCCACCCCGGAATGAGGATGAGAGCTCGTCGTCTCCGGAGGCAACGACCGCGGCTCCCGGTACTGTGCCGCCCGTGAGCACTGCTGCTCCGGAAACTACCCCAGGGGCAGGAACTGCTGCTCCTGCTTCTACGGCTGAGCCTGGAACTGCTGCTCCTGCTTCCACTGCTGAACCTGGTACCGCTGCTCCTGCTTCTACTGCTGAACCTGGTACCGCTGCTCCTGCTTCTACGGCTGAGCCTGGTACCGCTGCACCTGCTTCCACCGCTGAGCCTGGCACCGCTGCACCTGCTTCCACCGCTGAGCCTGGCACCGCTGCTCCTGCTTCAACCGCTGAGCCTGGTACTCCTGCCCCTGGAACTACTGCTGCTCCTGGAACTCCCGCCCCTGGAACTACTGCTGCTCCTGGAACTCCCGCCCCTGGAACTACTGCTGCTCCTGGAACTCCAGCCCCTGGATCTACCGCTGAACCCGGAAGCACCGCTGAGCCCGGAAGCACCGCTGAACCCACAAGGGAACCAGTAACCACTGCAGAACCTATAAATACCACCACCGATGACGACTGGGAAGCTTCGTGCCCCACCACCGGATTCTTCCCGGAGGACAACAACTGCTCAATGTTCGTCCTTTGCACTTATTACCCGGAGAACGTCCTGACCGGTTTCCGCTTCAAGTGTCCCGGAGAAATGCAGTTTGATCCAGTTAACGAGTATTGTTCTATTGATTACGATTGTAATGGAACTAGTTCGTCTGCGGGAGCTACCGAAACCACTGAAGCCTCTACTGATACCACTGACGACACCACGGATACCACCAAGACCGAGGAAACTACCAAGGCCCCGGAGACTACCAAGGCTCCAGATACCACCAAGGCCCCGGAAAGTACCGTGGATACTACCAAGGCTGTGGATACTACCAAGGCCCCGGAGAGTACTATAGATACTACTAAGGCCGCGGATACTACCAAGGCCCCGGAGAGTACTATAGATACTACCAAGGCCGCGGATACTACCAAGGCCCCGGAGAGTACTATAGATACTACCAAGGCCGCGGATACTACCAAGGCCCCGGAGAGTACTATAGATACTACCAAGGCCGCGGATACTACCAAGGCCCCAGAAACCACGGCGAAGCCCGAGGAGACCACCGAAAAGGATTCTACCACCAAAGCTCCCGAATCCAGTGCTTAAGATTTTTTTTTTAACAAAAAAAATCAATTCAAAATCATAAAAAAAAATCCCCAAAAAAATTATGCCAACAACCTGTACCTTTCTTTTTTTTTTTAGTTATTTTTTTTTTGAGTGAATAAATTCTAGTTTAATTATTATTAATTTATTGAAAATAATATCTGGCATCTTGATGGGTTGTCGAGTGGTTAGCCTATGACGGCAATTTTCAATTCAATTTCAAATTTAATTTCAATTTTGATAAGAACTCTGGCGTCTAATCGCGAATTGTTGTTTCTGGCCCGAAATGCCCATTGGAATGTAAAACAAATAAAATTGAAAACAAATATATTTCTGGGGAAATTTTTCGGTTTTTTTTTATTATCTTATCATCATTGGGACTACCATTTTTGCTAAATATTTCATTCAAGTTTCGCTTCGGGGTTTCAGGAAATAATTACGTTTTTGATTAACGATTAAACTGATTCAGAGATTTAATCAAGGGCAATTAGAAGTCCTCTTTGAAGAGTTCCTGGAATTGCAATCTAATCGAAATATTTGCTTTTTTCTGATTGATCTTGACCTGTATTGGCAATACAGTTATTAAAGGGTTAATCATTTGTTTTGGGTTTTCTTTAAAAACTCATTAAGACCCTTCATAAGTAGACAAAACTATCACCAAGTTCTTGGTATTCTAGTATCTTATCATTTTCCAATTATATATTATATAAATAATTACTAAATATTTTTCACTTTTTATGAAATTAACAGTATTGATATTAAATAATTAGTCAGGGGAATTATTTTTACCTTTTTGGTCATATTTATTGTGGAGTTTAAAAACTAAAATTTGTCTAAAAAATATCTTATCAATATTTAATAAATCCAAGCAGAAGATTTTGAAGACTAAATATTTGTATTATGTATTTCAAAATAATTTGTAAAGCTAAAAAAAGTTTACGAAATTTACAAAAAATATTTGTTATTTTCTGAAAACACTTAATAATTTGTAAGTTTTTTTTTTTTAAATATTTTTAATACAAAATGTATTCAAAAATAGACAACAAAGGGAAAAATATGTTTCAATCTTTTTGCAAACATTTTAATATCTTTTGATGTGTTAATATCTAAATATACAAATTAAAACAGGCTTGGAAATTTTTGCAAAAAATAGTTCTTATTTTCATGAAATACGTAATTTTTAAATACATTTTGACTTTTTAATAATAGCAAATATTTTAGGCATGAACAAAAATTAAGATTCAATCACGTGTTGGCTTTGTATTTTTATTTTTTTTTGAGCATGCGATAATGAATGAATGAAACCACCGAGTTATCTGAACCACTTGCTTGGCGGTTCCGTGTCGTTTGGTGGCTCAATTGGTCAGTTTATAAACCCAGTGGTCGATGGTTAATGAAACCTAATAAACTTCCGCATCGCAAAGCAAGGGAATCTGCCTTGAATGTGCAAATAAATGTGCAAAAGGTTTTAATGCAAAACGCAGACTGCCGTCCACAGCCCAATGAATTCTCAAATGAGAGAAAGTCTCTCACCGGGTTGCATAAAAAAATACTATGTATATATATATATATATTACACTATATACATGTATATTATGTGTAAAAAAAATACGGCGTAGTCTGAGATTCAACGACACCGCTTGGTTGGAGAATTGCGCATGCGCGTAGCTCGTTAAAATGCTTTTGTTTTTTTGTACCCTAGCTGAGGGTATTGTCATTTTGGTCAAAAATGATCAATGGAGTCTATTAATTGATAGACAGAACACTTAAGGGTATACTGGAGATGTAACGTAACCTGGGTATATAACACTCTAGCTTAAGAAGATCATGAGAATGAGGACCCTACCTAGATCTTAGCTGCGATGATTTGGGTTGATGGTTCGATTCTAGGTGTGTTCGAATATTTTTTATAAGTTTAATTATGTTATATTTGGAATTACTCGATTTTCTATATCCTTAAGATGTCATAAATAAAAGATCATAACTACCGTGATTTTTCAGATAGAAACTTGAGATTCTATTATGTGAAATGGATCTGATACTAAAATTCCCATAAGGATCGGTCACCTTATATCCAATATTTGTAACAAATATATTTAAAAATAAAAACTATTTTACTGGAAAGGGTATATAAGCTTCGCTTTCGCCCGATGCTAGCGTTGTTTGTTTTATTTTTTATTTTAGTCTGCGAAGGCGACAATTAAAGCAGGCCATATCTTTCCGGCCACTTCCAGGCAGTCCCGGCACGTCGTCGGCCACCTCCTCGGCTAATCCTATGCCCTTTCTACCATCTTTACTGATCTGGACTACGTGCCTAGTGCCATTTTGGCGGTAAACAGTCATTGACAAAATGCGAAATTGCAGTGTAAACTGTACACTTAAAGAAAAGTAATTGTTAAGAATTTAAAGATCACAGACGGCAGTTAATTTTGGTAATAAAATGAATAAACTAATATTGTGTGACTATTATGTATATTGAATACTTCATTTTCGATATAAAACTTTTCAAGAACGTTTTGTTTAAATCAATTTTTAATTGAAAGAAACGAAGAAAACGTCATAATATCTACGTAGCTTATAATTTTAAATATTTAACTAAAATAATCATTTCTGTCAATTTTCCAGTCTCAGTATTTCGGTTTGCATTTCCCAATTCACACATTTTCTGAGGTGTTTGACCAACTCATCGTCATGGCCCCTTAAATATTGACCAGCTTGGGGTTGGCTTTTTTTTCGCAGTGCAGATGTCAGCAGGCAGTGTTAACGGGGTCAGAGACTTGGACATTTGGCCATCCTGCATCTGGAATTCCGAACAGTGGGCTGTCTTTTATGTTGACCGGAGAGACTTTCTTTTGGACAAACTGGAGGAAAACAATCGACGAACCGCACAAGGCAAACATTTGCGTGCGAAAGTATTTCTTTTTTTTTTGTTGTTGTTGAATATTTCTGGGTGGGGACACCTCTAGCTTTTTTTTTAAATTTATTTTTATATTTGTTTACTTTTTTTTTGGGGGAGAGATAAATAGCCACAGTAATCTCACAGTCGTACTTGTTATGTCATTTGCACATTTACACGTTGTCTTCTGGGCTTTGTGCTTTTGGTTTTTATTATTATTTCTTTTCTTTTTTTTATCTCGTTTGAGCCAAGATCAACATTTAAATGTTGTACAATTATGCGAGAGCTGTCATCTGGCTAAATGTGATGTGATGTGCTGCGATACCTCGAAAATGCCTCACAAAACGCCTCAAAAATGTGGCCCATTATGATTATGTATAGCAGGCCGTCAGAAAGTCAGTCAGTTAGTCAGTATGTCAGCCGGCAGCTTCCTATTTCAAGTTAAGTAACTTAAATATTGTAATCATGATTTGGAAATTGAGAAAATTGTCAACTACTCTCCACATCAGTGTAATTTGCATTTGTCTTTACATAAATATTATAACGTGTCTCTAAGCATTTGGCCAATCGATCTGCTAATGTTGCAACACCATTCATAATTGAGGAAATATTTTGCTCAAATGACACAATTAAGGGAGTTTATATTTATGTACATATATTTATATAAATTTTAAGATAAATTGCATTTAGGATCAACTTTTAAAGAGTTAAATAAATTTAAATCGTTTAAGAAGCTTGAATGATGTATTTTTTGTATTATTTTTTAACATTATCCCATATTATATATATACATATACATATTATACATATACAAATTTTTAAAATGGTTTAAATTATATAATGGTTACTTTTTATGAAGACGTACCATATAAGCCCCTAAACCTTTATGTTTATTATTTATGGTTTATCATATAAAAAATAAAAAATTCTTAGAATACTTCTTGAGGATTTCCATTAAAGGCTTAAATATTTCTTAAACCCGTGTAAGTGTATCCTTTCAAGAAAATCTGAAATTGTTTTTCACTGTTCAATAAAACTATTTTTAAAATTATTTATAAATATTTGGTGAACACGAATTTAAAAATCTTGTAAAACCCTTTTAAAGTATAATTATTTATTAAGACATTAACCCACATTTAAAGGCCAAGTACACGTGTAGTTAAAATAATTAAATTAAATGCCAACATGAACTGTTTTACAGTTAATATATATTATTTTAAATTTATGAAACTTTAGCCTTAGAGTTTGGAAATAAAACTGTAAAAACTGAAATATTTAATTGGTTGTGTTGCAAGGGAGGCCGTGCCCCCAGAGGCTGCGAGTCAGGCGAGTCCCCTCTGGGGGTCATCATACCCCTCTATCTACCCATCATAGACTACATAGAAGCTGAAACATAATTTATTTTTTTTTTTGAATTTTCTACCGCTGTCACAGATATTTGCAACATTTTGCATGTTGCCTTTGAGCAGATGCCGCTCACGTAGCTTTTGTTTTTCCAGATTTTTTGTTGTTTTTTTTTTTTTTTTGGTTTTGTTTTGTGAAGCCATGGGGCAGATATCATGTCACGAAATATAGTAACTCTCCAGCGCTACCACTGGAGTAACTCTCGCACTCTCTCTTTCTCTGTTAGCGGCTATAGGTCTTTCTCTTTCTGGAGGAGGTACTCTCGCCGCAGTTGCCACAAGCAGCGTTTAGTTCGTGGGCGCCTGCGCGCAAGTGCAGTCACAGATTCAGATACTCGCGGATGCGCGATTCCCATACACCATACTCAAAGATACCAAAATACAGATACGGTGCGGGTCAAGATACGAGTTTACTGGGTTGCGTCCATAAATACAGCATCCCATTTCCATTCTCATACAAAAAATTGCAATAAAAGTGAAATTTTTATTGAGTGTGTGTGTCCACAAATAATATAAAAATCACAATCAGATTTTTTGTTTCCATTTTTTCTTCGAGTGTGCTAAGAAAGTGTTAAGATAAAGATTGGTTTTTTTTCTGTTTGCCAAATTGCCGAAGAAATTCTTAGGAATTTCAGGTAGTCACTCGGTGATTTCTCGACCAATAAAATCAATCACTAGAGAATCGGAGAAAAGGAGAATCTGAAGATCGTCTCACCGACAGAGAGAGAGAGAGCAGGGGCGTAAGAGAAAGAGGATTAGAGAAGGGTGCTCCTGAGACACCTGAGAATTTTCCTGGGAAAAATGGTAAGTCGAAAAGTGTGAAAAATCTCTCGAGGAAAATACGAAATAAAAGCAAAAGGTAAAAACCTAGACGAGAACTTGAAAACCGAATTACCCAGAATTCTTCACACGGAACCATTAAAATCGGGTTTACGAGCTCCGAAGGGGTCTCCTAGGTCAGGTTTTATTTTTTGTTGCTTCGTTATTTTGCTTTTTTTTTGTGCATTTTTTAGATTTTTAATTATTATTATTTTGTGCTAGGGAACTAGAGCATTACTTGAGCACCCTGGGGATTTGAGAATTATGAATGTTAATGGGGATTTTTGTTGTATTATTTTTTTTAAATATGACATTCAATGGGAGAAAATAAAAAACGGTATCGGTTTAAAAAAAAACAGACGGGAAAATACTGGAAAATGTACTCAAATTTTAGGGGAATTGTTAAATCAATTTTAGAATAGATTCCATTCCCGATTTCTTAAAAATTTAAATATGCTTTTGAGAACTAAGAATTTTTACATTACAAAATATTATATTTAATTGAATACATTTTGTAAATAGAAGTAAGCTTGAACTTTAACATTATTCTTTAAGAAACGTACAGAACTAAACTTTTATTTTTAAGATACTCTAATTTTTCGTCAAGATCATAAGATCAAATAACATTATAGTAAACAATTAAAACCGCTCCAAAATCGTTTAAAAATCTCATCCAAAATACGAAACTAAACCACCATTAACAAATATTTACCAAAAGCCTCACAAAAAACAAAATCAAACCACAAGTCAATTAGCTAATGATCATTATGATATAGATCGGTGGTCAATAGCTGCCAATTGATCGGTGATCGGAACAAACAGCTCAATTAATCAAATCATCCGGCTGGGATGATTGAAAACGAATTGCCAAATTGATCCCACAGCCGAAGAGATCGTGATGCCGGTGATCCAATAAAAAAAAATAACTTTATTGATTCCATTACAAATCCAACAGTGGTGGCCTTTCCCATGATCTGACTTTTTTGTGGGAGAAGGTCTTCGAGGGGCTTTATCATCCCATAAATCTGATGGATTTGGACAAACGGTGGTATGCCAATCACGGAAGATCGATTTGTGAGCCTTACGCAATGGCTAACAAAAAAAAAAAAAATAAAAATAAAAGAGCCAGAAAATATTACCAATTGGGTGGCTCAGGTAACACGCGTAACAGGTGCGTTAAGTGCATTTCAATTGTAATTGAAATTTTGTGCTTTTTACTTCTCTTTTTGTATTATTTTTGGGGGGCATAAAAGAAACGCGAGATGCATAACGAATATTCCACGTAATTGTAACAGACCCACAGAAAATATATTGTATTTTGTGCAGATATTTTTCGTTTGTATTGTCTTTAGGCATCCACTAAAAATAATTATATCATGCCAAATGTCAAAAAGAAAAAACCCGAAAACCAATGGCCATTCCCATTGTGTAATTGTTCAATTGCATTTTATGAGGTGGTATTTTTTCGAATTTTTTTTTGGGTCTTTCTGCTTTACTATATGGTTGTTTTTGATGGGCTTTTTGGGGTGCCAGAGTCTGACTGACTGCCATGCATCATAAAAACCAATAAGCAGCCAAGCATGGATCTGATGATGACCACTGGAGCAGATGGATGTCTGCTTGGGGGTTAGAGAAGTGCACTGAGAAAATGTTATACTTTGTTGAGTAGAAAGTTTTTATATAATATATATTATTTTAAATATTATATTTAAATGTAAGAAATTTTTTAAAGTGTATTGATTAGACAAGATCAGGAGATGTCAATGGGAAATTAATTCTGGGAGAGAGTAAAAGTGGGTGGGAAAGGTGCGTCTTTGCTCTCTGATAGCAGGTTCAACAATATGCAGGTAAGCAGCATGTGAAAAGAACAAGAAGCAGTATTAACCCTTAGTTGAGATCCTTAAAATAGGATATAACATCAATATCTAAAAATGAATTTTAATTAATATATTTTATAATATTATTTTTCTAATAAACTTATGTGATTAGCCATAATTTTGTTTTCTTAAGTGCATTTAAGGGGTTAAGGTGTCAATGACTGGTTAATGCGCTTCCCGTCAGATGCACACACACACATACGCACACACGCACACCGTTGCATAATCGCCTTTGATGATGGCACTTTAATTTACCAAAGCCGACTGTCAACGCTTTAAGAAAGCAGGGTAGGGGGGGAGGAAAGAAATGGCAATATAGACAAGTGAATGAAAAGAAAAGGGGTGAAGAAAATTGGTGAAGCGCAAAAAGGGGGGGTGGTGGCCCAAGCATGTGTTGATGCGATAATTCCTATAATTGCAAATGCACTTTAAAACGCAACCAAGAAAGCAAGTGCCAAGTGATACAAAAATAAATCTATAAATTATTCATAAAAAAAAATAGAAATTTATGATTTGTTAACAATTTCCTTTAACATTGATACTTTCACCCACATTTTAGCCAACTCATTGGTTTCCGTTTAGATTCTTGGGAAAAAATACACCCAAATCACAATAGAAATAAATCCAAAAATTTACATTTCCTGAAATTCAATTTCCGATTATGAATATTACACATACGCAGTGTGTTACATATGCAGTGCCAATTAAGAGCAAATATCTGGCAATTAACGAGGCAAAACCAAATCATAATTAAAATATTATCTCACACACAACAGAAGAGAGAAAAAGAAACGCTATACGCTATAGTTTTAAATAATCAGCTACAATTTCACTTTAATTTTTAATGGCCCACGTCAGAGTGTCTGTCGGCTTATTTATGTGACAGCCTTTGAGATTTTATAATTGAGGTTTCTGGACATTTTTGGTTTTGGCTTTTAGTTTTTCCCTCCAAAGAAGAAAACCCCATTTGCAGAACTTGCATAACAGTGAGAAAAAAAAACTGCATATTCAAGTCAGACCCCCCCCTTTTATTTTTAGGGCACACTCAGACGACACCCCACCCCTTTTCGACCCACTCTCCAGCTGACCAACGTAACTTAATTGGCGTCACTTAGGCCGGCGAACAATCTTAATTACCGCATGGACCAAAGAGCCATGGCCTAAAGGGATGGGAGGGGGGGTGGCCGAGGGCACAGGTGGGCCGTCTACCGAAGGTGCTCGACTTTTTATTGCCAACTCGGGAGGGGCGAGGAGGTGGAAAAAAGGCCAGCTACACAGTAGAAAAGGCAAAGAAAACTCGCCCCGACTCGCAGAAAAAAAAAAAAACAAGAGAAAAACAAAAGAAAAGGCTTTGGAAAAAAATAAATAAAATGAACTTCAAAAGTCCAAAAGACAACAATGAGAGCAACAACAACCACTTTTACTTTTGTTTTCATTCAAGCCGCTTTTTGGTTTTTGTTTTAGCGGCAACTTCTTTCTTATTTTGGACAATTTCGAAAAGCCAAGTTCAGTGTTGGCGGCAAGGTACAGTGGATGATAAATAAACTATAAACTATCATAAATTAAAAAAATATATATTTTTTAAATCATAAACTTATTAATAAAAGCTGTTAAGCTTACGCATGCATCATTTATTATATTAGGTTTCTGATAGGTTAAAACTATCTAAACACTTGAATTAGAAAATGTGTGTGGGTTTTTTTTTTTAATTTTGTTCCACTGTATCCCACCATACCCGCTAACCCATAAGCCAGGTCGCTGGAATACCGGCCAGGCCTCCAACCCCATCTCCTTTTTTTCGCGCAAAATTAAGCTAAGGCAATAGAGTACACAGAAAGAAATCGTAAGGTTATAATAATAACATACACAAAAATATAAGAATCTAGGTTTTTCATTCCAAATGGTTTTAAATACATAGATTAAAAAAATAATTAGAAAAGGTCTAAAATCTTTAGAAAAGAAAATATATATTTTAATTCCATATTTTCCAAAAAAGTCCATATTTAAAAAAAAACTTGTTAAAAATATTTTTAATTAAAAGAATAGGGTAATTGAATCTTAAACAGTCTGTATCTCCTTTTTCTAGGGATACAGAAGTTAAAACTCTTAATTATTAACCTTTAATTCCTCGTTTTAAAACCTCGTTAAAACCTTAAATTTTTTAGCTCTACCCATGTTTTTTAGCTTAATCATTATACTAGTTGCCAATAATAAACTTTAATTTTTCGTAGTGTAACAGCGAAGTAAAGCAGATCAGCTTGTCTCTCAAAAAAAAAAAACACAAAAAGAAAAAAACCCGAGATTTCAAACCGGAGTCAAGCTCACGTTGTCACACGACAATTACACGCAAGTGTTGAGAGTGAAGCGGCCCCGGCACCGCCCCCTCTTTGCCAGCCCAGCCCCTCTACCTGGCTGCCTACCTACCTGTCTTACCGGCCCCCCCCAGAGTGCCCCCATCCCCGCACTCCTTAAAAGCACTCGAAGCGCGTGTGAAAAGCGCATAATTTTTGGACGCGGACAAATTTTCACTTTTTTCCTAGAGTGGAGAGTGGATAGTGCTCTTCCCAGACTTTTCTTTCATAGACTTGGGCTTTTCTTATTGTTCCACACGGTCACACCACCAGACAGGGGTCTTACAGAGGGGAGGGTAGTGGGTGGTTTTCAAAGAGGCGGTACAATGAAAAGAGACAGCAATAAAATCCACAATGCGCCGATTATGCCAGCAATCTTGGGAATTATTATTGTTTTTGCTTCTATTATTATTATTATTTGGGGTTTCTACTCTAAACTTGGTTAGGGGGGCTACCGAGGGTTAAAGGGGCTTGAGAGGGCTGAGGGGCTGCACCGGGTTAAGGGGTTAAGGCTATATAGCTATCACCTATATCACTGTCAACTCTTATTATGGCCAATTATGGGCTGTCGTCTTACCATGCTGCTTGATAGATTGCCGCTTGGTTGAAGATCGAAGATAGGATTATCCTTCTTTATCATTTTAATAAATTGTTCCAAAAATGCTTAACACTTATCTACTTTTATGTTTTTTTCTTAGAACTTTTTTAGATATTTGTTCCGATTCGGTTGACTGGTGAAATAATTGTGAGGTTTTCAGGGAGACAAGTTAATAAATAGTATTGTTAAAAAAGTCAAGGCTAACTGGGATTTGACATTTTTAGTTTTCTGATATATGAGGTTTATTCAAAGCTACTATGTTTTATTAAAAAGACAGGGAAAAAATTCTGAACATATATCTCAAAATTTTAAAGCTAATTTTTCAATAATATTATGATTATATTGGTATCATATAGTTATACCAATATAAAATCTTGGAAATCTTTTTTTAGTTCATAACTGATCCAATATACATACATATATCTTATCTTATCCCAAAACCAAAGTTTTTTTTACTATAAAGTCCTAGAAAATGATTCCTAGAAATGATTCCAAGACATCTAACTCTGCAAAAAGTTTTCTATTTCTAATCTAACTCCAAGACTTGGGTCTTCCTGTCTATAAAACTCCAGTCTAAAAGCCAATATTTCCACTTTCATTTTAGCCTTTCTTTGCTGATTTCTACCGATAGACCTATATACATTATAGCCGTGAGACTGATTATGCGTATAGCAGAGTTCAGAAAGTGGTAATTGATATAGCCAGAGTTTAGACCGCAAGTCGACTAATAATAAACGATAGATGTATGATTCAAGTCTTCCGGGACTTTGTTTGGGTTTTGGGATGATTTTTTTTGCTATGCCAGTAATTGTTGCATTGGAGTGTGATTATGCAAAGTTGGTTGTTGCAAGTTGAATCGATCGATGCACTAATTTGTTTATAATGAACGTTACGCGACAACAAAAATAAAAGAAAAATTAAACAAAGAAATGAAAAAACAAAAGAAGAAACTGAAACTTGTTAATTGCTCGCGTGCTGTCACAATTGCTGGCAATTCCGCATTCATCATTACATTTGTTCATCCAACAATTGTGTCTTACATTTGGATATTCACCAGCCATGACAAATATTTCACAAATCACAAGACTACTTCCCAAATTTGTAGGTAATAAAGTAAGGGTTAGATTTTTAAGCGAATATCGTATGACCTTTCTGCGGTTTTCTTCTAGATCTTTACTTTTAACAATTTTTCTAGAATTAATCAAATTATGGTCTTTTCTTTTATAGTTTCGGAGAAGATATCGGATACTTCAGTTATTGTTACCTGATCCAAATCATTTTTAATTATATTGTGTATTTTATTAAAATGATAGCCAAATTTTAGCTTGATAGCTTGAAGATTTTGAGAAATATGCCATAGGCTCAAGAGCATAGGAAATAGTTACTTATGAAGGCCGCAGATATCCCTAGAATTCCCTTCAAATCTTTAAGGTCTAAACAAAAATTAAAATATTAAAAAGAGCTCTTTTAAAGGACAGAGCTATCCTTCTAAAAATTAACTTAAAAATAGTTTATTTCTAACCAATATATTTTTGGCCAAAAAACCGTTTTCTGTAGAGTATAAAAAAACTACTTTTTAAACCCGAATATAACACCCAGACATGGCTAATCAAATCAAGCAGCTTCATAAATTATTTTTGTGATTTTTTTGGGAAGGGGTCTTGGTCTCGACAAGGCCAATGGCCACGGATACTTGGCCACTTGGTTACTCATTTATTTACGAGACACTCTGCCACATTTTGTGGTAAGTCGAGGTAAGATTCATTATTTCATTTGCAATTTACATGTCGCACGGGATATAGCCATCATCTCTGATGGTTTCTCTCTGTTTCCATAATGGATGGGGTGTTGTTTTGCAAAAGTATGATTAAGTGTGATATAGGAGGTTTTGGTTTTGCAAATGACTTGATTTATAGTTGGAAATTTGAGTCATAATAGAGGCTTAGTTAGAGTCATTAAAACAAGAGTTTTTTGCTAAGATTTTTTATGAGGATTTTTCCAAAATTTTACTATCAAAATATATGCTCTCTCTAAAGATTTTTGTACCAAAACCGCTATGGTATTTGAAAACCCAGTCCTTATTTACTAATCACACCCTTTTGACTGACATTTTAATGGCCTAGCTACTCTTTACAAATTTCCTGTCACTGCAATGGGCCAAGATATCGGGGCAAGATGGCAATTCTATTGTTTTAACCAATCTCCCAAACATGACACTATTTGCTTTAAAGTAACGCCTTTGTAAGACCTCTATCGATCCATTTATCTGAAGCTATACTTTCGCTTTCCAGGGGGAAAAGGTGGAAAATCTTTTCCGTATTTACATTTTGGCATAGTCCCCTGTCAGTCTTCTCTCTCTCGCTCTTGGCGGAAATGTCTGTTGTGGTAACACTTTTTTTTTCCAAATGAGTTGGCTAAAATGTGGCACAATGACAATCAATGATTTTCACTAATATCGTTGCAACTACAAAGTTGTAGCTTATCGATATACAGTGTTATCTGTGGATTCTCGAGGGACAGGTGTCTATCATATCTGTTCACAAAATATTTTGGAGTAATACTTGGTAATATTTTATCTCCATGAAGAGATATTTAATGGCCTGATTAGTTTTTTTTTGTAAAGAATAGGCAGGAAATTGGTAGAGTTTTTTTATAAATATTCATAAACTATATTTAGCTTGAAGGATGATTTCATTTTGGAACTTTCATACTAGGTATTTTTCCCATTTTTTAAAGATTTAAATAACCCCAATAAATCTTACTTTTAGGTAGGTTTTCCTTTTTTTCCCCAAGGGGTCATTTCTGGGGGCAAGGCTGCCGCTTTTTATGCATTTTTTTTGCAGTTTTCTCGGTTTTTGCATCTAAATTTCCATCTTCACGTCCGCTGGCCCATAAAAAAGCTACATTTGTTGGCATTACTTTGTTTTTCCTTTTTTTTCTATTATTTCTCCTCGGGTATATTTTCATAATTAATTTCTTTGTGGAAAAGTGAAATATGACTGCAAGTTGTTGTTTTGAAAACCTAGTGACAGTTTTTTTTCTCGTCTTGTTGCATTTTTCCTCATATGTATTTTATTTATTTTTGTATTTTCTATATTATTATATTTTATTATATACCTCCTTCTCCTCAATCCTCCCTCCTCCTCCTTGGATTTTATCGACAATTTCACTTTTGCGCAGCCACAAAAAAAAAGAAGAAAAAAAAAAAAAAGACGAGGAGGTCTTCGTTTTTCATATGTGATGACGATCCAACAATTGCGGTTTGGTTATTTGCCCCCAAAAAGATTCCCAAGCACATTGTTGGATCGCGTGCAATCTGCCACACCCCCTCTGCACCGCTGCCTCGCTGGCCCCATGCCCCATCGCCCATTGCCCTCCGCCCATGGCTCATTTGTCAAGACCATGGGGCCCCCCGCTTGGGCCACTAACTATTTTTTTCAAGTGCAAAGCCAAGGTTGCATGTGCCCCCAAAGTAGCAGCGATGCAGTTCGGGGAGAGAAGAGTTGCAGAAAGCAGGCGGGGGAGGAGGATCTTCCAAGCTGCTTTTATTATCGACACGAAACGGGTTTTTCTACCAGTTCCCAGACCCCGACCAGAGAGTTCCAAGACGAGACTTCCAAGACCAGACCAGATCCAGACCCAAACCCGAGCCCAAGTCCCCAGACTCTGTGTCTGCACTTACAATTTTTTTTCGTTATTCTCTGAGAAGCTTTTAAAGTATAAAAGTTATTCTCTTAACTGTAATAACAATTTAAGATAATAATATAATATATATTATAAGAGAGACAATTACTGTTAATTATTTAGCTCATGATCTTATCGTACTCGTACTTACAGAGCCTAGATCCTTTGTAGTTTCTTTCATTAGTTTCATATTTCATTACATTTTCTTATTGAAATATTATCTTTGCATATTGTTGCTATATCCAATTCTCTATTTATCTATATTTTATTTTCTATATTAATACCTTTGTACAGAATATTTATAAGGGCTATTTACAAATATCTAATTAGTTCCTCATCTCCTAGATTGTTTCTTGAAAACATGCATCTTTTCTGCAAGTTTAAACCTTCTTAAATGCCCATAAAACCATAAACCTCAAAAATAACTTAAATATTTATTTCAAAATACCTATAACCTTAAAAAAGTATACCATACCTATATGTATTATATACTTTTCAAGAAGAATCGATGATGATTGATAAAAACACCAAACAAGAAACCTAAGAATATGTTGTCAAAATTCTCTATATAGAAACAAAGCTCCACCAGAAACTTCAAAATATCACCCCAAGCCCCCTTAAGCTTCAATAAAACTTGTAAAAAAAATTGTACAAAATATTTCCCTCTGTGTAAGAGCCGACTCCTCCATCTGTCAGCTGCTCAGTTGTTTGCCAACAGTTGCAGAATTTCACTTTCTTTTCAAATTGCGGCGACCTCGATTTATTGCCCAGGTGGATGTGGATGTGGACGTGGATTTAAATTCCAGCAGAGTGGGTTGACTCCATGGCTCCATGGTGGATCACTGGTGGTGGATCCACACCAAGTCGAGTCAAAGCAAAACCCAACCAAAATAAACCCGATCCGATGTCTTTGACAGAAAGTAAGAAAGAGAGACCCCCGCAGATTTGCTTTTGTTTTGATACCTGAGGGCTTAATTGAATTACGTTTTTTTTTTTTTTTCTAAAATTTGGAAGCTCACAGACTCCATGTGACTTTGGTTTTTAAAACATGGAAGTGTACACCAAATAAGCCAAGACAACAATAAAAGTTATTTAGAAAAAAAATGAAACCGGGCTATAAAATAATAATAATTATGGGAAAGTGAACGCCCATTGTCTTGGGTGTCTGTGGCTTTATACCCATCTTATTTTTTTGGCTTTTTATTGATAATTCGCATTAATGAGATTTAATTTTCACATAATTAGTTGTAAATTCAGCCAGCTCTCTGGGTTACTGGGAAATTGGAGGAAAATTGTATATTTTGGGGAAAAGATGTCTGGCTTTTCTTTGGGGCTCGTATTGTATGTATTGTAACACAAAAGTTGACTTACAAGACTGGATTTTACTCCTCCCCTCTTTTCGATTCTTGCCATTTTAAAATTTTAAAATTTTAATTTTAATTTTTTTTTAATAATCAAACTTTGTTACTATTTTTGATTTGCCAAAAAATCACTTCTTTCTTCAAGTCAAAAAATCGTTAGAATAAACTCAAGAGAACTGTTTCTTGCTTTGATGATTTTCAGACTGAATGATTCGAGATTGTAAGAGTTCTTAGCTTGGAACTTACAGTCTTGGGTTACTTTGTTTTTGAAAAATATTTGTTTCTCTGAATGAGTTTATGGGAAAAGTTTATTCCCACAATTTTCATTTATTTTTTTTATTGAACCCAATAGCGACCTTGTTGTGGAGGTGGCCACTGGACACACATGCTATTGAACGCATTGCTTCCCAGTGACCATAAAAAATTGAAAATTGTAGCTGATTTTTACTGAAATTATTTCATATGAGAGTGAATCATATATAGATATTTTCGTTATTTTTTTCATACTATTTGAGGTCAAGAGGAGTACATACATATGTGTGGCTTTTAGCCATTTACCTTGGCTAATTACCAATTTAGAGAAAGTGTTTGCCAAGCAAATAATCAATGAGTGTTTGTTTTTGCCATTTTGTTTTTGTTTTTTTTTTTTAATTCTTTGGCACGAAAAAAGTTTTAATGCTTTCTTAATGGTTTTTAATTTTATGACCTGATAGTTATAGACCATATCTCGCTTAATAAGTCATTCCGTTTGCCCGCCAAAGTTTCAATTTCTAGCTTTATCAGTTTTTCGATTTAAAAGCAATTATTGATTAAAAAAGGTTAAAAACTAGCAATGTTAGTAGGTTTTTTGTTTAGGGAACTTAATGAAATAAGTTCTTTTTGTTCATTTATGTGGAATAATTTTTTTTGAAGATATTTTTAAACATTAACTATATTATTTTTTCTTTATTATTATATACTTCTATGAAACGTGTTACCAACTTGACTTTTGTCCATAATGTAGTCGCTGATAACATTGATTTAACTGTTTTAATGGAACTTATTAATTTTAATGTTCCTCAAAGGGATCTTCGTCCCGTTGCCCACTTTCGGATCAAGTATCACAGGGCCAATTATCTTTTAAATGAGCCGATGAAGCGGGCTCTTTCATATTTTTGACTCTTTGGCGCCTAGCCTCCGAAAGGCTTGATAATCAGGACCTATTATGTAGTATGTATGTAAATAAATCAAAAGCAAAACCCCAAAACAGTATAGCCATGAACACAAATTGTCATTTAGCTGGGAATGAGTTTTGTTCTATTTCCTCACTACAATCTGAAACTGAAAGCCGATCGGAAGTAAAACTTTGTAAATCTTGTACCGAAGTCAAGTTTTTTGGATTTTTTGGGAATTTAATTTTCCATCTTGTTGTCTTCCGGCTTGTACACTATTATTATTTATTGAACGACAATGAATAACCAAATGGGAGACGACTACCAAATTCTTAGTGAACACATCCAAAACGCGATGAGATACCATCAAGTTCTCCTGATGACCACACATGATCTTCTCCACCAGCGCCAGGAGCTCGTCAACCAGTTAAGGGACAACAACTATCTACTGGTTGAGTTGGCCCATCGGGGCTCATCACACACAAATATGGACGAGAGTGAGATCGATGACGCCTATCGTGGTATTACCGCTCTCAATGAAAGCCTCAACCAGGAGATTATACTCACTGACATGCTGCTGGAGCGCAACAACCAGTATCTGGAGAGCAACAAGGAGGTCCTGATCGATTACCAGGAGCAATTGGAGCGCCACTTGCAGCTCAGTCGAATAATAGCCTTCTTGGAGCACTTTACCGAGATCTTATACCTTGGAATGCAATTCCTTCGCTTGATTGTTCGTTATCTTATTTAGGATTCAGTTTCAAGAACATACATATGTATTTTTAGGGTTTTTTAGGGTGAAGGGTTTATTAACCCATCCAATAAATTAGACAAGAGTTATTGACAAGAAAATAAAATGTTACAATTTACAAATTATTGAAAATATGAGTATTAATGTAAATAAATACCAATGCGTAAAAAAAACATACCTTCTAAAAGCTTAATCAATTGACGTTGACTTTTTTTTTATAAAAGAAACCTAAACCTCTAGTAAAGACCGATGTCTTAGAGAGTTACTTAAAAAATGTCAACTAAAGTTTCGCAACTTATGGATCTGACTTTGAATTTTTAAAAAATCCTACAGCTAATCCTCGAGCTTGAGAGCTTATATAAATATAAAGCCTATATCGACTTTACAGGTGATCTGGAAAAAGAATACATACTTGATAAGGTCTGATAGTCTGACCCCCTTTTCAAGAAAAGTATACTATCCTTTGCAGATATTTTAGAAACCTCTCTTTCAAAAATGAAACAGTTTTTAGGGGTTTTCTCAAATCATTTTTAAGGAAATCTTTCAATTACTTTAAAACTTTTTTCGCCTTTGGTTTTTCACATTTTTATGTATCTTTTTTTATGTTTGTTTTTTAAGTTAAAAATTAAAAGCAAATGTTTGCCTGTGGACCGGCTGAACTACTTTTAAGACATCATCTTTCAACTTCACTCGCAACCGGATCAAAGATTGAAAACGAATTGGAGCTGGGACCTGGACTGGGAACTGGGTTTTCGGGTTTTCGGTTTTCTTCTTTTCAAGTCTTCAAGTTTTTTAAGTTTTTTGTTTTTACTTTTTTTATTGGTCTTCGCTCTCAATAAATTAGGATAGTCTGGACGTGGAATTTATGGCTTGGAAAGTGAAACTTGATCTTGAATTAATTTTCAACTCTTTTTTCTATTTTTTCTCGCAGGCTCTTCAGCAATGGCTCATTCATATCCTGATTCTGGGATCTCTGATGACGTCCTCTGGGGTGATAGCCCTGGAGAGAGCTGGTTTTCCGGCCCAACCGGCGGATCATCTGGTGCCACCACCTCTCCCCTCGCATGCTGCCCACCTACCTGCCCTGCCTACGCCCCAGAGGCTGACCCACGCCACGGCGGGTCTGGGATCGGCTCCGGTGGTGGCGCCATCTCCTTCGGTGATTACGGAGCCCGGCTTTATGACGCGAGTGGCCAGGTGGTTTGGTCTTGGGGGAGCTCCTTCGCCAAAGGATCAGCAACTGAGTCCCAGTAACTCCCTGAGCTACGTCTACCCGAAGCCAGGACAAAGTTTCGACGCCAATAGTGGCAAGCCTTGCAGTCTTTGCAACAAATATCCTTGGGTGCCGATGGTGGGGCATCAACAGCTACAACAGCAACCTCAACAGCAACAAGCATTGCAAGTGCAACAACAACAATTGTGGCATTTGCAACAACAACAACACCAGCCTGTAGCCCAGGCCTCCCAGAACCGGCAGCGGGCGGTACAGTTCCAGAGTACTCCCCCTCAGATACCCAACTTTCTGCCCCTGGCTGTGCCCATGCCGCCTCTCTATAATGCCCAGCCCTTCCGTCCCTCAGTTCCCAAGGAGAACATCGTTTCAGAGTCTGTGGCCGTTCCAGTGGCAGGACCTATACCAGGACCAGTGTCAGTATCAGTTCCAGTTCCAACACATCCACCTAGTACCTCAACCTTCGAAATCGTGAAAAGCCATCAGGTCACGGACTTTGTCACCTCTGTGGAGTATCCCGCCACCTTCGTGCAGTCCCATGCCATCGACCTGGGTGCTGCGACCAACCAGAAGGTGATACCCGAACAATCTGAGCCAAGTACCGTGAGATACCAGCTGGAGGACCTCGCCAGTGGCCAGGTGCATCAGCACCTGCCGGCCTCCCAGCTATTGACGGAACTGGGGCACTTTGTGGAGACCACAACCGTGTTGCCGCCACCTCCGGCGGACAACTATCCGGCGGCCTCGTCCCAGCTGCAGCACCTCCAGCAGGAGCAGGATCATGAGCAGGAGCAGGACCTGTATTACGCCGAACAGGAGGAGACTAGTACTCTGATTTATGGTCCAACCACGACGGAAGCTCCAACCACAACGATGGTTCCACAGCAACCTCCGCAGGCCATAGACTTGAACAACCATCTGGTGGCTGGGATGCAAAACTACAGACAGGGTATATCTCGTGGCCGGGAGACCCCGAAGCGGCTACTAGACTCGCCCATCAACCATGCCGGCGGAAGACCCTTCACCCGCGACCCTGCCGATCTGAACTTCCGCTTAAGCCAGGCCTATACGCCCACCCAGCCGCCCACGCCCACCTCCACGTATGGGGCCATCGATGCCAGTGGCCAGTACGCGGGGATGTCGCCTCCGAGTCCGAAGCAGGTGATCATACCATACACTACGAGGCAGAGGCCCAGGCCCTTCGAGAGCTGGACCCCCCTGAGACATCACCACTCTTCGAACGATCTGGAGGAGGAGCCGCATGAGCAGCAGGAATCCAAGCTAGCCACTGCCACGGTTACGGCTCCCAACTCCCGGAGGACGACCAAGTACCTGACCAAGATCCTGGCCTCCAATCTAAGGGAGCTGCTCAAACGCGAGAGGGAGACCAAGCGGCTGCCGGGACAGAGCCTGGGGGTGGACATTTCGAAGCTGCAGCAGAACATAGACGGGTGGACGGAGCAGGAGTACAACTCGCTGTCCCATCGACCCAGTACACCCACCATCCGGGGAAGATCCAAGCATATACCCCCCGAGTATCTGACCACGACGACGACGACCACCACGCCAGCGCCACAGCGGCAGTCCAAGACCACCAGGGGCGAGGGCTTCGAGCTGGGCGGGGCTCCTCCCACGGTCACCGGGGATCTCTCCACCTCGATCAACAATCTGGAGCAGCTGCATCTGCTGGGGGAGCGGGGATCGAAGCGGTTCCAGCACTTGGACGACAATCGTTTGCATTTCGACTACTACGATGCTCGGCCGAAGCCCACGCCGGCCATGGCCTCCTCCACGTCCACCAGCACACCAGCACCGCCGACCACCACCACTACGGAGGTCACCCCGCTCTATGTAAGGAGCACCACGCCGCCCAAGGAGCTCTGGAAACAAGTCCAGGTGGCCATTCTTCCCCAGACCAACGAGAAGGTCTACGTGGTGACGCCTCAGCCGCCGACAGCTCAGCCGCGCCACAAGGACCACCACGAAGCGGAGGCCTCGGCGCCCAGGCCAGTCTATCAGACTCCAGCTCCCAGGTTTCCTAGGATGCGACCCACGCCAGGTAGGTTACTGAAAGATTGGGTAAAGAGGGTTAACTTTTTAGGGGATATCTTTCTATGTTCAATAATATATTAATATCCTAAATTTTAGGTCCTTAAATAATATACCTTATTAAAGTCTAATTTGTCTATATTTTTACATATTATTCTGCACATTAATATCATTATTTCCGTTTTTTTCTACTTCGCAACTCTATCTTAGACTTTAAAATGTTTTATGTATTAATTAAAACTCTTAACTAAATACGAACTCCTTTATGCTTTTTTTTTAGCTGGCGAAGTAAAAGCAGCCACGCCCACTAGTTCATCGCAGCTGAGGAACTATACGCCGGACATTTTTGGTCTAATGGGTCTATCCGCGTATGTTCCGGCGGAGCCAGTGGAGATAATCGATGGAAACTCCAAAGTAAACAGCAATCGTTTTCATATAGATATGTAAACTAAAGTATTATTTTTATTTCTTCCTAAAAAAAACATAAAACACACACTTCACAAAATCATTTAATATTTGAAAAAATAATCATTTAAAAAAATAATCATAAATTGATCCCAAAACCTTCTTAAACTGCATTTAAAACCTCCATATTTTTCGGTTATCCTCATATCATGCTTCCCCTCCCTTATTTCACCAAAAACCATACTCACCACACACTGCAGGTCATCACAATAGTGACGTCAGCGCCGACGGCGGCAGCGCTGCAGCGACCCACACCGAAGCCTACAATTGCGCCTTCGCCGAGATAAAGGTCACAGAGGTCACATGCCCCTCCCTTCGCCCCTGTTGTAATATATTTTTTCACCAAGCCCCTGAGAAAAAAAAAGCAGGATACGCCAGGATGTGCGATCATAAGAGTTGTAGTTTTAAAAAATAAACAAAAAAATCCTTTTTAGGAATCAAAGTTAGATTTTATCTGCATTTGGTAGCTTTATAAACAAATAGATAAAAAAAATAAATAAAATAAAAATATTACATAAAAGGATAACAGGATCGAAAGGACTCTATGTAATGTTCCCCTTAGTTTATATTTTTTGTTTTTTTTTTTTAATTGTGTGTTTTAGCAGTGTTTGGCGCTCTCCTTGTTTTAGTTCATAATTCTATGTATAAAAAAAACATCTATTATTTCTATTATATCTATTTGAAACATAAAACATAATAAAATAAATATAATAAATCAAAGTGTAACCAAAATATAGCGAAAAACGAAAATGAAACTAAACAAATATTATATTAAAAACGAACAAATAAAAATAAAGTCATTTTAATGTATTTTATATATTAAGGTGGAAATAAAATAAAATATATATGGAAATTTCTTTAAATTAAAAACCAGAACCGGAAGTTAAATTCGGGCGGAGCCGGAATTGATATTCCCTTGCGGTTAGGATGGATATTTCTATCCTATTTCTATTTCTAAGATTGGATATCTTTAAAAACACTAAAATTGGTATTTGAATATTTTTCCATATGGCAGCTATAGGGTAAAGTCAATCGATCCTTATGAAATAGGTCGGATTTGGCCCAAAAAAAAATCTGTAGGAAATTCAACCTTCTATCCTCAAACCCTACTATCCTACGAAAGAAAGGTCTTTTCCGATAGTTCAGTTGTACTCAGGGAGTGATGGATATGTCGATTTTTTTTTCCATTTTCATGATGGGATCCCTGGAAAATGGGGTTTTCCTCTATAGGATCCTTATAAAAAGATCCGTGTTATATCGTATTATTTTGACAACAACAGAATTCAAAAGAAATCCAAACTCTCGAACTGTAAAAATACCAAAGTTTCAGCATTTCCAATCAATCAGTTACGTGGTAGCTATCGGATATAGTCGGCCGATCAGAGTATAGAACCATTCCATTTCATTAAAAAGTTACCAATTTTTTTAAGGCAAACAGCATTTAATATAATTTACATTTTTAAAATTTAACAACAAATTTTGTGGTGTTACAATAAAATAAAAACATATAATACATAGCTCTGAAAATATAAAATGGAAAAATTAATATCAAAGATTAAAATTAATTCAAAACTTAATAAAATACCTTCATTTTTTTACAAAATCTTCCAAATTTAATTCTTTTACACTTTGATTAACATCTATACGAAAGCTTAAGAGTAGCAGTTTTAGTATATCAATGGTTTTCTGATTTACATCGGATGCTTTAAAAAATTGCATCATTTCTAGAATCTCCGCTTCAACGACTAGGAACTCCGCTGCACGATTAATTTCTTCCAGTTTATACAGAAACGAAGGAGTACCCTTCACCAAGTACCACGAAAACACGACAAAAAGTCCAACGACACACACAAATTCCATAATCATAATGACTCGTCGCTTTCGTTCTTTCGGGATCTTTGAATTAAAATACCCAATTGAAAAAATAATTTCAATGAATTTGTTTGGATGAATGACTTTGTTTACCCAGCCTACTTGTTTGGAAAGAAATTGTAGATTAAATCGTTAACATAGCATATGTGGCAGCCATACCAAAATTACAACAAACCAGAAAGGAAAGCTAACTTCGGGCGGAGCCGAAGTTGATATACCCTTGCAGTTAAAACCGGGTATAGTTGGCCGATCCTTATGAGAATATCAATATATGACCAATTTATTACAATCCCAAATCTAAAAAAGTCCCTGGGGCTTGGATTTCTTGAAGTACATATGTTGTCGAATTTACGAAATGGCGTTTATGCCCACAAGAATCGGCTGAATCCGTGAATTCGGCATCGCAAATAGTAAACACAGTATCAGTTCCCTTTCCTGCAACTTCAAATGCTTTTTCTCCAAGACCGAGTGGTCTTCGTTCGAAACTGTGATATTTGAGAATCCTTGTCCTGGAATTTCTTGAAATACCCCAGGAGTGGCTTAACTATTGGATAATAAACGGAAGCGCACTCGTTCTCCTGTTCTTCATTTATATAACAAGACTTTGGTAATGGAATTTTAATAAATTGTTGAAATAAAAACAATAAAAACTAATATTACTTCATCCAATGCCAGAGAGGCGGAAATAAAACAAATAACAGAAAGGAGCAACACCGGCAGGATCATTCTCTATTTTCGTCTTTGAACAAAATTGCTTTCTGGACGAGTCATTGAAAGAATGTCAACTGATGCTGTGAGACTCAAGGCCCCGTCTTTTTAAATATTCCTCGACCTTTGCTTTGAGAGCAGAGAGTTTTTTATCAGAATCCTTTCGAATATTTGGGAAAAGGTCAATAGTTTCTATAGATGTCACAGAACTAACTACCATAAAGGTATTGATTTTTTCATTAGCGCACACAGTGGGGGCTTGATAATTTCTTCGTATAATGACTTTTAAATTGAGACATTTTGTAAATATACACTCATCGAAAGTACTTCCTTATTTATTTCAATGGCCTACACCTTATACATGGGCAAGGGCACACCTTATTCATACCAATGCATTGGTTAATACATGGGGAGAGTATTATTGCCATTGTCTAGTACTTTTTCTAGAACATTTTTTTATGATATATAAAAATGTAACAAACTTAGCTTAAACCGACGCATTTGCTTTCTTCGAAACTGGAGCGGATGTTGATAAGGAATATATGCTTTACAGGGTCGGAAAAGTCTCTAAAGGGGTGTAATAAACCACTTTTTAAAATTTTAAATAAATATATGAATAAATTTCCTTGAACGAGGAAAAAGATTTAACAATTTTGAACGTTTTCGGAAGTTTAAAACATTTTGGAAATTGCGATTAAGTTCTTAAGCAATTGCAATCTGATCCTTCTGAGCGGCTTTAAGCTCACACCTTAATTATGGGTCTCTTTCAATCTGAATAAAAACTATAAAGTGTTTTTATACGATTTTTTTAAAGATATATTTTACATTATTAGGCATTGTTTTCTTTAGGAAACTTAAAGTTAAAAAAATGGGAAGTATAATAATTAGCAACAAATACTATGAATATCCATTCTCTATGGGATCGTTAATACCTGTAATAGCTACATCCGTTTCGCTATTCTTTACTAGCTACTTCTTACTCCGACTGTTTTCTTTTTATTTGAAAAGACAATTTTTTTTCATATCAAAGTATACTTTTGCTGTTATGTCATTTCCGTTTTTCTCTCAACTCTGAATGTAGTATCCAGATTTAGTGTCGCATCAGGTCTCGACAAACAAACATAAAATTTGCATTCCTTCAAAAGAATTTTTCTTTTTCTAAATTATTTCTCGATATTAACAAATCGAAAATTTTTTGAAATTTTAAACCCGATAATCAAAATGAATCGAAACGATTCTGAGCCTACCACCTCAGAGGGTATCAGCGAAGAAACCCTGTCGGAAAACTCGTCGGAGAAACCAATTGCGACCGTTTTTTTGCTGCGAAAGGAAGACCCCTGTGGAAGCCGTTTTAGCAGCTCGGTCACCTGTCAGGATAAATTTATTTCGGATGACTCCTATGACAGCTATAACTCTGATGATTCCAGTGATAGCAAGATCGATGCGGAGTATCAGCCTGGTCTGGACCAAGATTTCGCAACACCGAGCAGTGGGGTTATAGACTGGAAAAACGACCCTCAACTGCCCACTGGCTGGGAGGAGCGGGTGATGCCCCACACCAAGGAGACTTACTTCTACGACACGAAGACAGGGAAGGTATACTACACCCTGCCTGGGATCAATCTTTTGGACCGTAAGAGGGGTCCTTTTATTCGCATGCGATTTCGGCACATTCTAATCAAGCACGAGGAGTCTGAGTATCCCTGGTGTTACAAGCTGAAAAGAGTGAGTCGCACCAAGGCAGAAGCTTTGGAAAAGATTACCTTCATTAGGAATTTAGTTAAAAAAGGCACGATGAGGTTCGCTGATGTTGCAGCGAAGCATTCCGATTGCTGCTCCGCCGTGTGCGGTGGGGACATTGGGCCCATCATGCTGGGCGAATCAATCGAAAACTATGAGAAGATAGTGTTCCCGTTGGAAATGTACGAACTTTCCGAGATCTTTGAGACCGGTTCCGGCTACCATATAGCGCTGCGCATTCCGTTGTTGATGCCGGAGCAGCAAAAGAGGCAAAAAAAGTTGGAAAAGAAAATGCAAAAAATCAAGCTCGCCAACAATTTGAAAAAGGAGCGTGGTATTCACGTTCCTGACAAGGATTTATCGAGGAAGAAGACTTTATCCTACGGTGACGCTGACCCAAGATTCTATGGGATCGATACTGATGAGATGTACTCTCAAGATGGCAGGCTGCCTTTGAACGCGGATGCCCCTGATCAACATTGTAAACGGGAAATGTTGGCCGTGCAACAAGCTCTGATCAAGAAAAATGTTGTCGATAATTCCGCTGTCATTGACGAATCAAAGATCAAGCTCGTTAAACCTTCTGCGGAGAAGAGCTCCAGTGACTTTGATCTCAAAACTCTCTCAAGGTTGGATAATTCGAATCCCGACGACTACCGCCTATGGTAATCTATGTACTGCTTAATCTTAATCTATACCAAATGTTAATAATACTTAATGCAACATAAATAAATTTAATTGTAATGTTTTAAGTGCATTAAAAAAATGTTTGAATTCATAATCTATATAATAGTTTCGTTACTCAGTTTACTTTTGTATAATTTCAATTTTATAATAATATTTGCTATGAAGCTATAAATCTATTGAAGCATAAATCTACGCCACATTTGTTGCACATGACTTGAGAATATCCTTCACGGTTTGGGTTCCTGCACCTGGATGTGCAAGGAAGGAAGGAGTTTGTCCTTTTCGTGAAATTTTTCCAATGCGATACAATATTAAATACTATCTGCAAAAAAAAAAAAATAATTGTGGTCTCCATAGATGAACATAAGTATAACAGAAACGACAAAGACAACAAATACCAAATAATTATATATATAATACATGGCTATATCTTCCCCAATCCTAATACGATTCTCTAGCGGAGTACCTTAAACGATTTCTAGATCAATCCCCCACTATTATCGAACGCCCACTATTCTGCATAATAATCCTGAGACAAAACATTCGTTAAACTATTATCGTGAGACAAAATATATTTTAGATTTTTTGTCCACTTTTGTGTTGGGATCCCTTGAAATTGGGGTTTC